CTTATCAGTTGGTGGGCGTGGATGCAGTGCTGAGCGGGTGCACTTGAGCAGGTGTACTTACCAGTTGGTGGGCGTGGATGCAGTGCTGAGCGGGCGCACTTGAGCGGGTGTGCCTACCAATTCAAGAGCGGGTACCAGTTGGGGGTGTGGATACAGCGCTGAGCCGGTGCACCTGAGCGGATGTGCTTACCAGTTGGTGGGCGTGGATACAGTGCTGAGCAGGTGCAGTCGAGCGGGTGTGCTTATCAGTGGGTGGGTGGGTGTGGTTACACTTCTGAGCGGGTGCACGTGAGAGTACAGTGCTGACGAGCGGGTGTGCTTATTAGTTGGTAGGCGTGAAGAAAGTTCTTGGCGGGTGCGCTTGGGCGGGTGTGCTTACCAGTGGGTAGGCGTGGATACAATGCTGAGGGGGTTCACTTGAGCGGGGTGTGGAAACGTTGTTGAGGGGGTGCTGAGCGGGCGCTTGGGCGGGTGCTTACCAGTTGGTGGGCGTGGAAGTGGGCGCACGTGAGTGGGCGTGCCTACCAGTTCATTGGCGTGGTGAGCAAGTGCGCCAGCTGAGCTTGTGGGTGTGCTTATCAGTTGGCGGGTCAATTCTGAACGGGTTTGCTTGGGGATACAGCGCTGAGCGGGTGCACTTGAGCGGGCGTGCTTCCAGTTGCTGGGCAGCGCTGAGCGGGTGCACTTGAGCGGGGGCGCTACCAGTTGGTGGGGCGTGGATACAGTGCTGAGCGGTTGCGCTTGAGCACCAGCGGGTAGGCGTGGATACAGTGCTGAGCGGCTTGCCAGTTGGCGGGCGTGGAGCGTGCGCTTGAGCGGGTGTGTTACCAGTTGCTGGTGTGGATACACTTCTGAGAGGGCGCACTTGAGCGGGCGCAATTGCCAGTTGGTGGGCGTGGATACAGTTCTGAGCGGTGCACTTGAGCGGGTGTGCTTGCCAGTTGGTGGGCGTGGATACAGTGCTCCGCGGTTGCGCTTGAGCGGGTGCGCTTTTAGTTGGTGGGCGTGGATACAGCGCTGAGCGGGTGCACTTGAACGAGTGCGCTTGCCAGTTGGTAGTCGTGGACAAAGTGCTGAGCATGCACTTGAGCGGGTGACCAGTTGGATACACTTTTGAGCGGGTGCACTGTGGATACACTTCTGAGCGTGTGAACTTGAGCGGGCGCACTTGAGCGGGTGTGATTACCAGCTGGTGTGCGTGGATACAGTGCTGAGCGGGTGCACTTTTGTGTGTAATTGCTTACCAGTTACAGTTCCGAGCGGGTGCAATTGAGTGGGTGCGCTTACGAGTTGGTAGGCGTGGATATAGTGCCGAGCAGTTGCACTTGAGCGGGTGTGCTTACCAGTTGGTGGGTGTGGATACGGTGCTGAGCGGGTGTGCTTGTCAGTTGGTGGGCGTGAGACAGTGCTGAGCAGCGGGTGTGCTTAGCAATGTGTGCTTACCAGTTGGTGGCCGTGGATGCAGTGGACACAGTGCTGAGCGGTGAGCGGGTGTGCTTATGGTGGGCGTGGATACAGCGCTGGGTGCAGCGCTTGAGAGGGTGTGCTTACCAGTTGGGAGGCGTGGATACAGTGCTAGCGGATGCACTTGAGCGTGTGTGCTTACCACTTACGGCGTGGATACAGTGTGAGCGGGTGCGCTTGAGCGGGTGTGCTTACCAGTTGGTGAGTGTGGATACACTTCTGAGCGGGTGCGCTTGAGCGGGTGCGCATACCAGTTAGTAGGCGTGGATACAGTGTTGACCGGGCGGGTGCACTTGAGCGGGTGTGCTTGCCAGTTGGTGGGCGTGGATACAGTGCTGAGCGGGTGCGCATGAGCGGGTGTGCTGGTGAGCGCGGATACAGTTCTGAGCGGGTGGGCTTGAGTGGGCGCGCTTACCAGTTGGTAGGCGTGGATACAGTACTGAGCAGGTGCACTTGAGCGTGTGTGCTTACCAGTTGGTGGGAAAGGACACACTCCTATGGATACACTTCTGAGCGGGTGCACTTGAGCGGGTGTGGTGGGCGTGGATACAGCGCTGAGCGAGCGGGTGCAGCACTCGGGAGGTGCGTGTTTTTGCTGTCCCAAATTTGATAGAATTTCAAGATGAGTGAGTTGAGATGGGCATGCTGTTGCGGAACTAGCACCCTTTGTGTGGCGGACCAAAGTGAAACCACAGGCCGGGTATCTTTGTTGGGTGAACTAGGTTCGGCAGGGTCCAAAGGAAACCAACCGTTCAGGCCTCACTCGGTAAAAATCGGATTCCAATTCGCCAGGCTGCCGCCTCCTCGCTGGACAATCTTTCTCACATGTTTCTTGGCAGGCACCATCTGAGCTTACCATTTGGCTGGAGACTTTGACTTGTTGTGATATGTTTTTCACGAAACATCAACAACTCTATTTTTGTTTGCCTTCCAGTGCGGGCCAACATAATTAGAATGCCTGTGAAAAGGTATTTAGCCCCTTGGCACACATCTCGCGAATCTCACTCTTTCAGTTCTGGACTTAAGTCACTTTCGGGAAGACCAGAACAGCGGAAAGTGTGGAGCAAACATACATGATGTGCTGGTGGGACAACCCAAGAATTCGGCAACGTTTTTTTTTTCAATATGCAGGTTTGCTGGGGCTAGGTCTGCCGGGGTTCGGGCTAGGTTCCGGGGCCATTTCTTCTTCTTCAAATGGGCCGATATTCCGAATTCCGACCTGTTTGGTCCATTTCCTTCATTTTTTTGGCTTCTTCAAATGAGCCGATTCCCATGCTCAACTTATGTAGGGGCCTTGGGTGGGCCGATTTCCCACCTGCACCAAACAATTGCCCAAATTCGGGATGGAATGTCGTCTCTCCAGATGCTCGTCGGCTTGCACCAGCAAGTGGAATTGCAGGGACTTCGCGCATTTCAGGAGGTTCCAAGTGGTGGTTTTTGTGGTTCTCCGTTGGTTTCCCTGAAAATCCACAGAAAGGGGAGTACCGTCAAAGAGACATCCCTTCATAAACAATTCCATTTCAATGGTGCCAGTTTACTCATGGGAAGGCCAGAAAAATTGAACAAATTTCGAGTTACCCACTGGTGTCGAGAGATGCGCCTTTTTTGCCGAGGGTGTTTGGAGCATTTCCTGAACCAGAAAAAAGCAGCAAGACCAACCGAAGGAATTAAGGAGGTGTTGTTTGTCGCATCTGGGATGTTGGTCAACATTGTTGACCGCAAGGCTTAAGTTGTCCCTATTCAGCAGGTGCCTGAGCGCAAGCGCCTGGCTTTTGACCTCCCATGATTGCTTTTGTTTTTTGTTTTTTGTTTTTTTCTCTCAGGTGAGCCACAATCGAACTCCGCGTAATTGGAGGCTCGAGGACAGTCCCAGCCACAAAAAGGTGCAGATATCCGCCCTTTCTTCAGTATGATTTTGGATGGGCTCATTCACACTATGGTTCTGCCAATGACTCTGTTGAGCAGGGCAGGTACTGTGGCACTGCCAGCATGTTTGCTGAGCATTTGTCCATAGTCCTACGGGATGATCATTTCTTGGGTCCTCATCGTTCCCCTTTGAGCCAATTCTGGAGCCAAGGAGCCAATGATGAAGCGTCTTTTTTTGGGAGCTAAAGAGCCCAAATTACCATATCATTGGAATGTAAAGTGCGCTTCTTTCTTGATGTCTAAAGTCTTGGTGGATCCGGTGTCTTTTTTTCTCCTAGGGCGGTTTTTTACTATGGCTGGGTTGGTGGGTTGTTTGGTTGGTTGCTTGCTTGCTTGCTTGCTTGCTTGGTTGGCTTCCTGCCTCCCCGGCATCACCAGCCTCGCTTGGCCCGGGGGTCGCTATTGGCTCTGATTGCGAGGCAGTTGGAAGTTGCTGGGGGCTGGTTTAAGCTTGGGGGGGTTAGGCTGGCTTAGATCTTCATGAGGGTGGGTCTTGGGGTGGTTTGGCGTTGATTTAGGCGTAGTGAAGGGGCATCCAGGCTGCTGTTGGGCGGGTTTAGGGTTGACCTTGAGTGGATTTGGGGTTGGCTTTGTGTGTTGGTTGTGCTGCTCACCCTCGTGAAGATCTAAGACAAATACCCTCCCTCTCATGGAAGCTGACTCTCCTTTTGGGGAAGGCCTTTGTCCACTTCCCTGGTTGTTGAGAAGAGTAAGTTTTGAGTCCCAAGTTCTCACCTGACCAGTCCACTTCGGCAAGTCTGAATTGACCCGTGGGAAGTTCGGTTGACAATCCAGGAGCCTGATCTTCAAGCGTCCCGCTTTGCAAAACAGCACCTTTCTTTAGGGTTTCCGGCGGCCTTCTGGAAAGAAGGAACCCGGAAAACGCGAAGTTCGCGCTAGAACTTTTGCTGAAGGCGTCTAAGAACATTTTGGGAAGGATACGTGGTCCAGAAAGAACTCACTGCTTTTCCCATGTGCATGGGCAACAGAGAGTGGACATACGTCTAGGCAGGGACAAATGTCCGGTCCAATCAAAAACGCCAGGGTGTTCGGGTTGTTGGGGCTTGACTTGGTTGCACCTCGCTCACTCACATTTGATGTCTCCCGAGGTTTCGGGACAATATTCTCGAGGCAGGGGTTAGACGGTGTCTGGGCAAATTATGATGAGCTCGGGGTAAGACAAGCTCACCCATGGTCACCCTATTTACTTTTGGGTTACGTATTCCAATGCGTGAACTATACGTAGTAATATGTGGTTCACTGAAGTCGATGTCGCCCCTAGGCCTTAGTTGTTTATCATCTTATCATTTGCCTGGCACTGCATGGGGGATTGCAGTGAATGAAGAAGTCGCCCAGAGTTGAATTTACGTAGGCGGAGAAAATGACAGAGCGTATGTTGGGGATCCATGAGTATGGACAAGAGTGTACTTCCTTTCAAGTTGTCATGAGGTCTCTACCGGTTTATTGTGAACATTTATACGGGGTGGCTGAGGCACCATCCCTTTTGTTTTGGGGTATCACATTGTTTGGACGTCACGTGGAATTTGGAATAAAAAGTAAAATCCTCTTCTCATGTGTTTGTTGGTTTCATTTGAGGTCCAGTCAAGCAAATGAGTGGGTCCAAGGCCGATGCGACGGAAGCTAAGGAGCCAGAGAAGTGCTGCAAATGGTCACTACCGAAAGTCGGAAAATTGAATTGACCCCTCCAGAAGTGGTAGTTTATTCCTCTGGGTGAATTATGACGACCTCACACGACCTTACCCTAAATCGTGGTTTATGTTGGGAATAGCCCCCAAACCACCTTATTTCAGGCTGGTGAAATATGATTCACCCAGATTCCTTTGTGGACTGAGCTTCTGAGGAGGTGTAAACTTCTTCCAACGCACAGGCGCCAGACTCCGGCTCAGGAACTCTGAAGCGCCGCAGGGCACTCTTTTGATTGCACTAGCGGTTTTCTAGGATGTTCTGTTTGGGGTTGGTTTAAAGGCACACTAAACTGACAATGCCGTACCTTCCCCATTCTCTTCAGGGATCCTTCTCTTCAAAGAACAGGCAAAATCCCTTGGAAAATAGGTGGTTTCTAAACAGAATGATGGTTGAAGAGAATGGGGAATCAACCCTTAGAATAATGTCCATTTCTTCTTTTTATTTGGGGGGTGTCCTTTGACACGTAGCCTTTTGCGTCCTGTTAGGTCAGTTTGGCTGAGCATAGATGGCGCGGGTTTCAGCGTGCTTTGCATCATTTACCACTGCCTCGTTTTTGTTTTCCTAACATCACATCTGGGAATGTCTTAGCATGAGGCAACACGTCAAAGGCGATGACATGGGGCATGCTTACCAAAATGCCATTTTGGAAGTTTGGTTGCTCACCAGTATCCAATCTCATTCGGATGCTTTCTGCCGAATATCTGGGCTCAGCACCCCTACAAACGCTTGGCCGGAACGGCCAGGTGGTGCTTCCCTTGATCCAGAAGAAGCTGGAGCATTCTTCGTGGGAGGTCCCGTCGCGGAGGGCCAAGTGAAAGTGGGCTTCCGTCTGGGGTTACACCACCCTAAGTCGGAATCCCTTGGTCGTACATCCGAAAGCGAGGGACACTCTGGAAAAGTCAAGACGGCTTCATCAAATTCGAGGGAAGGGTCTTCCTCCCAAAGTGAAGGATACACTTTGGCATGGGATTCTGGATTTCAATCGTAGCAAACAGCAAACACACACTTTGTGTTGACCAATGTACTCGAGAAGTGAGATATTAGAATCACTGTTCGGTAGGAGCACTTATCTGCAAAGCGGATAGTTGTTGCATGAATACGTTTTTTGACGGCAACCTGGGCAAGAGGTAAATATCCAGGGTCTTGTCCAAAACTGCTTTACATTGCAGGGTAGGTTAGGTATGAAAGAGCATCAGCACACATGATTTTCTGTGCACAGGTGTCCAAGATATATCCGCTTCCTCTTGGTTTGGCTTTTGGTCTTTGCGCATCTCACAAGATATTCATCATGTTTGTTTGTCTCACTTTGGTGAAACCCGGCAGTTTCCCTTCACAAGTCAGCGAAGATGCCCATCTGACAAGAGATTCATCACATATGTTTGTGAGATTTCGGGGTTTCCCTGCCACAAATCAGAGGTTCAACCCCCTTCCGCTCTCCGGCCATGGCAGGTCCAGGAGTCGGGGGTCCTCGCGCTGGGCGCCATCGCCTTCGGCTGCATGGACCGAAGCTTCTCGGGAAAACGGTTCCGAACCGGGACCTGTGCCACAAGTTTTGGTTCTCTTCGGTGCAGTTTGCCAAGATCTTGAGACATAGGACTTGAAGTTTTGCCAAGTGGGTTTTCCGAATTTCCCATTAAACCACTAAAAGCTGAACAACAAAAGCAGGGGAGCAGAAAGCAACCGAGTCTTCGCGGTGCGAAACAAGTACCTTGATCTACGCACACGACGCTATACCTTGACTTGGGGCTGGGTGAGGTTTTGGTTTGCTTGGAGGTGGCAACCCTGCTGTTTGAAAGGCGCAACACATAGAAAGCTCACACATTTTGGGAGTCTGGTTGAGCACACACCCATAGCACCAGCTAATACCTCACTTGGCTACGGCAACGACATGGCCACCACTCACACTGCCAGTGAATGAGGGTGACTCGACCCCGTCATTTCAGGGTCATTTGGTCGCGCTTTCGAGTCGGACGTCGGAGCAACGAACCGAGTGGCGCAAAGAAAGGACGTCAAAGCAGGACACGTAACCCCAACATGCTTGGTGTCCCTTTGATTCGCTCAGTAGCTAAATTCAAGACGACTCTTCGAACACTATGGCTGGTTGCCCACTATTTTCAGAGGTAACTGGGATGCACTCGGCTTGATTCCTTTCAAGTCCACCCAAGCAGGATACCCTCAAAAAAAGACAGGCTCAGAGTCAGATCAAAGAAGCAGTTGGACTGGCTGAAGAGCCCTCACTCCCCGAGTTCCTTGGACATTTGTTGAAAGACTATTTTAGTGGTAAACAAAGAGTGTGGACATCTTTCGGCCAACCCAGGTAAGCGAAACATCACCTTGCCATTTGCGAGTGAGCTTCCTTTGGGCGGCCCCCAGCTGGATGTGTGGTCCCGGCAATCGTTCACAAGCAAAGCATCGGCCACTTGGCTCGCTCGAGCGCTTCGCGGAAGCAGAGCACGAAACGCATGGACCGTGCCACGCGGCGCAATCTTGGGATTTCCAACAGCCCTTTCTTTGAGACGTGCAACGATGCGTGCGAACTGGAGAACCCTAAGGTGGTGAACTGCTGGCTGTTCAACGGCTCATTCGCTGGATTTCGTTTTTTTTTTTTTTTTTTGTGTGTGTGTGTGTGTGTGTGTGCGTGTTGACGAATGTCCCTCCCGCGTCCTTGGTGGATAGCTTGCAGTTATTCCTGCAGTTTTTTCCAAGGCACCCAAGTAACTGGATGAAACATAAACTGCTTTTGGGGTCCTGGATGTGCTTGCTCTGGGTGAACGCCCCCGTGGCATGCTGTTTGTTCTTCATTCTCTCGTTTGGGGTGGAGTTCCCTCTAACATCCAGCCAGTGAAACAAGGCGGCTTGTGTTTTCGAGGGTCCCTGGCTCACCTTGGTTTAAAGCAGAACCAAACGGAAAACCTTTTTGGGAGACCCAAATCCCAATCTTGACCAGCCAAGCCCATTTGAAGAGGGATCTATTGGCCAACCGGCTCCAACCCCAGAGCGACCCCGGCTAGAAAATATCAACAGAACTCGATTCGGAAAAAAAGAAGAAGAAGAAGAAGAAGAAGAAGACAAAAACACCGCATCCTTGGGTCAGTTTGCTTGAACTGCAGCGCTTGTTCAGCTTGGTTCCAATCCTTTACTAAGTTTACCAGTGCCATCTGTTTTTTGCCAGACACGTATGATGTTGAGGGACAGCAATATTGGCTCTCTGACAAAGTCTTTGCCGCGGTTGTTCCTTATGGGGGGGCTGCAAGGTGCGAGCCAAATGCCACAGGGCAAAGCGTGCACGGCTTCTCCAGAAGCGGCGAGCGAATCGCTGCCATGGAATGATTGCTTTTTCGCTGCTTTTGCGCCCTCTTGCCTTCCAAACAACCCTGACAAAGGGGATCTCAAATCAAAATCGATTCATCTCGCAGCTTTTCAGTCCTGTCCGGGAAGACTCGAATAGGAGTCTGTTCCAAAAGGGGTCTCCCCCCCTCAATTTTGCTCACGTCGCGTGTAAAAGCAGTGCAAACGTGCAGGATGGATTGACACAGTACATGCCCAAGGCGCTGCCCTCAGCTTTTTGCGAACTGACCGTCAGTCGCATCAGTCGGTCATGGGGGCACAGCCGTTGGCTCACAAATGCCCAGATCATCAATGGCATTGGGAGGGGATCCGGATCAGCTTCAGGTTTGCAAATCTGGGGTCCGGGTGAACTCTAGAAGTAGAATCTGTCGGAGGAGGGTGTTGCAAAGTGAAGAATCCCCAAAGTAAATCCGACACCACCTGATTGATTTACCAAAAGACAGAACTCCCTGGAGACTTCTTTGCATTTCAGCTTGCTTCTGCCATTTGTTTGCGAGAGAGGAGCCAACATGTGGTATGTCAGCAAATCCCTTGTGGGGCCTCTTGTTTTCGGGGCCTTCCAAAGAGCTGGAAGAAGCAGGAAGCATCAGGAAACAGCAGCAAAGAAACATGAAACAGCAGGAAACAAAGCAGCCCTTGAACGTAGAGCTCGCGCTTGCAAGTGGGAGTGACAACGCAGGTGTCGCCCACAAGCGTCCACCAAGACAGCCCACCAAGAGAGGCACAAAGGGAGCCGACAGCGCCTGCAAGCGTCCTTGAAGTGAGCGCCCACAACGAAATGCCATTCCTTCAAGCCAAGCCGAAACTGGCTGATGCTGGCCGAGGCGGGCAGCGCGAAGCGTGTACAATAAAAATGTGTGCTCGCGGAGCTTACCCTGGAAGTCTTGCGGGCGATGTTCATGAGCGCTTGCGGACGCTTGTGGGCGCTCCTTCGTGGGGCTTGTGGGCGCATGTGGGCCACAAGGACGGAAGTCTTGCAAGCGTGCATCATGGCTTGCGGGCGCTTGTGGGCAGCACTGTTGCCTCTGTGGGCGTTCCTCTTGGCGGGTGCTTCTAGGCGCATGTGGGGGCTCTTCTTGGGCGCTTTCGGGTGTGCGGCGCATATGGGCGCTCGCCCACGCTCTCTGCTGGGTGCGCTTGTGGGCGCATGTGGGCGGGGTTTCATTGGGTGCTTGTGGGGCGGCACTGTTGCAGGCGCTCCCTTCATAATTGCTTGCGGGCACGGGTGGTTGCGGGCGTTCTTCATGAGTGCTTGCGGGCGCTTGTGGGCGGCAGTGTTGCGCTGTTGCGGGCGCCCTCAGCGGTCCATATGAGGGCCGTCCTAAAACCCCAGTCTTCGGTTTTAATTATCGCCGAACGGGGAGAAGTAAAAGTTGCCAAAAGCTGTGCGCGCGCAAGGAGCGCGCAAGTGCGGCCCAAGGGACGCGCAAGGTTACAGTTTTGAAGGGTTTCATGTACTGATGTTGCCTAGCTTCATGAAAGGAGGTGATATTTTCTTGCTGTACTTGTGCTTTTCCAATCAGTCAGGCGCCAAACGAAGCCAACGCTTCTGCGGTCTTGACTTCAACAATCAGCAACTGACACGACAAAATCCGCGCAAGCCGCGCGCAAGCCGCGCGCAAGCCGCGCGCAAGTTGCGCGCAAGCACGAGAAGCCCCAGCAAAACATCTGGCCATTCATGCTGTCTCGGATGTCCTTAGCGGCGCGGTTCAATCACTGGATAGGCACCCGCAACATGCACTTTCCTTCTTTCAGGCTGTGTCCAAGCTGTGTGGCAGAGCCTGCTGTTCTTTCTGTTGAGTCAAGGGTATGTTGCTGGCATTGAATTGTCGGGAGCGACCTCAGCGGGAAAAGTCTTTGTGGGTTGCTGTGTGAACGACAAACACAGTGCTTAGAAAAGCTTGCGCGCAATCCACACGAAAACTTCGCAAACCGAGGTCAACGAAAACGAGTTTCTGCGCCACTGTGCGCGCGCAAGTCCGCGCAAGTGCCGCGCAAGTGCGGCCCAAGGGCCCAATCGCGGGCAAAGGAATATAGGACAACCCCCATATGGGCGCTTACATTACTGGGGTTCAAACCTTCGTTTCATGGGGGTTGAACATGTTTACCTGACTCTGAGTGGACTGGCCAAAAAATGCAACCAAAGTTGTCGTTTACAACTAACATGATCTTCCCAAAAGTAACTAAAGTCCAGGAACCCATCAGGGAGTGAGAATCCAAAGGGAAGGGTTGAAATTGCCGCCTGTTAATGTTTACAAGGGCGGCATTCAACGACACCTTCTGGCCCAACAGCTGAGAAAGGCTGCGCAACCCCATAGCCTTTGGCCGCAAGGTTGTTTTATTTCCGGACATCTAGCTGCGCCGCGCATATCTTTCCGTCAACCTATTCGGCTCGTCTTGTTGAGGGCCCGCAAGGAGATTGGGTGCTCCTTTTGCTTTCCCTGTCCCTGTCTGTCAAATTCGGTCAGGTCTTGTGTCATTTGCCCAGAACCCAAGCTTCTTGGTGCCACTCGCCTGCCCAATAAGACGCCCGCCCACAAGCGCCCGCAACGCTGCCCGCAAGCCCACACACACAAGCACAAGGAAGAGCGCAACGGCGCTCCCGGAAGACGCCCGCAACACCGACGCCCACAAGCCCAGGAAGATGCCTGCAACGCCCACAAGCGCCCGCAGGCCCAAACAGCACAAAACTCTCCGCAAGTGCCCGCAAGGAAGAACAGCCGCATCAAAACCACGACGCCCAGAGAACACCGCCCGCAACGCCCAGCAAGAACGCCACTCACATGTGAGTATCTGGGAAGCTCAGTTTTAGACCCTTTGACCGGTTGATGGACAAAGTCTCACGTGTTGGGGTTGGACCATTTTGGTGGTTGTGGCTTTGGACATTTTGCTGAGCTTGTGTGGGCGTTGTTGTGGGCGTTCTTCCTTGCGCGGGCGTGGGTGGCGTTGTGGGCGTCGGTGGCGTTGTGGGCGCTCTGTTTTGGGTCTGCGGGCGCTTGTGGGCGGTGTAGTGCGCTCTCTCTCTCTGTCTCTCTCTCTCTCTCTCTCTCTCTCTCTCCTCTCTCTCTCTCTCTCTCTCTCTCTCTCTCTCTCTCTCTCTCTCTCTCTCTCTCTCTCTCCCTCTCTGTCTGGAGTTTGTGGGTGTTAGCGACTCCGGAGGCTTGTTTGTGGATGACCTCCAGCTACTTTTGTGAGTACCCAGGCGCACGTAAAACTTCAGCGCTTTGTGTGTCCGTGCGCGCACACGCTGCGTACGTGAATCAGTGTGCAAGAAACAGCTGGCGGCGGGAAGGGAGAGAGGGAGGGAGGGCGGAGAGGGAGGAAGGGAGTGCGTGTTTGAGTGCGTGTGTGTTGAGTGAGTGAGTGAGTGAGTGAGTGAGTGAGTGAGTGAGTGAGTGAGTGAGTGAGTGAGTGAGTGAGTGAGTGAGTGAGTGAGTGAGTGAGTGAGTGAGTGAGTGAGTGAGTGAGTGAGTGAGTGAGTGAGTGAGTGAGTGAGTGAGTGAGTGAGTGTGTGAGTGAGTGAGTGAGTGAGTGAGTGAGTGAGTGAGTGAGTGAGTGAGTGAGTGAGTGAGTGAGTGAGTGAGTGAGTGAGTGAGTGAGTGAGTGAGTGAGTGAGTGAGTGAGTGAGTGAGTGAGTGAGTGAGTGAGTGAGTGAGTGAGTGAGTGAGTGAGTGAGTGAGTGAGTGAGTGAGTGAGTGAGTGAGTGAGTGAGTGAGTGAGTGAGTGAGTGAGTGAGTGAGTGAGTGAGTGAGTGAGTGAGTGAGTGAGTGAGTGAGTGAGTGAGTGAGTGAGTGAGTGAGTGAGTGAGTGAGTGGGTGGGTGGGTGGGTGGGTGGGTGGGTGAGTGAGTGAGTGAGTGAGTAGTGAGTGAGTGGGCGCTTTTGCTGGGCTTGCGGGCTTGCTCGCTTTTGCTGGGCTTGTAGGGCTTGTGGGGGCTGTTGCTGGGCTTGTGGGCGCTTGTGCGCTCTCTTGGGCTTGTGGGCGCTTGTGCTGGTTTTGCTGGGCTTGGGCGCTTGTGCGCTCTTGCTGGTGGGCGGTTTTGCTGGGCTTGTGGGCGTGTGTGGGCGGCTGTGGGCGGGCGCTTGTTGGCGCTGTTGCTTGGGCTTGTTGGCGCTTGTGGGCGCTTGGGTGGGCGCTTTTGCTGGTCTCAGCACTTGTGGGTGGGCGCTTTTGCTGGCCTGCTCTTGCTGGGCTTGTGGGCGCTTTTGCTGGGATTGTGGGGCTGGGCTTTGGGCGCTTTTGCTGGCTTGTGGGCGCTTGTTGGCGCTTGCGGGCGCTCTTGGGCGCTTTTTTGCGGGCTTGCTGGGCTTGTTGGCGTTGCTGGGCTTGGTTCTTGTGGGTGCTTTTGCTGTTTGGGCGCTCTTGTGGGCGCTTTTGCTGGGCTTGTGGCGGTGGGTGTTTGTAGGCGCTTTTGCCGGGCTTGTGGGCGCTTGTGGGCTCTCTTGGGGTTGTGGGCGCTTTCGCTGGGCTTGCGGGCGCTTTTGTTGGCTTGCGGGCGCTTGCGCGCTCTTGCTGGTGGAAGATGCCTCAAAGGAGTCAACTGCTTCAAGACGATGAGGGTTCCTCCGGACGATCGCAAACCTAGGCCCAAAGCAAATGTGTCTGAACTTTTGGTAAAAGACCCTTAATCCAAACCGGTTGTGGGTGGGCTTGTGGGCGTTTTTGCTGGGCTTGTGGGCGCTTATTGACTTATAACGCTTGTGGGCGCTTTTGTGGGCTGCTAAGCGCTTTTGCTGGGCTCGTGGGCGCTTGGGCGCTTGTGCGCGCTCTTGCTGGGCTTGTGGGCGCTTTTGCTTTTTGCTGGGCGCTTGTGGGCGCTTTTGCTTGGCTGGCCCTTGTGGGCACTTGTGGGCGCTCGTGGGCTCTTGCTGGGCTTGTGGGCGCTTTTGCTTTGTTGCTCTTTCTGGGTTTGTGGGCATTGTGGGCGCTTGTGGGCGCTTGTGGGCGCCGGTTTTTGGGGCGCTCTTGCTGGGCTTGGTTGGCGCTCGTTTTGGGGGGCTCGTGGGTGCTCTGTTTGTGGGCGGGGTTGCGGGGGTGGGCTTGTAGCTCTTGGCTTGGTGGGTGGTGTTGCGGGCGCCGCGCTTTTCGTGGGCTTGTGGGTGCTAGTGGGCACACGCGGGCTCTCTCTTGGTTTGCTTCCGTGTGGGCGCATGTGGGCGCTTGCTTGTGGGCGGAAGTGCTGCGGGCGCTTTCTTGGCGGGCGCGTGAGCGCATGTGGGCGCATGTGGGCGCATGTGGGCGCTTGTGGGCGGATGTGATGAGTGCTTGTGGGCGCTTGTGGGCGCAGGTGCTTTCTGGATGAAGTGTTGTGCTGCGGGTTGTGAACGCATACAAACGCTTGGAAGAAGTGCCTCTTTGATGGGTGCTTGTGAGCGCACGTGCGCTTGTGGGCGCTTGTGGGCGCCGTCAGTCTGGGTGGGTCATGAACGCATGCGGGTGGAAGTCTTGGCGGTGTGGGCGGTAGCGTTGCGGGCGCTCCAGTCATGTGTATGAGGGCGCATGTGGGGCTGAACTGTTTTTGCGGGCGGTTTGCGTCCTTGTGTGGACGCTTTTAGCTGCCATGGACACTTTCAGTCGGCGGTGCGGGTACTGGCACTTGCGGTTGCTTCTGGGCGGCGTTTTTGGGGGTCGCCTTCATGCGCATTTGGGCGCTTGTTGGGCGGCAGTGTTTAATGCCTTTCATGGGCGCATGTGTGCGCTTGTGGGCGCTCTTTTGCGGGTCTTGTGGGCGCACGTGGGCGCTTGTGGGTGGAAGTGGTGCGTGCGTTCTCCACGAGTGTGCATGTGGGAGCTTGTGGGCGCTCAGCTTACGTTCGGATGTTTAGATGTTGCAGTCATCAGTACAAGAGTATATCGCGTCGGCATGTTCTTGAGACGCGCTGAGCCAGCGTCGACTTTGGGCGCTTGGGCAGGTTTGGGATCTGGGTGTTTTTTGTTTTTCCTGTGTTTTCCCGTGGCTTCAAGTTTTTTCTGGAGGGCAGAAGGCCCCCACAAGCCAAGGCCCCAGATGAAGTTTGCTGGGTATGCCAGTGGCACCCGTTGGTTTTCGTTGTGTCAACGTCCCTACATTCCAACTGGAGGTTATAAAGATCACATGGGGATGACTTGGGCGAGTTTTGTTCTAGTGGGGTTGTCATGTTTGACTTCAACTTAGTTGCTCAGAGGCCAGCCTTCCACGGTCCCACAAGCTTGCCTGTGTTATTTGTTGAGTCGAGTTGTGACAGGGGGAAAGAATCAACGCTACCCAAGTGGTAGGCAAAAGTAAGTAGGTGGCAGTGAACCACCTGAAAAGTGGTTGGTGTGTCAACTCACTTAACTATACTCGGAAAATGTGGGCCCGGTAGAAGCAACCCATGTGGGGAAGGTGATCCCGGATGGCCTCAATGAGGGTCGCCCCAGAAACGCTTAGGGCATCTCCTGTCATTCTTTCTGGCTTTTGAGGGTCCGTGTAAATCCAACCCCCACAAAAACGTGTGCCATCGTGTTTCCCCATAAAAATCCAGAATCTGGGATTCAATCCTAGGTTTAGTCAACACGACACAAATCCTTCATAGGAAGCCTTTGGGGCCCCCGAGCTCCAAATCCAACCATCCCATGCCCAGGTGTAAATTGGGGCTCGTCTTTCTAGGGTCGGACCCCCCCGTTTCTTTGGCTTTTTGCTCAAGCCACGGAGAAATGCACATTTGAAAAAAAGGTGTTCTGCGGGTATGACTGGTTTGGGCGGCTCTAAGCCTAGATTTGCACATGTGGAAACCACATGGCTTTTTATTTGAGTGTCCGCTACTACAAGGACTACTTAAACCCAGTTCATGAGTGACACTGTTTGTCCGTTGGTTGCCCACCAAAAAGGTAGCAACCCGCGGGAGGATGGCATTCTCCCCCGGCGGGTCACCGGGCATACCTAGGGGGCCAAAGCAAAAGCCAGTGGTTGTCTGGCATTTGGAGGAGCCGCTGGTTTTTCTAGGCCACCTCTTCCTCGGGAATCGAACCCTTCCCGTGGGCTTGTTTGCGCAGCTTGCCGCGGGACCTGTTTATGCCCTTTGGGAGTTTGAAGAATGTCAATGTGGGTTTGGTTTGCGTCAAACTAAGTGGGACCACTTCAATGGCTATATACTAGTCTCTTCTCAGTTGGCCTTCAAGCCAAAAGGAAGTTCCAAGACGCATTCACAAAGGGTGTTGTCTTAAAGGAAAACCAACAGGGCACTCAGGTGCCCCTCGGGCGCCTTTCTGCTCATGGGCTCATTGCATCTTTTTTTTGTATGCTTTCGGGGTGTGACCTCCGGTGTCTTCGACTCACGCGAGGTGATGGAGCTTCTCCTGAAGCCTGGAACTTTGCTTCGGCTTGACCCAGTGGTTGGCATTTTCAGGTGTCCTTTTCTTGGGGCTTTTGCTGAAATGGTTCAGCAAACACGTGCCAATTCATCTTTTCCCCATGGACATCCTGAGTTTGGGTCAGCAGTAGTTAAGCCAGAATAGCTAACGTGGCATTTTGGGTTTTTGTTGAGGGATTTCTTGGGGGCTGGCATTTGACATCTTAAATTGGCGGTTGCTGAACGCACAAACCCAGGCTTCGAACCAGCGCAGAAAAAAAAGGGCGTATGCGGACAGCCTAGATTGGCACCTGTTCCAGAGCACCCTTTCTTGGGTAAATTCCAAGCCGAACACGGTTATAGTCGCAAAAAGGGTTGCCCTTTCCACCAGGGTTGCCTTTTTCGAAGTCACTCTTTGGTTGGTCCGCTTTCAAAACATCGCCTCCCTCGGCAGTTGCGCTGGCTGCCCACACCATCCCGTCGAAAAGCGGTGTGTCTTCTTGACAGGGAATCGGAGGACAGGGGCCGTTTTCCCTTTTGGTGTCCCTTTACCATCCAAAACGGGTCCCTCAAACAGGGAAATCAAAACACTTTGATGGAAAGCAAAACAGGGATTTCCCTTTTGCCGTCCCTAAAAAGGGCACCCACAAAAAAAGGACCAGCCCATTGCAGATGGAATAAAGATCACCTTCTGGGTGCCCCACAAAATAAACCCGCCTGCCGAGTCTGGTCCGTGCTCCCAAACCGCTGCTGCGGAGCATCTCGTGCTGGCCCGGGGCTGAAGTGCCGACGAGGTTTCCTATATTAAGAGGCTTCCGTTTGCCTAAGAATACTTGTTTTGCCTTCTCCCCTGATGGTTTCAAAGGTAATCTATCTCTATTGGACATTTTGTTTCATTTGCCCAAGAATACTTGTTATTTCCCTTTGTTGGTTGAAAGGGAATCTATCTCTATTGGAGATATGTTTTTGTTGTTTTTTCAGGGCACTGAAGCAAATGGGATGGGCAAGGGGGCCCTTTGGGGCCGAAGTTGGGCGGAAGCGCTCTGCGCGGGTTTCAGCAAGGTCATAAGAGGAAAGTGCCTCACTTGTAGATCCCTTGTTTTTTTTGCCGAGTTTTACGGGTTTTTTGTCCAGTTGCATGCTCACTCTCCATGTACGTTTGGTACTTTCTAGGAAGACCGTTTCAGGAAAAAACAAGTTGGACTTTTTCGCACATCCCGGTGCTTCCAGTTACCACTCTTGGCAGCCAGGTAGGTTTGCCTTTACTTTAGATAGGATGGCTTGTATCGCAATAGTACTTTAAGCACCTGGCGTGGCCATGGCTTTTAGGTCTATGGGCCTGAAAACTCGCTGGTGGACACGAATCCAGCGGTATGATGTTCACAGAGGGTTCCCAATTGAACTCATGCCCATGTCCCTGCGCTGGAGGTGAGGTTTTCTTTGGCCCGGGTGAAATGAGAAAGGCGCCACTTGGGGTTCGTGTTTTAAAGCTCGGAGTCAATTTGATGGCCCCCCTCCAATCTGGAGACAATCCACTCTTTTTAAGATCTCGGATAGTTTCCACGAACCCCCCCCCCCCCGCTACCCAGCTAAGAATATTGCGTGCAACGATGTTAAATCCACTACGCACTCTGAGACAATCAGCGATTTCCGTACTGCCAGGGCCTCTATATTGTCGTTGCCAAGGTGCATTCGAATACCACAAAAGGATGCTTTGTCTACATGGTTGTTGACTTTTGCATTTCAAGGCCACTTTCAGTCATACTTTAAAGTGACAGAGTGGTCACCGGGAGGGCCCACTCGAGTATCACAGCAAGGCTTTGTTGAACATGTTGTTTCCAGGTCGGGCAACTGGGATCAGAGGAGTAGCACCCCGGGTATTTGTCCGGAATCATGGCGGAAAAGTGGGCTGTATGCTGACTTGCTTGGGTATCACGCATTTCAGGTCGTGTTTGACAACCAAGTGAAGGCTTTCGTGGGTTCGATTTGTGAACGGCATGTAAGTAGCCATGACGCAATTGTAACTCGAAATGGTGTAATCAAAGGCTGTGCAGCTCGAACTTGGTATTCAAACTTAATCATTAAATCAGCCGTCCCTGTGCAGGACAGTGGCGCGATTTTCCTCCTGGATTTGCAACGACCGCATCAATCCGCAGTCGGCGCAGGCAACGCGGATGTTCCATGGAATATTGAACGGATGGCCCCACAGATAAAGCATGAACAAACCCACACAACAGACAAAAAAGACACGAACAAATGAGCGCACAAACAAGCAAACAAGCAAGCAAGCTAGCAAGCAAAGAACACAAGGAAGCAAACAAACAATCACGCAAGTAAACAAGCAAGCAAACAAACAAGCACGCAAGCAAACAAGCAAGCAAGCAAACAAGCTAGACACAAACAAGCAAGCAATCAAGCAAGCAAGTACAAAAACTAAACAATCAGTCAAACAAACAAACACACAAGCAAGCAAGCAAGAAGCAGGCAGGCAGGCAGGCAGGCAGGCAGGCAAGCAAGCACGCAAACAACACAATAAAACAAGCAAGCAAAAACAAACAATCAGTCAAACAACCACACACTTACGCAAGAAAGCAAGAGGGCAAACGAACACATAAACAACACAAGCAAGCAAGCAAACAAGCAAGCAAACAAGCAAGCAAACAATCTAGTACACAAAGAAACACCACAAGCAAGCAAGCAAGCAAGCAAGCAAACAAGCAAGCAAACAAGCTAGCACACACAAAGAAGCACAGCAAGCAAGCAAGCAAGCAAGCAAGCAAGCAAGCAAGCAAGCAAGCAAGCAAGCAAGCAAGCAAGCAAGCAAGCAAGCAAGCAAGCAAGCAAGCAAGCAAGCAAGCAAGCAAGCAAGCAAGCAAGCAAGCAAGCAAGCAAGCAAGCAAGCAAGCAAGCAAGCAAGCAAGCAAGCAAGCAAGCAAGCAAGCAAGCAAGCAAGCAAGCAAGCAAGCAAGCAAGCAAGCAAGCAAGCAAGCAAGCAAGCAAGCAAGCAAGCAAGCAAGCAAGCAAGCAAGCAAGCAAGCAAGCAAGCAAGCAAGCAAGCAAGCAAGCAAGCAAGCAAGCAAGCAAGCAAGCAAGCAAGCAAGCAAGCAAGCAAGCAAAGCAAGCAAGCAAGCAAGCAAGCAAGCAAGCAAGCAAGCAAGCAAGCAAGCAAGCAAGCAAGCAAGCAAGCAAGCAAGCAAGCAAGCAAGCAAGCAAGCAAGCAAGCAAGCAAGCAAGCAAGCAAGCAAGCAAGCAAGCAAGCAAGCAAGCAAGCAAGCAAGCAAGCAAGCAAGCAAAGCAAGCAAGCAAGCAAGCAAGCAAGCAAGCAAGCAAGCAAGCAAGCAAGCAAGCAAGCAAGCAAGCAAGCAAGCAAGCAAGCAAGCAAGCAAGCAAGCAAGCAAGCAAGCAAGCAAGCAAGCAAGCAAGCAAGCAAGCAAGCAAGCAAGCAAGCAAGCAAGCAAGCAAGCAAGCAAGCAAGCAAGCAAGCAAGCAAGCAAGCAAGCAAGCAAGCAAGCAAGCAAGCAAGCAAGCAAGCAAGCAAGCAAGCAAGCAAGCAAGCAAGCAAGCAAGCAAGCAAGCAAGCAAGCAAGCAAGCAAGCAAGCAAGCAAGCAAGCAAGCAAGCAAGCAAGCAAGCAAGCAAGCAAGCAAGCAAGCAAGCAAGCAAGCAAGCAAGCAAGCAAGCAGTGCAGCAAACAAACGAACAAGGAAGTAAAGAAACAAACTTACAATCAATCAGTCCGTCAGTCAGTCAGTCAACCAACCAACCAACCAACCAACCAACCAACCAACCAACCAACCAACCAACCAACCAACCAATCAATATATCTATCTATCCACCTGTCAACCAAACAATCAAACAAACAAACAAACGAGCGAACAGACAAACAAACAACCACAAAGGAACAAACGATCAACCAAACACACAGACAGACAAGCAGACAAACAAACACTCAAACAACCAACCAAGCAGACAAACAAGTAGAAAGCCTGAAGGGGAGCTTTCCTTGCCATTGCCGAAACTAGGTGCGTTTCCCATGGTGGAACCCTCATTTCAGGGGGGGTTGCTTCAAAACAACACCAAGAAGGGTACCCACGACGAAGACAAATTAGAAGTTCACAAAGCCAACATCGTTTTTGGGATGGACGGAGATTTGCCCTTTTGGGTGATAGTCTTAGTGGCAAGACGTTTTGTTCGTCCATATTTCGTTTGGGATGGACTTCTCTCTAAAAGCAGCTCTGGCGTCTGGGCAAGTAAGACATGTATTTCAATCAGAACAGCAAAACAGGGGTTAACTTGAACTTGCTGGCCCACCTTCAAGCAAGCTGAACAACCGGCAACTTGCAGTCAGGGCTGTAGTTGGAAACTTGGTTGTCATACACATCTATTGTTTGGGAGTTGTTCTTCTTGCCCAGAAGCTAGCTGGGGTGTTGTTATGTTCAGGGTCTTGCGCACGAATGGCAGACACAATCATGTGAGGCCGCCCAAAAACATCATATTTAGTGAGAAACTTTGTCGTGCCTGTCGAGCCACTACGGGTGCGGCAACCAGTCCGACCTTGATCCAGAAATAGGGTTGCTCCGATGTCCGGAAGGTAACCAAACTCCCATGTTGAACGTTGGTTTCGTTTTCTTTCCCGGCGATTCCATTTACCAAAACAAGTATGGCACCGACAAAACCACCCTATACACAAAAAACATGTTGGGTTATTTGCTATAGTGGCAACTAGGATCCACCAGGTTTGGTTTCCTGGTCCAATGTTCCCATCGCCCGCTCGCGTCTTTGGAACATCCCTGACCATGGCGATAGCCTAAGCGCTGATCTTGTTGACATGCGACCCTTCGAGGGTAAGATGTTTGGATTCCGCAGAAATCTGGGGGATGTTGGGTCCAAAGGGATCGAAGTGCAAGAGGTGCTTGGACCTTTAGGATACGGATGCGTACACCGCCAGAAGGGAAACCACAAGGCCACCGGCATTTGCTGCGACGCCTGTCGGATCCTGGCATGCTTGCCCTTCCCGGATCCAGCTACTCTTCTCTGGATCAGGGAAGCTATGGAACACCTAGAGGTTCCGAGTCAGCTGGAAGACCTGGGATTGGAACACATGCCCGGTGCGAAGTGTGAAGATTGGCTTCCAGCTGTTTCTTTGCCACTCGGTGGATCAGGGCTCCTTAAAAGATACATGTTGCAACCATTTGAAACATGTTTTTTTCCACCCAAATAAAGGGAAACCGCCATTTACAAGGCAATGTTCAGGTGTATAATGTAAGGATCCCTGTGGATTGTTTCTGGGGAAGCCTGGGAAGCTCTTGATGCAACATATGCCTCGGATACCAAGTGGCGTGAGATGTGCTTCTGGATAGCGGTTGTGGCAACTTACTGGTTGACTTAACAAGCTTTAGGCTTTTTTGCTGGCTGGTGTCTTCGGCATTTTAGATAAGCCCTAAACAATCAAGTTTGTTTCTGACCAGTAAACTCAGAAGAAGAGTCTGTTGTGCTCTTAAACAGCAAGGTCTGACTTGACAGGCTCTCAAGTCAGCCACAAGGGTTGTGTTTGAAAACAACATCATTGGTGTGGCTGTGGGTCAAAACCAATGGTACCAATTTGGGGTAGGTGCACCACCCATTTTAGTCTATTCTAGTGGGGTTTGGGATGTTCGCTGGGGGTACGGGATTTTGACCCATGCCCGTGTCCTTTTCTTTGGACAAGTAGATGGCAAGCTGGTTTCCCAGTGCGATCCATTCTTATCCAAACTGACCTTACACAAGATGCTCAACCTGAAGTGAGCTCGATCCAAGTTGCCACTATAGCAGGTGGCCATGATTTGTCCCACCTAAAGTGGGCTGCATCCCGGTGTTCAATTCCATGAAAGTTTAACAGTTCTTCTCCAAGCTGGCCTCAACCAAGGGCACCTATGATCCATAGTTTTTGTCTTACATTCGGCAAGTTGAATCGTGCTGCGTCAGGTGCTGAGATCAGTCCTTCAGCAGCTGCTCTTGAGAATCCTCGACAAGAACAAGCGAGTGCAAGAGGCGCAAACGCCTCTTCTTTTCGGTGGCGACATGTGCCATGGCCACAAGGCACCCAGTCACTAGGGTGGCTCATGAACCCTTGAGTAGGAGATTTTGACAACCATGGTTCAGGTTGCGTGCGGAAGGAGGGAAAGATTTGACCCAGCTCTGGCTCACGCGGCACACCAAAGAAGTTGGAGCCAATTCCCAAACTCGGTTGCAACAGGTCAGCCTGACCTGTTGCTTCTTTTTGTGGGTCAATAGTCCCTACATGCAGTTTTGGACGAGAAAGGTGTTTGCCTTTGATTTCCAGGATTCGCTTCCCAAGTTGGTGGGAAGATTGATACCCGAAATCCACCTAGAATAGGCGATGGTATGAGTAAAACAATGTTACTCGGACAGTATAAGACCTGGCCGGGCCAAAGTTCCCCCCGGGTACCACCCGTGGAGACCACAAAAAGTCCCCCTAAATCCACCTAGAAGTTGGCGGTACTAGGTGGTGTTATCCAACCCAATGCCCTGAACTACGCATTGCTGGAGTCTAGCTTCAAATGGTCATATTGAGGGTGTCCCTCGAATCACGAAAGCTACTGTAGCTAGGTGTAGTTTCTACTTGCGCAAGCGAGTGCATGGCCTTAATCCCCAGTTCTTGCTCCTGCGGTTTCCTAGCTTTCGTCCACCCCCGTCCTCAAGAATAAACCGCCCTTCGGCCTGAGCGGAGCAGGCGGCTTGCAGCGCTTTTGCCACGCTCGAAGAAACCGCCGGACACCGAGTGGGGAGACAATTAATAAATGGCTACATTCAGGGGCCGTTTGCTTCAGTTTTTGTTTGTGGGGGAGGTTTAAACTTTAGGGTCGGCTATCAGAAAACGTGGCTTCGGCAGGTCTGGGTACAGGGGTCAGTATACTCTGATCAGTTGATTTGCTCAGATCGGCTTCCGGTTAGTCTCAAGATGAACTTCGTCTGGGAGGATGTTTCTGGGGGACGCATAAGAAACTCGGTTACACCAGACACCGTTCCGGGCTCACAACTTCCGCTTCTAAGCGTTGGCTTTCAAGGTTGCAGAAGAAATGCGAGGTAGGCGCCCGTCCTCAAAAGCCTTTCTAAGTCTTAGGACCTTCCTGCGACACCCGGGCATTTGGGGAGAAACAGTGCAGAATTCCGGTTAAGGGCCACCCAACTCCCCACACAGGTGATGATAGGGATATCAAAGGCTACTGTTTGAGAAAGGCAGGTACATTCCGGCGACCCCCTCTTAATCAAGGAACCCTAAGCACACGTTCTGACAAACGAGTTCCAACTTGCACCAAAAAGGACAATCATGTGTGCAGCATCCCAGAACCCATTCTTGGAACCTATTGAACGTGCCACCAAGCGAAATCCAAAGGTGTAGAACCTGTGGTTGTCCCTTAAGGTACCTTCTAAGATGATACTAGTACAGGGCTTCAGGGCGTCGTATCACAAGCCACTTGCCGGAACGGTGACTTGCCCAGCCTGGCACGTTTACCGGGTTGGCAACTTTCCCCGACCTATGTCAGCACTGGTATCAGTTTGGTTCCAATCGTTGACAAGAAGCCGTCCATTTCGTTGCAAGGTACCTAGATTTGTGCCTCGGACGGCAAGAAACATGCACACGAAGGATTAGGAGAATAACTCAATCCTATCCCAGGGTGCGATCGGCACCAGGGTTGGGCAAAATGAGTAGGAAACCAGAACCCGACGGTGGCGCTGAAAAAGGGAACCGACTGGAGACGATTGAAACAGGGGGGCGGGGCTCAAATCCATCAAAGGGCCTTGGCGAAGGCGGGCAGGATTATATAGTCCAGCCTGAGGTTTTTGTTGCGCCTCATTTTAGTCTCACTTCCTGAGTTTATGAACTTTAAACTTTTTGGGAGGACCATTTTAGTGGTACAGAAAAAGTTTGGACTTTTTTTGGGCCATCCACTCAGCCAGTGAGTAGTAGATCAGGACTGGGGAAGTTGCGGGGTCCGGACCAGACGAAAGGTTTGTGGGGGGAACCCTTCAAACATTGACTGAGCAGCCATGGGGATGCGTATCACACGCTGGGGGTGGTTTGCCACATTCATGGACTTCTTCGGAGAGTCGGAGTTGCGCCGACGCTCAAGACAAGGACTGAACCACAAGGGTAGAATATTAGCCCACTTGTTTTTTTTACTTCCAGGTTCACATTTTCTTCATTCTGCCGGGGATTTCGGAGCGTGTGTCTTTTTGTCTTACCTTACCCAACATTTATCCTTACTGTGGATGAACAAAATCCTCCGCCCCTTCAGACACCCTGGAATAAAATTCGATTCCCCTGCAAAGTACCAATATTTTACATACCAGCAAACATTAAGGTTTCAGCCATGGTTTACCCTGGATTGATTCGATTTCCCTGCAAAATACCAACAAACGTCAACCATGGTTCGATTCCCCTGTACAATACAAATATTATGGTTTCAACCATGGTTTACCCAAGAAGGATTCGATTCCCCTGTAAAATGCAAACAATCGTTATGGTTCCAACCATGGTTTACACTGGAATGAGTCGATTCCCCTGTAATACCAACAAACGTTCTGGTGTCAACCATGGTTTACCCTAAAGTGATTCGATTCCACTGTAAATACCAACAAACGGCAAACGGAATGATTCAATTCCCCTGTAGAATACCAACAACCCTGTGTAAAATACCAACAAACGTTGTGGTTTCAACCATGGTTTACCCTGAAAAGATTCGGTTCCCCTGCAAAATACCACCAATCCCCTGTAAAATACCAACAAACGCTATGGTTTCCACTTCCACCATGGTTTGCCGTGGAATGATTCGATTCCCCTACAGAATACCAACAAACATTATTGTTTCAACCATGGCTTACCCTGGAAGGATTCGATTCCCCTTTAAATAATGCCAACAAATATTATGATTTCAATCATGGTTTACCCCGGAATAATTCGATTCCCTTGTATAGTGCCAACAATCGTCATGGTTTCAACCATGGTTTTCCCCGGAATGATTCGATTCCTGTATAAAATGCCAACAATCCTTATTGTTTGAATCATGGCTCACCCTGGAAGGAATCGATTCCCCTGTAAAATGCCAACAAACCTTATGATGCCAACCATGTTTTACCCTGGAATGATCGATTCTCCTGTAGGATACAAGCAAGCGTTATGGTTTCAACCATGGTATACAAAGGAATGATTCGATTGTTCCAGCAAAATGCCAACAAATCGTGATGGTTTCAACCATGGCTTACCTTGGAACAATTCGATCCCCCTGTAAAAATACCAACAAACCTTATGGTTTCAACCATGGTTTACCCAGGGATAATTCGATTCCCATGGAAAATACCAACAAGCGTTATGGTTTCAACCGTGGTGTGCCCTTGAATGATTCGATTCCCCTGTAACATACCAACAAACGTTATGGTGTCAACCATGGTTTGCCCTGGAATGAATCGAATCCCTGTAGAATACAAACAATCGTTATGGTTTCAACCTTGGTTTACAATGGAATGTTTCGATTCCCCAGCAAACTGCCCACAAATCGCGATGGTTTCAACCATGGCTTACCTTGGAACGATTCGATCCCCCTGTAAAATACCAACAAACGTTATGATTTCAACCATGGTTTGCCCTGGGATGACTCGATCCCCCTGCAAAATGCCAACAACTGCCTGTACAATACCAACAATCGTTATGATTTCAATCATGGTTTACCCTGAGATGATTCGATTCCCCCGTAAAATACAAACAAGCGTTATGGTGTCAACCATGGCTTTCCCTGAAACGATTCGATTCCCCCTTGAAATACCAACAAACGTTATGGTTTCAACCATGGTCTGTCCTGGTATGATTCGCATTCCCTGTAAAATATAAATAAACGTTATTCAACCATGGTTTACAAAGGAATGATTCGAGTCCCCAGTGCCCGTAAATCGCGATGGTTTCAACCATGGTTTACCTTGGAACGATTCGATCCCCTTCAAAATACCAACAAACGTTCTGGTTTCAACCATGGCTTACACTGGATTGACTCGATTCCCCAGCAAAATGCCAACAAATGGAGCGATTCAATTCCCCTTCAAAGTACCAACAAACGTTCTGGTTTCAACCGTGGTTTACCCTGGGATGATTCGATTTGCCCTGGGATGATTCGATTCCCCTAAAAAATGCCAGCAACCGTTATGGTGTCAACCATGGCTTACCCTGGAATGATTCGATTTCCCCACAGAAGACCAACAACCCCCTGGAAAATACGAACAAACATTGTGGTTTCAACCATGGTTTGCCCTGAAATGATTCGATCCCCCTTTAAAATTCCAAACGTTATGGTTTCCCATAGTTTTAAAGGAGAGCAGGTCCATCCATGGGTTTAAAGCTGTAAGAACGGATTTTGGCCATTGTCGACTGCCCCGACACTTCCAGGCCCGGCATTTGCTGGTTCCGTACCTGAACGACATTGCCTGGGCCCCTTTCTGTCTCGGCGAGAAGATGACATAGATTGGCGCGAGCAATTGGCGATCCTTCGCCTTATTTCTAGCCCCCCTCCAAATTTTATCATATGTCTTTGGCCGCCAGCAATCGGAGACCCCTTGTATGGCTGGATTGTTTTGTTTTGGTTCACTTTCGCGAGCTGACTCCACCCATTCCCTTGTTGATTGGAGGCGGGTGGGTTTGTTGTTTTTCTTGTCTTTTTTTTTACATACCCAGACCAGGCTGTCCTGATCATGTTGATCATGTTGATCATGTTGATCATGTTGATCATGTTGATGACGATGATGATGATGGATGATTATGATGATGATGATGATGATGATGATGATGATGATGATGATGATGATGATGATGATGATGATGATGATGATGATGCTTCCCCTGATTTGGTCCATGTTTAGTCACGATCCCAAAAGCTTCCTTTGCTTTGGGCAGCCGAGAGCCCGCATAGGTGCAGACCTTGTCCAAGGCGTTCCAGTACTACCAGGCGCCGGACATCAAATGGGAAGTCAATACGCGTACGCACCATATGACAAGCCCAAATCATGGGATTCTACGATCATCCAAATCCAGGGTCCCCACTGGGCAGCACTGTGTTCTTTTGAAGGGCACTCTTTGGGGTTGTTCCCAAGGAGCACCACAGAGAGCCACAGAAACCCCATGGGAGGGGGGATGCCAGCCACGAATCTAGCTTTGAGCTTGCAACACATGGCCCAAACGTTCGGAAGGAACCTTTAGGGTTATGATCGAAGGGTTCGGGAGGAACCATTCTGGGGGGGCGGGGGGGGGGGGGGGCGGCAAATCATTGGCCCTATTCTTGTGACTTTCGGTACCGTGGAAATCCTCTTTGGCGTGACGAAACAGATGGGGCCGGTACTTGGACTATTTGCGATAAAGTAGGCAACCGTTTGTTTTTTGCTTGAACCTCCAGACATGAATGATGGTCCTTTGGTTGCCGACCAGAATGGTCACGGAAAGCACTGGCTACTTGAAGGTACCAAGTGGGTTCTCCATTCTGATTGCTGCGTCTATCACCGTCTATCGGTGTTGGGTGTGCCCAGGCGTTTCTTGAAAGGCAAGGTCTCAATTGACCCGCTCAATGGGGTCCAGAACCTGTTGGATTAATGAAGAAGCATTCCCCAACACGGGAGGACGCCCTCTAAAATGGGACAAGCTCTTTTCATCAAACTGGCCCAAGTCTTAGAGAATGAGCCGGGACAAAGATAATTTGGCTGTCTAGTCCGTCTTTCAGAGCAAATCGGGGTTGGCCCTTTCACCTCACAAACCAATGCTTGGCACATTAGCCCCTTTTTCAGGGTCAGCTTTCGAAAGGTCAGCCTCAAATAGACAAAGGTGCCTTCCCCTTGTCACGGTTGCCAATGTTCTATGTTATTCGATATTTTTCGGAACGCTGTTTCTCTGGAGACTTCCTAACAGCTCCCACGCAGTGCATGTTCTGAACGGCTGTTGGCTTATCTCATGCAACTTGGACTAAACCGTCAGGCTTATCTGCCAGTTGGACTTGCGTTACTTTCTAAACAATACTTTCTAAACAACCCTTGGCTTGTCTCATCTAAAGCGTGACTTCTTGGCTTGCCAGGTGGACCCGTCGAACCGTTGAGACACGAAGAATTTCTTGGGACCTCTCTCGAGTTCTGCTCGCAGGCCAAGAACTTGCTCATCCTTTACGACGCGGTGGGCACATTGGCCGATGCCGTAGGCCGGAAAGCGGCGGACTTTTTGTTGGACACGCCAGAGGTTTGTTGTTTATGCCCAGTCAATGAGTTCCAGTGGGGGTTGCTCTGCATACCCACGGAACGGGAACTTATTGGACTTTAACCACTTCCGAAGTAAACACAGTCAATGGAATAGCTCCAGCCAAGATGTCGGCAGATGTGGCCTACGAATTTGAATGGATGACCTGTGGAGTTAGCAAGCTTCCACCATCTTTTTGGCCGCCTTCTGCCTGATTTTTGTCAAGGGGCAAATTTTGAGGGTGCCCTTTTTGTTCTGTTAGTTTCCAGGAGCCTTTTTCAATTCAAACTTATTCATCACCGATGTGTGTGTGTGTTGTTTTGTATGTGGCTTGGTCATTCGTCCCTTGTCTCAATCACTAGAGCGTCCACCAATTTAGGACACAAGTGATACAGTGATTCCATTTGGCATTTGTTTTATCGACAGAAGAACCCAGCCTTTCCCAATAAGCAGATTCCCAACACGCAGAGTCTGCTCAGAAAACATGCGTAATTGTTTGTCGGAGTCCATTTTCCCCCTTTTTGACCATTGGTGTGATACTACACGCGACAGGCATTGGCAGGAGACTGACCGACCCACGGTCAATACCAATGATTCAGTTTGTAGGACTTCCAGTAGATCCCAGTTGCCACTATAGTAAGTAACCCTTCTTGTTCTTTAAGGGTGGTTCAAATATACCTACTATATAAGTAAATGGGCTCACTGGGATCACTGGAAGTATGCCATTGTCTACATCATCATGCACATTAAGATACAATATACATTGATATGCATACACAGAAAAGTACATGTGTATATCCAGAGTTCCTTCGATTTGTTAGACATGGTATACGGTAGTTGGTCCACGGCACATAGACGGCCGTGGGGTTTTCAGCTGATTGGGTGGTTGGGGGGGGGATGGGGGGGTTGAAGGGGGGGATTGGGGGGGTGGGGATGTAATTACGTTCGTCGGCACGCGCCGTGCTTTACGTGAGCCCATCGTACACGCAGCAGCGCACGTGGGGGGGAAATGGGGGGGTGGGGATGTAATTACGTTCGCCGGCATGCGCCGTGCTTTACGTGAGCCCATCGTACCCATCGTACACGCAGCAGCGCACGTGGGGGGGGGAAGGGGGGGATGTAAATATGTTCGTTGCCGTGTCACGATGCATTTGGACTATGTTTTGCTTTTGAAGTCGAGGGGCATTTTCTGTTGTGCAAAGGGTTCACACAAGTAGCAAAAGGAAACCCTTGCAGGAATTGGTATAGAAACGCATGTGTATATATATATATATATATATATATATATGTGTCAACAAACAGTCTGTGGCCTATCAGGATGTCGATATTAGTGTCATGAGGGCAAAATGAAGGTGTTCAACACATTCACATGACACCAAGGCGACCACACATTGACGTTTGCAGAGGGTTTTGTGGCCAATCAGGATGTCGATATTGAACATGCATTCCTTGCCAGTGTGATGAGGGCAAAATGGAGGTGTTCAATACATTTACATGACACCAAGCGACCACACATCGACGTTTCCAGAGGGTTTTCCTTTTTGGGCTACCCTTTCTGTGACAAGCACGGTGATATGATGCTCAGCAAGAACGGTGATACGAAGGCTCTCGGCATGCAAAATGATGTTTGCTGTGTCTTTGCAAGTAGTTGCACCCCATTGCAAAACAGTCCTCGAACTCTTGAATAACGTGACGCTCGTGGGGCGAAACATAGGTTTGCATGTGAAACAGCTTGTAATTGCGGCGCAGAAGGGTGTGTCTCAGGAAAACACGTTTCCCCCATGGAATTTACAGCGCATGAGCGCAGAGGCGGTGACGTGCATGAGAAAACCTCACGGCCGGCTATGTGCCGTATACCTAGTTTGTTTCAAACAATGCCATATGTGCCGGCTATTCGACATGCCAGCAAAGCGCTATGTTTGCCTTAGGCAAAGCTTTCGATTTTACAGGAAGCCTATGACAATTCCAGCTCTTTACACAGGACATCTCAATAGTGTTCATCTAAGTAGATGTATGTATGTGGTGTGCATTTGTGTGTGTGTACAAATCTACAATGTGTGCTGCTATTTTGTACAGACATATATTTACAAACACTATAAATCTATGTTTATACACACACGTATATACGCACATGTGTAGACAAACATGTATATACATATATACGCGTTTACATATGTGCGCGTACACATTCTCGGGTCTAGTGGGGCCTGTCTCCCGTTGCCAGGACCAGAACTGGATACTCAGCAGCCCTCTCCTCAGCCATCGGGTGGGTGAATCCCCGGCTGGATCAGGCGCTCCAGGTTTGGACGTGGCGAATCTGTGGATCCACCTGTTGTTGGATACCAAAAGAGTACTAAACGATTACTAGAAGAAGGACCCACAGGGGGAAGAACAGGTGGGTATGGGTCAAAATGACACCACCAGGGGACCACACAGGTTTTAGTCCATTCCACTTGCCAGGCTTCCATTTAGGGTACCTATTTTTGACCCACAGGCGAGAATACACAAATACCTCCTCCAAACCGTTTTCTAGATAGGTGTAAATCATGGTGGGTCGTGGTTCTGGAGATGGGCATGGTCTTGGGGCAGTCATGGTGATGTTGATGTTGTGTGCCTGTGTCACGCAGTCACTTCAGGCATGTGTGTTTGCTTGCTAGTTGTTGCTTTCGGCTTGCTTGCGTGTTTGCTTGCTTGCTTGCTTAGTTGTTTGTGTTGTTTCTGTTGTTTGTGTTTGCGTGTTTGCTTTCTTGTTTGTTTGTTTGCTTACTTGCTTGCGTGCTTGCTTGCTTGCTCGTGCTGTTGTTTGTTTGTGTGTTTGTTTGTTTGCTTGTTGGTTGGTTGGTTTGTTTGTTTGTTTGTTTGTTTGTTGGTTTGCTTGTTTGCTTTTTTTTTTTTGCTTGTTTGTTTGGTTGTTTGTTTGTTTGTTTGTTCGTGTGTTCGTTTGTTTGTGTGTTGCTTGATTGCGTGTTTTTGTCTTTGTTATTTATGTGTTCGCATGTGTTGTTATTTTGTGTGTTTCTTTGCTTGTCTTTCCTTCTGTATGTATTTTGTTCGTTTGTTTCCTTGTTTGTGTGTTTGTTTGTTTGTTTGTCTGTTTTCTTTTTGCTTGTCGTGTTGTCGTGTAGTTGTCTTGTCGTGTCTGGTCTTGTCTTGTCGTGTCCTGCCTTTCCGTGCCTCGCCTTGCCTTGCCTGCCTGCCTTCTTGTTTGCTCGCTTGTTTGCTCGCTTGTTTGCTCGCTTGTTTGCTTGTTTGCTTGCTTGCTTGCTTGCTTGCTTGCTTGCTTGCTCGCTTGCGTGTTTGTTTGTATGTTTCTTCGCATGTGTGTTTGTTTGTATTAATTGGTCACTTGTTTGTGAAAGACGGCTTGGCCGCTTGGTGAGTTGTTTGTTTGGTTGCTCAAACAGCTTGTTTGGCCAAGGGCCCGTCTTTGGTCGCACAGGAAAATGAAGTGTCCCCGCTATCATGTTTTTGTTTGGCCCGGTTTAACAGCTACTCGTTAATTTGCAATTTGAGAGGGACATGGGGGACTCGCTAAATTTCCCACAGACACAAATCGCCAGTTGCCACATGTCCTTTTGTCGGCGATCTCTAGATGGTTGTGGTCCTGTTGGAGCAATCGCCTGAGGGTATAGATTCAACCTGTTCTAGTCCAAGCCCCAGCGGTTTTCATGGGTTGCCTGACAAAGCGGTTTCAGATTCCCCCCCCCCCCCCCAAAAGCCATCTGAGCGATTAAAGCACCCCCAAAAGGGTACCCTTTGACAGAATATCACGCAGAAGAACCAAAAGAGCAACGTGGGTCGTAACGCAAAGTGATTGCCAGGAACTTGAACTCGAGCAGCGGGGGCTGGCCAACGAGGTAACTGGAATGAGCCGGACCGGGCATGGTCTGGGGACTGGGGGCTGCTTGGCGTACGCTTTGGCTTCGGGGGCTATGAGGAGTTGGGGCTGCGGCGTTAGCTTGGAGCTGGCACCAGACGCTGGCAGCTGCGCAACGAAGGGCGCCGCTTTCGACAGGAGCGTGCGACCCTATCCCACGAGGGCGGCTACCCCCGCCCAGGTGCCTTCCATGGAGGCAAAGCCTCAGAGCAGAGCAGAGTAAGCCAGGTGGCGAGCGCGCGCGGAGTGAGACTTGAATGATTGTGGCTGAGCCGAGGCCGGATGGGCAACAAACATTCATGGCTGGTGTGTGCTCTGCAAGCCAAAGGCTGCACTAGTTGGGGCGGGGGACTGGGTGAAGGCCAGGGGGCGGGGTCTCGCTTCTGGGCAGCTGGGCTTTGAGCCGCGCACCGTGGGAGCTGACTGCTTCGCCGAGAACTGCGCCGAGATCGTTTACCCAGAAGTTTTCGTGGAAGTTTTTGTGGGGCACCAAGCTTATCAGCAGGACGCCAAAGAAAACAGAATCAGCCGGCAGCAAGCCCCTTGCCAGGTGCCGTTTAAGCTGGCAACACTAAGCCTGAAGGCCTGTAGCAGGTAGAACCTGGGACCTGTGCTGCCGGGGTCCCTTCATTGTTCGGCCGTCTACAGTGCGATTGTTTGCCGGAATTTAAGTGGTATCAGACGGCTATGAAATTCAACAGGAAACCACCCCACAAGCGGTTGATAAACATGAATCCCCACTTAAATTCAAAACTCACACCCACAGACAGAAGCATTGCCCACGTCCATGCTGAGGTACAAGCAGCTTGTGCTTGAACCGCTGTTCCAGAAGTTCAACAACACCCCGGACAACGACAGATCCATCATCGCGCTCTTCGAGCAACTTTGGCAAGTTATCTCTGCATGCCTTAAAATGGTTGCAGTTGGAACTGTTTTTGGGGGTGGTTTGCTTTTAAACCACCATTGAGCGGGCGATTGCGATGATGTTCCTGTTATGGCCAATATTTTGACACTAAAGACTGCCCCTCGCCCCTGTCCTCTCTAGTAGAGCCCCAATCACAACCTGGTTAAAGTAGGGACTGGTTGTAAATAGGTACGGGTATTCACCCTTTGAGTTCTTTACATTGTTTTGGGTGGTGGAAGCTTTCAATACCAGGTTTCTGTCGGGCAAATATGTCTTGTTTTGAAGCAGCGTTGCTCCGACCCTCGATGAAACGACCAACCCACAAAGGATTGAAGATTGGTTTTGCATCCTTTTGCGAACAGTTTCCCCTCGATTTCCGGAACACTCGTTTCAAGGAGCTTACACACCCCCTGAAGACGCCCGACAATTCGCAGAGTTCTTTGTTATTGAATGATCCCCAGAATTAGCTCCCCTTTTTTTTGGGGGGGGGTCCCTGTTTTCCACTAGCCAGGCAAACAATATGTTTTTTTGCCGGGGTCCTAATTCCAGCCTAGGAATCTGAGTGACACCAATTGCTTTTCGTCCTCAGCCGATGTCCGCCAGGTGCCTGTCGTCTTTGGCGCAGAACCTGGGGCCGTCCTTTATGCCCCTCTGCAAGCCGTGCGCGGCCCAGGGTCAAATCACCCAGACTCGGCAGATTTTTCGCCCACTCTCAAAAGGGTAGTTCAGTCTTGGGTTTTTAAAGGGAAACCAAGCAGAAAACCAACACTTTGTTGGGGGGGGGTCCGCTGAAAAAGAGACCATGTTGATGTAAACAGTGGAGAACATTGGCGTTGGGTCTTCTTGTGTTCCTTTTGCGACCCTGCCCCAGGAACTTTGGGACAAGAGGTGCTTTGTTCAACTTACCTTTTCGGCAAAATGACTCCTTAAAAAGTGGTACCCTCCCATAATGCAATGAAACATGCTCGGGTCATTCCCACGTTCCTCCCAAAGGGGAACCTTTGGTGGGCTCCATGTTGGTGGGAGGGTACTTGATATTTGTTTGGAGGATTCAACTTCTTGACAAGGAATCAGAGGACAAACCTTGCGGGTGACCAGACTCTGCCGAATATTGGCGAAGAACACGGCGTGCTGGAATTGTCAGTTTCATGTTGGTTACCTGCTGAAAGCTTTGTGAAGATGGGTCTCTCATTTAGCCACATTTGTTTTTGTTTTTTTAATGTTGACCCCGGATGAACCAGTTTTTGGGGTGTATCCTCTACAATGTGATTCAGTTTCCCTTCGGAATTCGGGCCGTCCAACAAAAGCAACCAGAATTTAGTAATCCTGGACCAACATTGATGTATCTTATACAGGGTTCCATTTTTTGATTTCCCCAAGATAGCCGTAAACCCAGAGGTGGTGCATTTTCCCAAGAAGGATATTCCCTGGGTGCAAGTCTACGTTTGTCAAAGAAATTGGAATCTATCAAAACAAGGCCCACCAAAATGTTGGTAGTCGATTCCTTTTGGTTTTCCTTTGAGCCAAAGGCGATCAAGTGAACTACGTCCAATCAGTTTCGTTGAGCTCGAGATGATATTTGCTGCTTTACCTCCAGCAGAGTGACAGACAGTGCTCCAACCCCTTGTTGTCTCCTACCTGCCTTCACGGTTGCGGCAAGGCCTGTATGGGTATATCTTTGCTTTTCTCTTTCAGGCAGGCTTCAAAGCGAAATCAAAGGGAGATCACCCAGTTTGGATAAGTTCAACCTCCTCACACCCTTAGAAATGTAATTGGGCGAGGGGGTGATTTTTTGAATTCCATGTATGGTTCCATGTTCCCTTTTCGGGAATACAAGAAAACGGGGCATTGCGTCCCGCACCCGGCCCCCCCTCCGCTTATGGTAGGGATGTTCGGCTCATTTCCCGGTCGACTGCAGGCTGGTGGACCGCTGTATGCGCCTCATTGTGACTGGCGCGCAGGCGGCACAAAGGCCAGACACCCGTCGAGTGGAGGATGGTGGATCTTCAGAAGCCACAGGAAATTTTGGGTGTGTGCTGTGGATTTCAAACATATATATATATATATGCATATACATGTATCCCTTTGAGTTGTTTTTAAAGGGAAGCCAAGAAGAAATTAAGCATTTTGGGGGTCCATCATTTTCAACAACCCCCCGCTTTCCAGGTTCGACAAGTTTGGGGAAGGATTCCTTACAGACAATTCGACTACTGGTGTCTGTTCTCCGGGGATCCGCACCGCGAGGATTCAAAGTTCCCTCAGGTAGCCAAGGGACACCACCAAGACGAGAGGCTCGTCTTGTTTCTAAGGGAACGTCTTAGACTGTTTTGTTGATTTTTATGAGGAAAACCAATAGGAAAACCGAAGACGCTTTGCGCGGTCCAACCTTGCAAAAGACACCCATTCACACAGAGCAAACGGGAAATCCGTGGTAACCTAGTAGAATGGCACCTAGGAGCAGGGCATGCCAGGGAATGCACACGGATTGGAGGCCTCGCAAAGAAATGGCAGCAAACTTCACAGAACGTTAGGGGCGATGTCTCGAACAGGCTCAAACAAATTGGCACCCCCCAGCCCCCGATAAACCCCCAGATGGAATCAAATGACAGCGTGGGTGTCTGTTTTGAGGGCACTTTTTGGTGGTCCAACCTGAAAGACACGCCGAAACCAGCTTTAACGCCCAGGTGGATGCAGAACCCCAACGAGTACGAGAAGCCGGACCGCGAGGCCGGACCGCGAGTGAGCCTCGAGGCTTCCCAGCAATTCCCTTCGAATCCGCCTACTGAATCCGGGGCGCAGTTCCCATAGGTGGCGGCAACATCAACCCCGCAGACTTCTGATGGGTGAAGGAGAGGGGGTGGAGGGTGGGGGATGGGAAGCAGGCTGGTTGTTTCCGACTACTGTACCAGGGAGCCTTCCCTTCATTTGGCGATGACTTTTAACATGGAACCACCGATCCAAAAGTGGGTAGTGGGCACAAATCCCCACCTAAACGAGGCCACCCAGATTTGCACTCATTTGGAAGTTTGTGACTTGCTCTCCATTGGTATTGCAGGCTATTTCCAAGCCTTGGGTTTGGGCTTCCGAGAAACACGTTAGCCCGGGCTGATTCGCAGATGCTCTCGGCAGGTGATGGCCGCGAGCATCGATCTGCTCGCGGGCATCGTTGGGGGCCTACAGGCTCGAGTCGGCGAGGCGAGGGGCGCTTGGAGGTGGGGTTGGTTGTGGGACTGGGGGCGGCAGGCCCCTGTACCCACGCGATAAGCTGGGTAAGGTGTACAAATGTAGTGTCACGCCCAAAAAGGAGCAACTGACTAGATTGGGGCGGCGGGGGGGGGACAAGTCTGAAATTATCTCAGCAAAAAGCCTGGCTTCAACCCGGAATAAGCATCCCAAAATCTGATTTCAGGGGCTGGTTAGCCTAACTCTATCATGAGAAAGCCCCAACCCTTTGGTTACCACCTGGCCCGTGCTTCTGGTCAATAAGGTAACCAGGGTCTAGGTTTTACAATTTGTTTCTCTCCTGGTTACTCACAGCGGCATTTGGAAGCACTGGTTATTAACTCTAAAACTTCCTAACCTCACCAAACCAATCCACCAAGGGCGAAGTAGAGTTGACCAAACACGAGCCAGAATTTGTTCTTTTTTGGTTTTTTTTTCTGATCAAATGCGGTTGGCCCAATTTATGGCGCAGTACGTGTTTCTTTTTTGTGTCTTTGGGAAGCCCCATTTGTTTTTGTTCCTTTTGGGGAGCCCCTGTTGGGTGGAATTTAAATGGAAGCCAAAAGGAAACTGACCCGAGATCCAGGTACTCGTACCAGTAGGTAAAGACCTTGCCATTGTCCGCCACTTTTAGGGTTCACTTGACCAACAAAACCTCACTTGCCCAAAGTGAATCGGCCTTATAGGCTTTTGGTTTCCCCGATTTGGTCTATATTTAGTCAAGGTTCCACAAGCTAAAACCTTTTCAAGTCCAGGTCCTTTGGGCAAGTGAGAAACCAGAGGGAGTTGGAATCACCCTAAAGCCTAAACCCTGAGCCCTAAACCCTAAACCCTGGTGGGAGAAACCATGTCACTGGGACCGTTTTAGGGGTCCGATTCCTCTGAGAGTCGCAGGTGCTGCAGCAGCAGAACTTCTTGTCCGTAGTCTCGGAGGTCCTCAAGGACAGCGCTCTGCAGGCCAGATGGTCCATCCCAAAAACGCTGCGGTTGGTTTTGTCCTAGAGGAGAAGCCCGTTTTACGGACAACTTCCTTTTTGGGGTGATGTTTAAAGAGGGACAAGGGGTTTGTCCTTTTTTAGGGGACCCACTAAATGGGTGGGATTTCCTTTTGGTTCCCCTTTGGAACCACCCCAAAAGCGTTGGTCTCAAAAAGACACACATGTCCGTTTGATCCGGATGTGCCCTTTCTGTTGTTGCGGGGAACTTCTACGATCTGACAATTCGGGTGTTCCATCATTTTCCTGTTTTCCAGGGGTTGTTTTTTCAGATCAATCGGGGTCTTTTGGGTGTGGGGGGGGAGAGAGTCCCAGCTGTCGCTGGGAAAGACCTTCAAGGCAACCGGATTCACCCGCATGGCTGTCAGCAATTGGAAAGGCCGAAATCCCATGGCTGGTCTTTGTGACCTAAGGCCCTTTGACCCCTTGCAAGCTAAACCAATTAAGGCCTTTTGCTCAGGGGCAAGACTAACCCAGTTAAAGTGAGTTGCGCTGAAGTGGGGTGATTTTTCAGAAAGAAGAGAACAGTAGGCCGGCCACGGTTTGGCGCATCACCCACAGCTTTCACTTCACAGTATACTAGAACATTCACAAAGTAAAGGGAAAATACCAGGTGACCAGCTTGGGCAAAATCGAATTAATTGTGATTTGGTTTCCATATTGCACAACTGAACATCCCCATGGTGTCGTTGCCAGGTGAAGCAAAGCGCCTTTGCCCTAGTGGGCGATTCGGCAAGGCATTGCATAGAGCCCGGCGCCCCAGGTCTTCGAGGGATGTCGTTTTCTTGTGCCTCGCGCCCCAAATATTCGAAGGGCACGCACCGTTCTCTTTAGAAGCTACCTGGTTTCCTGGGGGTTTGGCCCGTTTTTCTGGAAGGGAAGGATCCCCGAAGAGAATGGGAAAGGTACAGGTTGAAATACATTATCAAATATATATATGTCTATATTACATTGTACATACAAAACATCATGCTACCTCCACGCGTACCCCTATATTATGTTACTGTATATGCCCCTTCTGTACCCCTTACATACCCCATACGTGCCCCTTTTATGCCGCTATACCGCAAACATACAGTGGGCGGACGACATCCTGCACCGCCTTTCCCAACTCCATTTAACAACCAGCAGGCCGCACAGCCCGCTCCCCCTGTCAATGTTAGCATTCGCAAAAGGTGGTGCAGGGTTTCGCTCATTCTAACTTGTTATTGTTTGCAACCAGAGGCCGTTAAACTTCACCTGTTGAATTGGGAGTTCGGGTTCTTATATGCCTTAAATTCAGGGCCCTGAAACTTCCAAGGCAAAGTTGGGAGCGCGAGGGCTTTTGTCAACCATAGCGCCAGCGGTGCAGGATCTCGTCCGTCAGTCATTTGTCGCTTTTGGCTCTGTCAGCAAATCATGTTCTCAGTTGCATTGAGATGAGTTCGGTGGCTGTATGGCGAGCGAACAACTGAAGCATGACGCTGAAAGATACCCATTTGTGCACCGCAAATATGTCATGGAGGCCTTGCCTCATGCCAGCGGCAGCAAGAGTCGAAACGTGGCATCAATCCTTCTGGGCAAGTTGGCTCACGTGCTGTTAAAGGAGCGAATTGCGCCACGATGAAGGTAGATCGTTTTAGAACATGAAATGTTTTGGCTTGGTAGTGCATGCACATGCCCACATGACTTGATACGTGTACAGGAGAGCGACTCTGTTGGTCAGGGTATGCCTTTGGCCCTGCAATTTGATTGAAAAAGGGACCTTCTCAACAAGGAGTTCTTTGCCTGCACCACAGGTTTTGGGAATGAACTGGAAGGGCATCGGATAGAAAGGAAGCAACAAGTTGTATTGGACTCATTTCCTCATTCAATTCTGCTGGTCGAATTGTTTGACCATCTTCAAAGTCACCCACAAAGTAGTAGCTTAAAGATGGCTAAAGGCAAAGAGCCCAAGTTGCTGACTTTGAAAACTCCCAGCGGTCAAAACAATGAGCCCTTTGTCTGCGAACCAGCCAGTTCTGCTCTCACGGTCAGATTTTCCCGAGACAAGGGCTAACAATGGCCGTGTGCCCTGCAAGCTGTTTGCCCTGAGTGACCGGACCAACCTTCGGACCGTGTGGAAAAGGCGATTTCCAGCCACGAATCAGCCAGTTGATCAGCTTGTGCAGGTATCACTTGGAACCAACCCTCACTCCCGAAGTTCCAGTTCATACTTTTGGGGAAGGCCGTTTTCGTGGGCATACAAAACTTTTGGTGGTCTTGTTGGCCAATACTCTCAAGACGCGAGACCCAGCTTGACATGTTTTCATGCGCTTTTCGGAGGCACTTGGCACCTTACCTGCCGCAGCTCTTGCCCCAGTGCCCGGGCCTCAGATTTCGTGTTGCAACTGCGGCTTGGCTACCTGGTTCTTTCCCGAAATTGGGGGACTCCTTCGGGTGGTGTCCCTTTCAACAAAGGACTACCATTTGCTGAAACACAGATGTCTTGTTGGTTTTTTGGCAGGTTTTAATGGGAATCTATTACTGCTGGACATACTTTCTCATATTTTTCTAGTGGGCTAAAGCAAATGGACCAGAAAATCCCAACAGACACGTGCCCCTTAATTGGGGGATTTGAACCGCACTTCTGACACCAAATGGAGAAGGCGCCGCCTTTCAGTCCAAACTACCGAACCACCCTTTAGGGATCCCCACAATTCTAAGAAACTCTGCGTAAATGGCTGACGTGTGCTACATGCTATATACTTTTGACCAATTAAGTTCTACATTTGCTACGGTCAAGCACCGTTTTTACTTGGTTCGTAGGGATGCTCAGCAACGTTTCGAGTCTGCTAGCAAAATTTCGAGGGCACTTGCTAAATCATGAAACGGTTTGATGGTCAACTGCAAAGCCGACACTTGACCTTCTGGTTTTCTCGCGTTGGCCCAAATTTGTCAAGGTTCCAAGCTCACTCTTTATTTCTAGATCCTTTCCCCTAGGGTTTCTTGTAAATAGGCCAGACCCCTGGGAATATGGGGTGGTTTTCAAAGAGATCGATGGGCGAAGAGAATGGGGAATCAATCCGTGAATCGCGTCCTTTGGCTTACCTTTTCACAGGGAGCAACACAGGAGCTACTCGCAGTCCAAAAAGACCCAACCTTGCAGTCCTTTGGGCCGAAAGCAGGAAGCAGGTCGATCCCTTGGGGAGGTTTCGCATGGGTTGGATCAGGGTGGCTCGCACACCCAAACCTAGAACGTTGCACTGTTGGCAACCCATTTGATGATTTGTTGTTTACTTTTTCTTGAATGGTGGGCCCCCCTCTTCGCTGGGCTAAAGGAACTGGCAACCCAGGGATTTTAGACGGGACCACGCGTTTGAGAAACACCTCGAGTCAGAGGCTGTGGAGAGTTTTGGGTTTTGGGACCAACTTCTGCGATAAGGCAACCCTCTGTGCAAGAGAGTCATTAGATGGGAATTCCTTGTTGTTTCCCTACAATTGCAAGCCCAAAGGTTCATTTGTTTTATTTCTGGGCCCTTTGGCCTGAGCAGAAAGGCTGATTTTCCACCGACCAGTGTTCCACCATCAGCGGAAACCCCAGGTGCGCAGGCTCTCCGAGAGAATACCTCCGCAACGGCGCGGAGCCGAGAACGAAAGCGCGGGCGTTTGCCAAAGGAAGTGTCCGTTTGGGGGTCGCGTTGTGACTCTGTTGCCCAGTGGTCCCGTGTTTTCCCCCTTTTTTGGGCAAGGGTTCCCCTTCAAACTCGACCAACAAAAAGAAGGTGCCCTTTTTTCGCATGGCCATTGCCACTGGGCATCTGAGGTGAGGATCCCCATGATGGGGTTGGCTTAAAGGAAGACCAATAGGAAACATCGAGAATTGGTTGGGTTCACTTATTTTGACACATGTCCACAAGCGGAAACCATTCATTTTGGGTGGTCTCATTTTGAGACGAAACCCTTTGTGCCATGGTCAACCCGCCCAACGGCCATTTACCAGGTGGTTCTGCTAGTTCGCTTGATGGGGTTGATAAGAAGGCCCACATATGTTTACTTATGGACATCTAAATAGAACAAAGCCGCTGGGGTAGGGATGGTCATCCACTTATCCTGCCCGGAAAGCATGGGTCTTCAAGGATGTTCACGTGTAACCAACTCAATTGTTTAAACCTATTTTGCCTAACCCCGTTTCGATTCCCACGGCTTCTGGCAAATGGCTGTTTCCCTGTTATGACACTGGAGGCTTTGGGCATCCTTGGACGAATCTGGGATTCCCAGTGGCACCCGTTTTTTCGTGTCGAAGTGTTTTGGACTGATACGAAGTTACAGGGCAACCACCGGTCTGAGAGCCGCCGACTAAACTGCCAGTGCAGTTTTGCTGGTGTATCGACAGATAATCCCATTCCACATCATTCTACCTGTTGAATAATCTTCCTAGAATACTACCTCCACAATACGGTTTCTTGTGAGTCATGGTGCAATAGCAGGGCGATAACCGTAACCATTACTTACTTACAAATTATTAGGATCACCAAACATAGCGAAACAAATGCAAAGCAATCTGCCGTTAGTATTTGGCTTTCAGTTTTCGCGGGTGCCTGACAACTTTTGGCAAGGGCCTTCACCGTGAAGGCGACTCGCCTTTGTAGACCATCAGACTGCGCGTCAAGTACATCTCACCTCGAGTCGAGGCAATTGGACCATTTTGATGGTAAACAACCAGTTCAGACTTGTTTCGGGCCATCTACTCAGGAAGTCCCACCAAGTGGGCTGCGTGTTGAACACATCAGAGGGGCTTGTTCAGGTCAGCAACAATGCGTCTTGGGCCGTGGGCGAGATTTGCATCAAGGCCATGGAGATGATGCAGTCCGAATCGGCCCTTGTGATTGTCTACAAGAATTCACCCTGGGCATGGCTTCAGCCGAAAAAGACCAACCAAACCCAACCAATCTTTCCACGTGCTAAGAAGAGGTTTTATTTTCCCTAGTTGGTTTTAAAGAGAATCTACCATTATATACTGGAACTATTTTTTTGCAGGTGGCTCAAGCAAATGGAAATCTAGACCCCCCCAGATGGTGACAAGCCCTTCCCACAGTGCATTGGGCCTTGGATTTGAGTAGGTTTGCGCTAGGCAAAGCTGCGGATTGGCAAGTACCCTGCAAACAGGCGATCACAGGTTACACTGGAATTTAACCCCCCCTGATGATCAAGCAGAAGCACCTACTGAAAGGCCGAATGTTGTGAATGGACAATGGCAATATCTACTTCGCACCAGCTGGTACGTGGCTTCCCCGAGTGTTGATGTTGTGCATCCCACCTGGTGCAATAGTTGTTTCGCCAGCCAGTCAGGAAATTCACCATTTGACCTTGTTTTCAATGTTGATCTACTAGTCGAGGTCAATTATTCGAGGCCTTAAAGGTTTAAACTTCTATTCAAGATCTTTCAGCTGTCGCACTTGCGAGAGGTTTGTTGGCATTAAGAAAGGGGTCCATAGATTTACTAGTCACACGAAAAAGAGATTCGCTGGCAACGAGAAATGTGGCACCGCCGGACCAGTCAACGTGAAATGCGGCACCACCGAACCAGTCAACGCGAAATGCGGCACCGCCGAACCAGTCGACTCAAGAAGAAAGGAGATTGCTTCTAGGGCGCAACCCTGGTTTTGCAAGACCCGGGGGAGAGGGGATTTTATAGCACTTGTTTGTATCCTAAACCGAGACGGATTTCGGCTTTGCCTTTCGAAAAAGGAGATTGACCCCAACAAGTGTGCACAAAGCAGGAGGTCATGCTGTTCCTCCCTTATAGCGGTCATGAGGCAAATCCTGGAAGGATCGCTTTGCACGTGTTCCACCAGGTTTTTTTTTTTTTTTATGACCAGCTAACTTCCAGGTTGAGGATCTTGCTTGCCAGAGGGCCACCAGCTTTGCAGGGAAGCAACCTGATTGAGAAGGATGGAAGAGCCCGAAGAGACGTTCAGTGTCTGAAAGAAAAGTGTGACTGAGAATCATGCCCACGAGCGGCTGGTTCGCTTGTCGGATTCGCCCCGAAGATGTCAGTGACCACTTTCGCCTGGGGAATGAACGTGGGCCACTGAAGACCCGAGTCGAAGTATGTTCTGATCGAATTTGAGTCTTTCTGACCACGTCTATCCTTCAAAGTCATACGTACTTGCACTCTCCCATTGACAAATGTGTTTCTCCGGAGAGTTGTATTAGGTTGCAATTCATCTTCAGCTGCTACCAACTGGACGAACAAAGTCCACTTCACATCACTTGTTAGGTTGTTTCGCCCAGTGTTCATAGGGCTTCATCCCAGCCAGTGCGGTTTGTGCATGCGATTCGAGCAGGTGGGGCCTGACTTCATGGCAAAGTACCTGGATGAGATCGTAGAGGCCTTGGTGGCCACTCTGAACAGGCACGGCACGTTTGCATTTTAGGGCCCTGAGTAGCGAAGCATCCGCCGCATGGTGGACTCGATCAAACATGTGAACAAGTCAAACGTGAACGCAACGTTTTGCTGACCGGTGTACTCAATGAAACGTGTGCACAAGTCAAACGTGAAGGGAATTATTAGCTGCATGGTGGACTCAATCAAATGTGTGTGTGTGTGTGTGAACAAGTCAAACCTGAATGAATGATTTGCTAGTGGTGAAATGCAATCGTGAACGGTTGCTTCGTGGTGGGACGCATGAACGCGGGCACTGGAGAAGATGTGGAACGAGAGTGCAAAGACGAGAAGCAAATCATCATGGCTCACAGAACTCATGGGGGCTGGATGGGAGGAGGGAGGAGAGGGGGGAGGGAGCCCAAATAAGCCCAAATAAAGCCCTTAGTAAGGCTTTTTTTGTGGCTTATTTGGGCTTTGGGCTTATTTGGGCTCCCTCCCCCCTCCTCCCTCCCCCCCAGCCCCCCTGAAAAACCCTCAGGCCTGCTCGGCCACGAAGTTGGAGCACCTGCTCGGCACAAATTAGCCATAAGGCCAAGAAAGAAACCCAGGCTTGCACATGCGTCTTCAGTATTGCTGTGTCTGCGGGTCTTCAGCGAATGCGATGGTTGGGTTAAGTTTTCCGTACTGTACTGCTGTACGTTATGAATATTTGTTTGCTTCTTGGGGGTTTGCACCCCCTCAAAGAACAGACAACCAACGCACAAACACGAGCAGAAACCCAAGTCAATCGAAGCAACTGGCAATTAACCAGTTTCGGGCGCAGGAAGCTTCCTTCACCCATCTCCAACGAAGCTCTTGCGAGCCGGCCTCCATCCTTAGGCCATCTTTGTCTTCGCAGAAAGAGAGCTTTTCCGATGCCAGGGTGAGGCGACCAGAACTGCGATCACGCATTTGTCCTATTGTTCAAAACAACAGAAGCAGAGAGATCCTGGCTACTCACAACAAAAACAGAAACAGAACAGGGTGCGAACTGGATGAGGATAGACTTCCCACACTCTGAAAAGGATCTTGTGAGCAACGGACGGACAAGCACGAGTATCGGCTTTGGGTGGTCCAGGTCGGTTTCTTGTGGTGAGCTTTCTGAAAGAATATATTTAGGCGTTCTCAACGTGCGCAGATCACTTTGTATCTGTGTGTGTTTTCGGGTGTTTTCTTCGTTTCAGTCTGACCGTTTCTAGTGGGCAAAGAAGTTGTTTGCAAAGTCAAGGATGGACAGTCAGCATGAATCAGCTTTGACGGTGCTGGAAACCTCTGGACCCCTTCCAGGGCACTGATTCGCTTGATTCTTGGGTGGATTCGTTGACCGCGGTCAAAGTGATGAAAAAGCCAGCCGGCCTTCTTGTAGCAATGTCAAAAGTCTGGAGCCCATGTCTTTGGGGTTTTTCAGCAGGCAACATGACAGCCTTTTGAAGCTGTGTAGGAAATCAAGCAGGGGTTGCAAGTGGCAGCAGCTGTCTGGCTCGAATTGGCTGTGAATGTTCATGGTTGGAGCACTCACTCGATAGTGGTTACTTATTGTGCAAATCCCCATTTGACTGTGATGTGCCCCACTTCAAAGTCATACCCAACAGTTCAACTCCTCAACTTGTCGAAGTGTCAGGTTTCCATGAACCTTCCAGCATGGAGCGCTCCAGATCCCCAGTCCGGCGATTCAACATGGTGCCGCTGCATCCCTTTGTGGGGGCTCGTGTCGAAGGGATTAACGTGTCCAAGGTGAGCCAGCAAGACATCGCGGATGTTTGGGCGCCGGCCTTGGAGAAGTATGGCCTACTGCTCTTCTCAAATCAAGACATCTCCCCAAAGGAGTTCTTCAACTTCATGAAGTGCTTTCCGGATGTAGACCTGGACGAGCTCTCAGTGAACCCCTTTGCCCAAGGAGATCCAGCCTGCCTGCCCGAGCTTCCAACGGTGCGCGCCATTGGCACGCCTGACTCTGACCCTTCCTTGCATAGGGGCGCCACGCCAGAGGAGAACCGTATAGGCAAGGCCTAAGTAAGGGTTGCTCTTCCAGCACCTCGAAAGGGGGCACCACCCAAAGTTCCTCTATCAAATTGTGGCATACTGAAGTTTTGTTTCCTTGAGTGCCCTTTTTTCAGCTTAGCGAAGCATTGCAGTTCACCCAGATTCGCACTCCAAATTCATGCAAATCCCTCTTGGACACCAAAAAAAAGGCGAAGCTGGCAAACCAGGTGTCCAACCTTCCCTTTTGGGGCAGAGCGTGTTGGTGTGATGGGAATGCAAAAAAGATGCTAGGCAAGGAGTGGCACACGGACGGTTGCGGCATCACCGGGCTCCTGGCAGCCCAAGTGCCACTCCTCGCGCCGAAGAGGACGACGCTCTGGGCCAGCGGCTACCGGGCCTGGGAGCTTTTGGATGAGGAGATGAAGCAGAAGGCCATGGAAACTCGATTGGTATTTGGCTGTGGTTGTCAAAAATAGGTACCCGAAATTGAACCCCGGTAAGTGGTGACATAGACTAAAACCTGCGGTTCCCTGGTGGTGTAATTTTGACCCATACCCATTTCAAAAGAGAGGTTGATTGTGCCGTTGAATTGGGCAAGGTGCTTTGGGGATGGGCCCGTGTCAAACCTGTTGTGTACACAGCTAGGGCTGCAAAGTTTGCTCCTAATCTTGATTTGTTTCCTAGTAGAATCAAACCCGGACAATCGAATTTGAATTCCAACCCTCCATGTTGAGCCCAGAGCAGCGACTGGTTTGTCCCAACTTATCCCAGGAGGCAGTTTTCATGGTCAGCTCATGTTTGCAGGTGAGCCATTCTTTGAGGAATTGGTGTTCGTTCCTTGCCAATAGCTTGCCCTCCCCTTGGAAGCTGGGAGTTATATGTGCTTTCATGGAAATGAATTGAACACCTTGTAAAGTACTCGGCGCAGGCGGATGGTGAGTGAACAATATGACGGTGGCTGAAAAATAAGCTACCTTCAGGACGCGGAAGCAAAGTATGACCAAAAGCTCAGTTCTGGGAACTGGGGTTTGCAGAGTTGCTGTTTCAACTAGACGCTGCAGATTCAAAACAGGGGTGTGGGTCAAACTTAAACCACCAGGAATTGGACCGCAGGTTGTCAGTCATTCATTTACCAGGGTGTCATTTGGGGGTTACTCTATTCTTGACAACCACAGCCACAGGGAATCTAAACAAGATACGTCCCCCGTCCCAAGGACTTGCAGGCGCACTTCGGGCCGGGGCGCACCATGGAGGCGAGCCTTGCGGAGATCTACCGACGCGGGGGCCGCACCAATGCCAACGGCCTGAAGCTGCTGCGGGAGGTGGAGCGCTCTCGGCTCTCAGAGGAGGAGTGCCCCGGAAATGAATTTTCAACAAAAAATGAAGGGGCCAAGTCCTTCCCTTCCTTTGCAGCGATGTTAGAGATTTACATACTTCTTTTTCTGGTGCAGTTTCCCTTCTCTAGGAGCCTGCTTTGTCCAAATCCGACTTTTAACCTTTTAGTTTCTTGGTTTCGGTCTCTAGGTTCCGGGTTTTTGGGGCAAGTGAGGTTTCGTTCGCAAATGGGATCCTTTGACCCCTTGAATGCTTTGTCTGGGCATCCGAAATCATTTGACGAGTTGTTGATCCGAACTTTGCCGTTGGACTGAGGCTGAGAAGGCGCGAGCACCCCACGAATCTGAGAAGGTATCTCCAATACGATGGCTGTGTGGTGAAGCGCCATCCCTCTTCTTATCGAGCTACCCTTTGGAGCACACCCATTTTCTTGGAGAGTTGCAGCGGGATGAGCTGGGAGCAGGGCCAAGATCTCATGGAGCAAATATTGTTGCCAGGAACCTCAGGAGATGCGGTTTATGTGCATGAATGGAGTTTAGGGGATTTCGTGCTTTGGGATAACCGGAGTACGTTGCACTCGACCACAGAAGTGGTGGATGCACCACAGCTAATGTATCAAGCGTTCTTGCGCACCAAAATGCCTATGAGACCCCTGTAAGGAGCCGCGCGGCGAATCCAAAAAGGTTGCATTGATGCCTTGTTTAAACGCTGACGCGACGCAGCCGGCCACAGGGAACACCCACCTAGCCACCCATGTGACTTCCAGTCCCTGCATTCAAGCAGGCTCCATTTTCATGTTTCGCCCATGTTCCATCAATTGTTGCCCATGTTGCATCCGTTTTCCCTCCAAGTTCCATCAATTTTCCAGATGACATGTTCTATCATGTTTCAATCAAGTGTCCATCAAGTGTCCATAGTATACCATCCATTTCCCATCCATGTTGCATCCGTTTCTTTCAATTGTCCATACATTCTGCATCGATTTCCCACCCATTTCCATCCTTCCCCCCAATCCATGTTTTTTCCATCTATCGTCCATCAATTTCATTTATGAAGCTGCCATCTGCTCATCATCCTCATCGTCATCCTCATCATCCCGTTTTCATCGTCACCATCACCATCACCATCCTCATCCTCATCCTCATCGTCATCGTCGTCGTCGTCATCATCATCATCCTTATCATCCTTGTCGTCTTCATCCTCATCATCACCCTCATCATCACCCTTATCATCATCCATCATCCATCATCCAGCATCCATCATCCATCATCCATCATCATCATCATCATCATCATCATCATCATCATCATCGTCTTCGTCAGCGTCTCATCCTGATCCCCTCATCGTCAATATCCACATCGTCATCGCCAACAGCATTTGCATTATCATCATCATCATCCTCATCATCATCATCATCATCACTGCCTTCTGGATGGGGTCGGGGTGCAAAACAAAGCCTTTGGTTTAGTTGACACGGAGGCCGTGCGAGCGAGTTGATGTTTTTGGTGGCAGCTACCTACTCGGTGCACAAGCTCCCCGTGCTCATTCCACCAGGCAGTTATATATTCAGAAGCTAGCATGTGAAGTTGAGCATAGCATGTTTGTGGTCCATGGTCCATTTGCGAGGGACGTGAGGGACTCGCTGAACATGGTTTTTCCTTTAAACAATCCTCACAAAGTACCATCAGAAGGTGTCCTCCAAATGGACCCTCAAAACAAACCTTATATAATGTTATGTCAAGCAGCGCCCCCCTCCCAATGGTGGAAAGCCTCCACCGGCGCACTACTGCACAAGGGTGCCTTTTGGGGGTGCTGCGACCAGAGGACAAATGTGTGCCAGATCATCCAGCACCGCCTTGAGTGCATTTTGCCAGCGGTGTGCTTTCCCTTGGTTGCAGAAGAGGCCGTTCTTTGTGGCTTAGGTCGGGTCAACAGTGAAGGCCAAACTGACACCACCTGGATACACCGATTTGTGTTGTGTGGGTGGCTTTCCTCGGGTCTCACCTTGGAGACACAAGCTTCGAGCGATGAGTTGCGCACGTTGCGCCACTGGTTTGCGGTTTTGGTGAGGAGTTTCGACAATGATACTAGAATTGCAGATTGGTAGACATTTCTATTTGAAGACATACAGATATTATATATATATATATATATGTTTGAGCGTCCTGCTCTCAAAGAGGCTAGATTTGCACTGACAAAGCCAGATAAACCCTTAGGTTTCTGCTTTCCTCGGGACCCTGCTGCCTGGTTTTACACTTACAAATGCTTGCCAGAATGAAAACCTGAGTAGATGAATGTTGGTAAGGAACAGTTCCAACAAATAGGTGCAGCCATGAGCCACCTAATTGATTCTTTGCAGTCTGGGTAGACTGGGTATTGCTTGCTCATTTTTCCTGCCTCCTGACAGCCGGCCAAGAAAGAACCTGGCAGGTGTGTGCAGCAGAACCACCGGCAAGCCATGCTGATGCCGAGACCTTACGCCTTTTGGTTGTTTGCCTAACTTTTTCGGGGATGTTGTTTTTCAACCCAGCGCCCTGTTTTTGGGCAGACACCAAACGCTAAAATGGAGGTAAAACAGGTTGATGGTAGCAGCGAACGCGTCGTGCGAAGAATTGCTCAGCAAGCGACCCTGTCGTGAGCTCGCTGATCCTGTTTCGTCACAAGATTCGATCCTCTCGGAAATTGGAAAGCCGTGGGCCATGGTTCAGACCGACTCTTGCCAATACAACTTGACGTCGCTGGACTTGAATGACGGATCGTTTGGAAACCCCATTGAAAAGAATCAATAAAGACAGATTCGGGTCAGCAACTCCGACTTGTTTGGGTTTTCCTTAAGGTGTAAGAGACCCGACACCGTTATGAAGGCTTTGTACCAACACAGGCAAGCCGAAATGTCAGGGGAGTCCTCTTTCAGAGTGGCTTTAGACGTCAAAGTTGGGCGGCTGTTTTGCGGCTGTCGGATCCGTCGTGTTTGCGGCTAATCCTAACACTGTTTCCGCCTCTCCCGAGGCCGATGCTTGGTACCTTGAATTCGGGCGCCTTAAAACATGAGTGTTTTGCTGTTTGTTTTTAACTTTGGCAAGGCTAGTCGTTCCTGTGAGTTATTTGTGTGTGATGTTCATAGGATAGACACATGAGGTACAGTCAAACCAGGAGACTCATTAATTTTGCAATGTTCTCATGGTGAAGCGAGTACTTTTGAGTGTGGCTCATAAGTTTCTAGGCAATTAAATCAAGACCCCTCGAAATCCCGGTCGGTTCCGTTTATAGGCGATCTTTGATTCTCACAGGGTGTATCATCTAGCTTACTCCCCCAAGGTGTTTTCACCTTTTGACCATTTCCACGTTGGCAACCCATATTTTCTACGACTTTAATAATGAGTATCCCCCAGACTGGTTCGTGGACACGAATCCCAACCTAAGTGATGTGAACCTGAGTGTTCCCAGTTAAGTTTCATGCCCATATCTGCTCAAGAAGTCAAGGCAACAAAAGAGAGGATCACCTTTTTATGCTCCAAGGCATGTCCACATTTGGTCCAGGCGAAAGACTGTCTCTCCTGTTATGCATGCCTTCTGTCTAGAAAACCTCCGGATCCCAGGGAAAACGGCTGTTTTTTTTGAAAAGAATGATGGTTGAAAAGAATGAGGAATCAACCCCTAGATTGTCGACTTACAATTCACAAATCGATCTGGCTCCAAATGGGGAAGGGGATGCTGGGCCACAAGGGACGCCGCACATTTTCCCTAGCTTGCTATGTCTCGATTTCCTTCAAATCTTTTGGGTGTGTCGGGTTTCCCACTGCAGCTGGTTGCTCAGTTCAACATGGAACCCGAAAACCCACCATTCGTTTGGAGGAGTCTCCTTTTAGTGGGCCCTTGGGTTCCGCATGAATTTGTAGGAGTGCAACCCCACATGTTTAGCCCCCAAGAAACGGGTCCCCCCCTTCCTCGGGGCAAAGCTGGTTGCACCTCGAGGCAGAACGTGTGCATCACCCTGGGGCGGCTCGGAGTGGCTGGGGGCCCAAACCGGGATGAGTCGAAGAAGATCGAAGAAGTGGCTGACCAGGTCCCCCAGTAGTGCCCGTGTCCCGTTTCTATTTTTTGGGGAGGGTTGCCCTACTAAAATAGACTACAGCAAAAAGTTGGTACCCTTATTCCAACCTCTCTACTGGAGGACCTAGCTGAATATCCATGCTTAGGATGTTGAGGCAAACATGAAGGAAACCCGTTGCCAGACTGAACTCACCTTTGGAACCTCTTTTGCCCTTTGGGGTTCCTTCATTTTTTCTCTTTTTGGCCGGCAAAGGTCGACTTGTTGCACGGTGTCTCAAAATAGGAATCGGTCCCCGTAAATGGCTTAATTTTCATATTGAGTTGAGCTGGGATGGAAGGGGTGTCTGAGTCAAATGACAAGCTTAAATTTCCAGTTGAGCTAGCAAAAGTTCGTCTTCTCATTGGTGGGTGTTTTATGCCCAGCGAGGGTCCCTCCGCCCCTCCAGGCACTTTCTGCGGATGTGTTTAAGGGAACAAACAGGTGTCATTTGGTGCATGTCAACAAGGTACAAAGGGACCCTTACTGCCCTTACTGAAGCTTTACTGTTCATTGGTAGGTGCCTTCATGTTAGTTAACCCCATTGGTTGCCAGCTACCACTATAGTAGGTAACGAGTCATCGTGCTCTTAGTTGCAGGGTGGCCCCCTTGATTACCTACATCGGGCGAGGACAATCAGCTGGCGACGTTTGGTCAGTCAGTCAACGCAGGTCAGTGGACCCCAAAGACGACCTCGCACCCCAAGTGTGAGCAGCCGGAATCGCATTTCTTTCCCATGCAAAGGGACCTTGTGGTGAGTGCCAGGTTAGTGGTTCCTCAGCTTAAATGGCCGATTTCTCTTGGGATGTGCATTTGTCCTTTGCGCTGGACGGATTTTCAGGGGTCAACTGAGGTGGCCATTCGAGGACTTTGCAGGAGTTAAGCCGGAAAGCCCAATGTTCATCGAATGGATGCTGAGAACATTGTTTTGCAGGGATGTGGAAAAGCACATAACTTTCTGGTTTCTGACGTTACTAACTTAACATGACACATCATATCGAACATACGAGCCACGGCCAAGATATGCGCTTGAAGGCCATGGGAAAATCGTGAGTCTCTCTGGAGTTTGTGGGGATCTGGCGAGTCCACCGAAAATATCGCTTCCAAATAGACCATCGACTACTGGATGTGTTGCTTGCTCTGCTCCTTCGTGTTTTTTTTTTCAGAAGCCAACTGTGTTCCTTTTGGTTTCTCGTTAAGCACCAACAAAGGGGATCGGATCCACCAGTGCAAGACACTCCCAGACACCCACTGCAAGCACAAACGATTATTTTAGACAATTCATGGGACGGCGCTCTTGCCACGGGCGCGCGAAACCACAGTCCTGGGTGTTGGGCTGGGCTGCTTTAATACCACCTTTTGGTTTTTACTGTGTTGGGTTTACTCCTTTTCTAGATGATGCATTCCGCAATTCAACCGTCGGTTTGAATGTCTTTCGCCAGGTCTGTGGCCAGAACATGGGTAAGAGCTTTGGGCAGTTCGCTCGGCTGTGGTGCATCGTCATGAAGGACCTCGTCTAACTCGGCCTCCGAGTTCCGGGTGCATGTGACCTCAAGTGGCGCCCTTCTTTTTTTTTTTGATCTTCTGCTTTGGTGGGAAGCCCACTGAGCATCTGACAAGATGAGGTTCAGTCAATCCCTTTCGCGGAATTTCACCTGGCACGAGGGGTCCAGCGAATTCTGCCAGACTTGGGCTTGTGCTTTTGCCTGGACGCCCTAAACCCTAAACCCTAAACCCCAAACCCTTAATCCTGAATCGGCGCCATTGATTTTGCCAGCGGGTTGGGGACGAAGATGAGTTCTGCAGGGGGAACTTCGGATCCGAAATTTTTGCGCCGCCCAATGGGGAAACGGATCAGACAACGACCCAGAAGAAACACCCCAGGATCAATATCCCTCTCCATCATTCCTGATGTTGGTTTAGGTTTTTTCTCTGGCTTTACCACCCTACACAAGACCCTACATATGAGGGCGTTTGACACTGAAAAGCCGCACAACGTTAGGTCGCCAGATGATCCGGGTATGCTGGGCCCTGGATTTCTGGCGGGCATGCTTTGGGACAAATCGAAGCGATCTGACCTCTTGAGTTTTTCCAGTCTGTGGGGTCTGAATCCCGCTGGCAAGCCATGAGGCACCGGGACTTACTGCGGGTCCCGCACCCCCAGGTGGTTTGAACTGAGACAGACATCTGTAGAAAGGCTAGATCCATCACCTGCTTTACACCGGGAGCCTCAACATCAGCTGGTAGTTGGGTGACTTTTTGAGTGGCCCCAGGTATCCTTTAAAGGACCCCGCAAGCGCTCATTCTTCTGGAGCTTGAGAAACTTGGAAGCGCAGTCCCAGTTGGCGATGGGACTTAAGAAACCAGCAAACCAGGAATGGGATTCCCTCAAAGAATCACCCGTGGAGCTTGTTTTCAACTCGGAAAGTTGATGCCAAAGCTGCTTTGCTTTGTAGCTCGTGTCAGTCTCGGCTTCCAAATCCGCCTGGCTCAAGAGGATGAGATCCTTAAGCTCACATACGGCACCGCACAGTCACAGCGCCTTAAAAGCAAGAACGCATTCTCGCAAGTGCTCCAGAAACCCGTTTCCAGGCCTTGCCTCCGCTGCCCGGTCTACTGATATTTCCTGATTTTTGAGCGACCGACCCTGATCTTTGTGCGACCAAACTCCACGAGCGAGGCTCGCGCTTCGATCGCGCCATGTCGTACTCCTGGAGCTACGCTCCAACGAATCGGGCGAAGTGCAAGGCGAGCGGGAGCGAGAGTTCCTCGGGTTCCATGGCACCAGGTCCGTAGGCTTAAGAAGGAACCTGGAGCCAATTGGGTGTGGGTCAAAATGAAGCCAAGGAATTGGACCGGTTTTGGTCCATGCCACTTACGAGGGTTCATTTTTGACCCACACCCAGTTGCCCACATATCCTGGGCAAACCACACGCAAGATCCGGAGTGAAGGTTCCTTTATTTACCTACGGTGGGGAAGGATTTGGGAAACCGAATAGTCATGTGGTGCCGCAGGACGATCGAATCTTGGGCCGGGCGTCCTTTCACTGAAAATATGCTAAGGTTAAAAAGGGGGTCATGGCAGGCACATCCCTGAGTGAACTGGAGATCCGTTCCCAAAACTGGATATGTTGGAATAATTCTTTGACTTGAGGATATGTGTTTGGCGGATTCCCTAGGACCATCCAAGCGAGGCACCCCTTGACACATCAGCTTGTGTCCATTCGAACCTGAAATACCTCCAAGGGTTGGGGTCCCTCGTGCAGCTGTTGCGATTTTGTTTTAATACATAGTACGTCGGACGTAAAGACGCACGACGGTGGCTCACACTGTGGATGGACAAACTCCACACCAGGCACCGGTTGGGATGGACAATGATTCGTAAACCATCAGTCCCAACTGGTGCTTGGAAATTGTCCATCAAGGCCATTCGGGGTTCACAATGTTCACCCTCAAAGGCATGTTCAGGTGGGCTGGTTGGATGTGCAGGCTTTAGGGAAAGAGCGATCACTTGTACAAGGGGTCCACATATGCAAGCTCCACACCTAAACAACTCACCTGATGTCCTGGACTTGGCAGTCCTTTGATAGTGAACCCCTTTGCTTTGTGCAGGGTGGGTGAGGCACCTAGTTGCGAAAGGAGAGTCGAGTCATACTGAAAATCGAGCTTTAATTGCGGAGGGTTGCATTTGTCATCCTGTTGCCTTTAAAGTCGTCTCCTAAGGTTCAACCTCGGACATGGGTGCTGGGTAGTGTCCTTTTGGTTTCCCTGTGCACGAACCCCAGACCGCCCTGCAAACAAGTATCCAACACGAGAGGCTTTTTGAAGGGACCCTACCCCCTCGCCTTCAAAGACCCCGCAACCGTCTTTCGACCTTGTTTGACCCTATTTGTCCCTTGAACTGCTTTGAGTTTGTAGGGTACCTGACTTGTGAGGTATATTTTCGTGTCAGAACGCTTCCAACTTGCCCGAGCCATCGGTTAGGGCAAGTGTGGGGAGAAGATCGAGAAAGGAGCCATCCGTCTGGCGACCAGCAGCGATGGCGATTATCACATTGCACCCAGGCTGCAGTGGTGGCACCCTTTGACACCCCTTCCCAGTTGTTCAGCGGCACCCTTTTTCCAATGTTTTGGGTGGGTTCGCCTTAGAATATGGTTAGCCATAAAACCGGTTTCCTGTTTTACAGAAGTTGGCAGGCGTTTTGGAGGACATCTTGAGAAGCAACCCGTTTGCCATAGGAGAGCGGACAACCATTCTGAGTTTTTTTTGGGGCTTGTTTGGGTAGGCAGACCACTCTAACAGGTGTTGATGACCCTGGGTGTGTCTCACAATAGGGGATCCCACAAAATGGCTGGTTTCCATTTGGTTCTCCAGTAAACTACTCCAAATTGGAATCCTCAACACAGACACACCTAAATGAATCTGGCCATGGGCAGCCCAAGTTCATAACCAAGTTTCCGTTGGTTGACATTAGTCAGGTCAACAACTTTGTTAGTGCCAAGCTCGAGGCCGATTCTCGATCTGAGGTGGGATAGCATGAGTGACGTGCTTCTGTGAGCCAGGCTGTTGTTGTTTTTTGTTCCTAAGAAGAGGTGGCTGTAATCCAACATTCAAGAACTTCCCCTTTTTTGACCTCTTTAAAGTGCTGCTTTGACCCAGCCTGCTGTGGATTTATCTTTGGCAACACGACCAACTTGCGGTTTTATTACCATCCGCGTGCCGAAACGTGGATCCGGCGAATTGAGGTCAGCTATCGCTGCCTGGACTGCGTTACTGATACACAGTTCAAGAACATTGTCAACAAGGCTGAAAGTCGCGATGCCATTTGCTTATTCGGCGATTCCCTTTACCCGTGTAGTAAGAAGTAAATACTCACAAAAACCACCCTTTAGCCAAAGGGAAACTGGCGATGCTTGCCTCGGATCCACGGTGATCGCAACGAGTCCCTGTTCAAAGACCCTACAAACCACCCCCCCAAAGATCCGGGACCCGCAACAGTGAAGTATTCGACCTTGTTTGATCTGAGTGAAACGTATTAAACCATATTAAACCCTCAACTGGTGGGGTGTTTTCAAGCTGGGGCAGTGGTAGGGTCCTTGTGGTTTTTGACAAAGGGAAATGGTGATGACTGGTAATTCATGGGAACTTCTCCCACTTCGTCCCGGGAAGTCCCCGACTGTTTTCCTTTGGCAGCGGCTTTCAACTTGGGGCAGCGCATCAACTCGAACCGCATCGCAAGTTTATGCGTGTTTCCCCCAATGAAGCGTCCTCCAGGTTTCCGTTGCAAACCCCTCCAAAGTGGATGGCTTGTGATTTTCCCTCATTGCCCCTGACCCCCCTCCAAAGAGGCGTCTATAAGCTTTCCAAAATGGCGTGGCAGGGCGTTTCCTTTGAACCCCGGAACAACAAAGTGAGTGGCTTTCCGCGGAGTTCCCCACGCAACTCTTGATCGCTGGCGCAGGTTGGCTCAGTGGAGGACGTGGAGACTTGAACGCACGCCGCAGCTGTTGTGTTTTAGAATGGATCTGAGTGGTTTCAGGTTCTTGGAGTCTCCTCCAACACTATGTTAAATGTTTAGGGTAGATTTAATATGGTTGTGTTTTGTTTAAGGTCGGACCTCCAAAAGCCAGACCCATATCTTTGAATGCGAGCCATTGCAGCCGAAGGCGATGATTCACCTTGGTAAATTTCTTAGAGCTGATGTGGAAAGGGGACAAAAAAACAAAACAGAAACACAAGTTGGCTTGGCTCCAAGATTCGAGTCGCGTTTGGAGTTTGCTTGCCCTATGGCGGTCACTTTGCCGTACTCGGGCTCTCTGGTTCAACCCGGGCAATGGTTTCACGGACCACGCAGAAAGCTCAACTAGTAGGGTGTTGCGCTTGGATGTTCGGAGCGGTAGTGAGTGATTGGCATCCCTGGTTAGAAGCCGCTCATAAGTTTTCCATGAACTGAGCAACAAGTGTCAGAGAGCCTCATGCAAGCCCTTCACTCCAAAAGGGCCAAATGGTCTACTGCCTGGTTTAAACTATAGTAAGGTCTATGAAAACCTTTATCACCATGTGGCCGTGGGTCAAAACCAATGGTGCCATTGTGGGGTAGGTGAATTCACCACCCATTTTAGAACGTATTTTAGTGGGGATTGAATCGGATATTCACTGGGGGTATGATTTGGGTTTTGACCCATGGCCATTCGAGTCGAGCCAGTTCATGTGAAACCGGCGCTGCTCAGCTGGCTTTCATTTGATTCCGTCCGACTGAGGAGGGTTTTGATGGACTCACCGCCAAAGATCAAGCCGCGGTCCGCAAGAAGGCCCGGAGAGAGCCCGACGGTTCCCGAAAGTTGAATTGCTTGAAACAACACACCCAGTGGATCTCTGGCAAGCCACTATAATAAGCAACCAAACCTGTTCCTTGTAGCTTTTGATGCGTGATTCCCTTGGTTTCAGCCCAACAGGCAAATGGAATCGACTGGGATGCCTACTTGGCAGCTTATAGTTGGAAGTTTCCAACAATTGGATTGCCAGCTGGTTGTTGTTGAAGCTCGATGTTGCACCAACGTTGGTGGAAGTGGGTTGGGTGACGTATATCATATGTCCATGGCTGCAACCTACTTTCTAAGTGGCTTAAACATCGAAGTCCGGTTCTTTGCCAACTTTTGGAACACTAGATGGTATCGTCAAATGCTTACCACCATTTTAAAACCAGTGGAATTCGTCTATGCTCAATCAAACTGGTCAAGCCTACTTGATGTTCAAGTGGTTGGAACTTGGAACAAGGACAAAACCCGCAGAGGACCCCTCCAACAATGAAGCCCATAGTTGGCCCTAAGGCTCATTCATCCTCTGTTGGGGATCTGTGGGAGGTCGCTGGCCACTAGTCACTTCTAGGCTGTGGATGGAAGAAAATGGGCTTCGCACCTAGGTTTGTCCCATTTCTCACTCCCTGAGTTCCTGGACATCTTGGGAAGACCATTTTAGTGGCAACCGAAGAGTTTGAACTTCTTGGCCACACTCTGGAAGTGAGATTAGGAGTTCATCCATGGTGCCGATCAGCTTGGATTTTTTTTGTTGTTTTGGCTTCATCCATCAGGGTTGCGCAAGCTGTTTGTTGTCCCCAACCGCTGGCAATCTTTTGGCGCTACTCAAATCAGCTGGGTGGTTCGGAGAAGCTTGCAGGGATAATTTCGGACGGTAGGTTTTTTTTCTGTTTTTTTTTTTTTTTTTTTTTTCTGGTGCCGGGATACCACCAGGGCTTAGTCCTTATTTCGAGGGGGGAACCCTTTAAAATCAACACAACTCTTTGGATGGGGTTCCCCTTAAAGATTAGCCGCACCAACAGCAGTGCCGAGTCATTTCCTTTTTCCCATGGGCAAGTTTTCCACGTGACATGGTCGTGGCACGTCGGCGAGGCGGGGATTAAGCCGGCCGCCAAAGCTGCGGGCAAGGCTGCCGCCGTAAAGGCGGTGCGAAAGGCGGGGGTCTGTTCGATCGGGTCGGGGTTTGGACCTGCAAGTTGATACATGGTACATGGGTCTGATTTTTTTTTTGTGAGGCTTGGTACTCGTTATTGTTTGGTTTTTAAAGAAACACCAAGGGGACACTTTTTCCACTTTTTTGAGGGGGCCAACCTTAAAAAAGAGCGCACTACAGGGTACGTCGCAAGGTAAGGCACCCTTCTTCTCTTTTGAAACTCGGGTCACCAACCTAATTGGGGTTGTGTCAAAATGAGGGAACCCCCAAAATGGTCTGTCTCCTTTTGTTGCTGGTTCTCAGCAGGGAATGAGAAATGGAATGACCCCTATAAACCATCGATCCCCTATGGTTTCCTTCATTCGGGAATCCTCTTCCGGTTCACTCAACCATCACTCGTAGCGGTGTTTCCCTACCCATCGCACCTGCAAGTTTTTGCCAAAGCTGCTTGCTTGAGGCCTAGGTCACGTGAGCTTTGGGGATTCTTTGGGCGGTGCAGCATTCCATTTAGTTGAAGCCTGCGTTTCGGGGTGCTGAGAGCCTAAGATGGGGCTACCAAGCTCCAAGAGAAAGAAATTCACGGCCAGGTGCTCTTGTATGTCCCTTTTTACCCGCCATTGGTCTATACCAGAGATTTCGAAGCTACTCTTGAAAGCAACTTGTAGGTTTTATGGTTGGGGTTGGACGAGTATGGATACCCTCCTTGAAGTGTAAAACATGTTGTCCTTGGAGTTTGCATCACTCTGCAATGCTTATGCACTGTCAGGGACCCACTTTGAAGAGGTTGATTCTGCCCATGTTGCCCATGCCCAGTGTGGCTTGGGCAAACACACAGTTTGTGTTGACCAACATACCGGGGATGGGGAAGTTTGCCGGTTGGCGCCCTTTGGACAGAAAGGGACCTTGAAGTGTAAAACCCAATGCTTCCAGTTGCCAGTCTAGTAGGTAGCCAGGGAAAAATATACCTGCAGTACTTCCCTAGTTGCCTACTAGGGGAAAACTGGAAGTGCTGGGACAGTCTTCCTTGGCTATTATCGGGCTGCATTGGTGGGCCATGTCACGTACAGGGTGGGTTGTACCCAAATCCGGGAAACCATGGCTGTTGGCAAAACAAACAGCTGTGTAGGGTAAGTAATGGGTCAAATGGTATGGAACCGTTTGTGCACACCCTCAGGGCTACCTTGAAAAGGCTCCTCTTGACAAGGCGTGTTCTGACTGGAATTACACAGGCTCCCCCCCCCGCCCAGTTTCCATTTCCCACCCAAACTTGGGCTGCAATTACAACAGGGGGACGGGGAATTTTTGGGAAGAAAAGATGGATGAGGCTAATCGGTATGAAGCTACGAAGGATAAAGTGAGTCAACATCAAGGCCGGAAGGGTAGGTTAGTCAGTGACAGTCCCAATACGGTTTTCGGTAGACCCCTCGAAAGCCGGTTCTGACTTTGCCTTTGTATGAACTTCTGGTTTATTGCCAAAAACAGTTGAGTATTGTGCATGTCAACATTTAAGCCATGTTGGTACCTATCGTCAATGGGTTTTTGGCGCTCAAATGCTGCCCCCTCCCCCCCCCCCCTCCCGAAGCCATATAGTTGCTTTTCTAGGGGCAACCCACGACTGCTTTTTGGCGGAGATGGGAAAGGACAGTCAGTGGGGGTTGGAAGAGAATCCAACTTGTTACACCCCTCCCAAGTAACTTTCCATTCCATTCAAATTCTTCTTGATGGTGCTCAGCAGGGAATGTGGGAATGACCCTCCCTTGTGGTTTCCTTCAATCAAGGCAATCCCCATTCCTTCATTCCCTGCCTATCGCACCAGCAAGTCTTTTCAAAAGCCAGTCCTTTCCTTCCATTTGCTGAAATATGGTGTTTGTTTTTCTGATTTCCCCCTTTTGGCTTAGGGAATTTGTGTCACTACTGGACATATCTTATAATCTATCACTACTGGACAATAAACGAAGAAGGCCCCTGGACGCTTCCCCCCCTCGTTTCGTGTATCGCCAGGCAAAGGCGGAGCCAAAGCCCAAGGGCCGCGCGCCCAAGCCCAAGCCCAAGGCGGCAGCACCCAAGCGCAAGGCGCGTTGAAAGCAGCGGCGGCCGCGAATTTTTGACACGTGGCTGGGCCCTTGTTTTTTAAATGAGCTCCCTGTATTTCGGCGGTTTTTCTTTTAGACGGTCGTATTTATTTCACCTGCTGAGTTTTTTTCTTTTCAGACATCGTCTTTTGGTTGCCAAATTATGGCCCTATTTTTTGTTGAAACAAAACCGGCCAAATTGGTTGTTTTCCGGTCGGCTTCCCTTCATGACCACACACGAGGGTAGCCTCAAAAAAAATCACATGCATATGACCTCCCCACTTGGGATGTTAACATCAGTCAAGTCCCAGGTCTTTTGGGGATCTCTATGCCACGAAATGGGGACCTGGGGATGAACAAAACTCCGCGTTTTTTTGGGCCATTGTCTTCCTTCCCCTTTGTGCCAGGATGGGTGCTCTGATTGCCCTTCAGAAGGCTTCGGTTTCCGTTTGGGCTCAAACGTGTTGGCCTCAAAGACGAGCTACCCATTGAGACAGGCCCATGGATTGCCTTGCGGGAGTCGTGACCCTGGCCCCTTGGGACTTTTGACCCTGTGGTTGGGGGTTGCTTGGTGCTTGGTACCCTTTTGGTGTGGAAACCGAGAGGAGACGGGGTTTGGAAAGGCCAATTCGAATGGAACTTCTGGCCGTGATTCATCGAAAGGCTGGACGCCGTCCTTCACAAAAAATCAACGACCAAAACGGGGGGCAGTTCTGTTTGTTCCCAGCACTGTTAGCCAAGGGCATGGTGAAAGTTGCTTCGGACTGTTCACTTTCTGTGCCCTGCCCTTTGAAGCGACAGTCCTACACAAAGGGACCCCCCCCATTTTCCACTTTCCCACTTCGTTTTTTCTTGGCTCCTCACTGACATGTTGAAAGCCAGGGAAATCCCAAACAACAAATCATGTTTGGTAAGTACTGTTTGATCACAGGTCAGTCAACAGTCCACTGGAAGCTTAGGCAAAGCAAGCAGCGAGCCAGTGGGGTAAGCAGGGGTGGCTGTGTCGCGCTGTCGCGCATCCGCCAGGCGTTGCCACCAGTTGCCAAGCAGCACGAGTTCTTGGACAAGGCAGGAACGGCGGGTTGCCGAAACGATTTGGAGTGTGTGCTTGTTCGAGGGTACCATTTTCAAGTTGGTTTTAGGGGAAACCACAACGAACACTACAACTTTGTCAGGCCCGCCTGTTTTGACACATACCCATGTAATCATGTGTGGGCAGCGTAGCGCTGTCAACAAGGGTGGGGGTCCAACGCATGACCCCCGGCTAAATGGAAGGTGATTGGGGGTCCTTATGTTTCCGTGTTTCGAAGGTCCATGTCCATGCCAAAGGGCTTTTCCTTGAATGGCGCTACACATGTTTGAGTGGAAAGTACGGGCTGACGCAGGAGAAGGCATGGAGCGATTTCACCAACCCCCTTCACCTGCTGAGCCAATGACAAGTCGCGGGTATTCCACTGTCGTTCTAGGAGGACATGAGGGGGCCCGCACAAATTTCGCACAGAAAGCCGGGGGCCACCCAAAACATGTGAATAAGGAGATATCCCAATAAGCACGTGACCACGTCGGGGTGAGCTCTCTCCAGCATCTGCTCACCTCGGGCAAACTCGCCGGGGATGAATCGGATGGACAAGTGGCACGACATGCGCCGCCCAATTTGTCCAAGACATGCGAAACCAAAAGGAAACCTGCCACATCTACTAGGTATCAAAGGTAGGAAACCTGATTGAAAGTCTGGTTTCTACTTTAGGGCAACATCCACATCTACGGCTATGCTTTGTTTCCCAAAAGAACATGGGCAAATTGGGTTGCATTCCTATTTGTATGGGAGATTTGAGTTGTCCCCCAATCTCCTTTCTAAACCAACAGAGTACCACTGCCCAAGCCATTTTCACTTGCCCTTGTCTCTAGAAGGCCAACGCCAGTGGCGAATCCAAAGCTCGCTCGAGGCGAAATTGAGCTAGTTTGTCCAAAGTGGTGAGAGCTTCGATGTTACTTGGGTCGGCTCCAAAGTTTTGCTTTAACTTGGTGGTTCCCAGCCGTCCGGTTCCTTCGGTTCTTAGGTTTTTAGGGTTTAGTGGGGGTTCCATTTAACTCACTAAAAGTGTTTTTTGTTTTTTTAGCAGGGAATCTGAATACAGCCCAGATAATATTGGGGTAGAGTAGATATTACAGATCATCAAAGCTAATATGTTTGATGTACCCCAGATTTGGGCCAAGGTTCGCCTAGGTACGCATGTCAGACTTAGCTATCCCACTTGAATTGTACTCGGATGGCTTGTTTGTTTTGCCCATCCTGAGTTCGAGGGTTTTCTCGACCGGTGAGTGTGTTCAACTCATGAACGCCTAGTCCGACCCGCGCAACTTTGGGTGAACATGTGAACAACACACAATGTCATGCGAGCAACCCATAGCAAGCGGCAAGCAGAAAGCTAAAAGCCGTTTGTGTGGGCAGCCGCACAAATCACGCTCCTCTTTCTGGTTTCAACTTAGGTCAGGCAACCCGTAGTTGGTGGTTTGGATTGGTGGTTCTTGTGGAGGGTACATGGGAAACCACACCTTGACATACCTTAACCACCAAACCACTCGAAGCGACCAGTTAGAGGGAAGCTGACTCGCCGGGCACCCGTCTTTAGGGCAAGGAGTACGACCTGGACGGGGTCAAGGTGGCCCGAGTTGGGAGTCGGGTCAAAGGCTGGGGGTCATAGGTGTCCTTCTTTGTTGATGTGGTTGAAAAATAGATGGCGATCCCTGGTTTACCTGGTTCAAGCAACTACCAGGGCCATACATTTTCCCAAAAGGACACGTATGGCGGGTTTTCATTGAGGGTACACCCTTTTCAGGTGGGTAGGGCAAACCTGGTGTGAACCCACCATTGGGAGTCCCCTTCCCCGAGCCTCATTGGGTCGAGCTATTGGCATTGGCGTTCGGGTCCTTCTCGGCTGTGTATTTCTTGGACCGTGTTTCAACTAATCTTTGGGTTGCCGAGGAATTGCCAAGGAATCATGGGTATACCATGCTTGCCGGGAGTCCTAGGCACTTCTCATAACACAATGGCTCGTGCGTTGCTGTTGCCAATGCGGATTCAGAAATCAGGCCAAGGCTTCCTCTTGCGGGCGAGGAGTTTCAAAGTTTACTTGGACGCTACCGTGCGGCATGTCTGGAAGACTCCCAGTGAATCGTGAGACAATCTGCCAGACGCCTTGGAGGATGTTGTGACTGACGCAGAAAGTTGCAACCTACAACTTAGCATCCCCTAAACATCGAGGGGTTGGCAGAGTGCTCTTGGTGCGAAGTATGATTATGTGGACAAATACTTGAAACGGAAAAGCCCAGCGTTAGGGATTCACATGAAGAATGACTGCCATGGATAGAGGTTGGAAGTGCTTTTGAGGGGGGGTTCGATGTCGCTTGCGATTGTGTGGAGCAGGTGGTTGTACCACCTGGTTTAACAAGGATCATAGTAAGGCATATGGCCATGGGTCAAAATCCCGTACCCCCAGTGAATATCCCAATCCCCACTAAACTAGGAAGCCTAAAATGGGTGGTGCACCTACCCCAAAATGGGATCCCAAAACGGTTTTGACCCACAGCCAAAAAACAACGTTTGTGAGCATCTTGGTAGCCCCACAAGGGCATGGGTCAAAATGCAACCACCAGGGGACCAGGTTTTAATCCTTGGTTCCATAGGGTTCCATTTTGAGTACCTATGTTTGACCCACCGCCACAAGTGCCCCCGAGTTTTGGGCGCTCGCTTGATTTGATCGCCCGAGAAGCGATCCAATCGGAGGCGATGCTGGAGGAGCTGCCGGACCTCATCAATGTGCAGCCGGCGGGGCGATGGTCGCCTCGTCGGGAAGAAATGGGCGGAGGGTGGGTTCACGTGGATAACCAAACTGGTTTGGGGCAGACTTAGGATACATTTTACATTTTGCCAGTGACTCAAAGGAAAGCAAACAGTAGAATATACATTCTATATATAACTGGGCCTTAGTCTAATGTGGTGGGGTAAGTCAGAAACTGGTTGGTTTGGGTACGTCAAGAACTGGTTGGTGGTTTCCCTTTGCCCTACGACTTTGGGGGGTGACTTTGATACAGGTAAAATAATGGGGCCAGCAAACAGTTGTTTTTTTTTGGTCTAGCAGGTCCACAACACAGAATGGATGAGTGGGAAGTATGGACCACGTAAATTGGCTGGTATCCTCATCCAAACAGTTGTTCATTGGATTCGACAGTTTCTCTCCGACAGCTGAACACTTTGTCTCAGACAGGCTTTCATTAGCTTGTATTAATAGTGAGGAATGGCTGCGCTTCCTTGGCTCGTACTGTTCTTTCGCTGTTTTGTATTACTGAGTACTGACATTTTGACTGGGTGTTGCGAGAACTTTGCCCGGTGAAAATTGGGACAGGAGGGGTGACATCTGGAACTCCTCACCTTCCACGATTTCCCCATGGGCACGCCTCTGATCTCGTTTGTTGCTTGGAGCTCACGAAACCATCATGTTTTGGAGGGCTGAAATTTGGGCGACCCCGTTTTCGAGCTCATGCTAAGGATCTTGGAGCAAGGGGCCTTGACGACTCCCCTCAAGAGAAAGGGGATCCAGCAGGATTTATTGGACTGCAGTCTGCCTCCTTGTGAGCCGCCAGGTTTAGGTTGGGACTTCAAAAATGCGATTTTGACTTGAACACATTGGGCTCTGGATGATATGCTGTATCAAACAGCTTGCAAATAAGCCAAGTGCATTGTTCACTACGTGAGTTTGTCACCTAATATGGGGCATTCTTATGTGCCGGACCTTGGCAGGATCCAGGTTGGGGGTGAGAATCCGTGGACATGGCCAAGGTTGTTGAACCATATGCGGGGGTGTTTTCGACCCACTTTCGGCATGAACTAATCCCAAATTCTGGGCCTGACAAGCAAGTCCGGGTGGATGTTTGTTGTTTTGGAGTGGGGGGAGGGGCCAATGCCCTGTTAGTTGGGTTTTCAGGAGAGCCGAAAGGCAAGCGTGCCTTAGGTCGGTGTTGCACCAGTTCGCGGAAAACGGCGATGCAGATGCGGTGAGGTGACGCGACGGGACCGTTTGCACGTGGGGTCGTAGGAAATCCTTCGGAGCGGGTTGGTGGGTTGGAGTCCCCTGGTCTGCTCAAGGGGCCCCCGCAAAAAGGCACTCGGAGGCCTTGTATTGGGATAGGCCGAAACTGGCTCAGAAGTGGTGAAGGGAGCGGCTCCGCGCGCTTTCGGGTTCCGAAGGTCAACTACACCGTTGGGGTTATCACCTGTATTTTGTTGGATTTCCAAACTGTGGGAATCACCCAACAGGGACGCGCTCAAAGACCAAAACGCCTTTAGGGTGAAGCTTAAGGGAAGGCACAACCAGTCGGGTTTGAGCGGTCGTTTTTTGTGCTTGAAGACATGTTCTCCCGCAGATTCACCAAAGATTGGCAGTGGAGGACTCCATTGCAGGAAGATCTGCCTGGATTCAGTATTGGGACGAATATAAGTCTTCACGTGATGAGTAACATACAATTTCCCCGAGTGAAGCATATGTTTTTTCTCGGGGAACAGGAAGCTCCCGCTTTCACTTGGGGTTATGGCTTTGCCAACAAGAGTTATGCCACTTCTGATGCTGCATTGCTGCGTCAGACTCGCATGATTATAGAGTGCATTGTCACTCAATTGCCGATGTATCGCCAAGCAAATCACAGCTTTTTCTCGAGACGGGTCCCCTTTTGCACTTTGGGATAATCCCTTCAGTTTGTTTGTGCCCAGTCCAAAGACGGTGTGTTCAAAGGGATCTACTTCGGTTGTCAATATATTGCCCATCAAAACAGGCATGGTTTAATTTTACTTGAGCCACAATCAAAACCCCGGTAGATGAAGGTTAGTAAGGGGCAGTCCCAGCCGGAAATAGTTGTGGCTGCTTTTCTACTTCTTTACATGGTTCTGGGTTCACCAATTTTGTACCAGGTTTTGATTGTGACTCACTTGAGGGTTCTCGTGTTTTTGTTTTTTGAGGATCAACAATTTGTGCTTTGTCAATCGTGGAGCTTCATCCATTGGCTTGGGAGGTACTTGTTGGAGATGGGCGCAGACCGCGAGGCCAAGAACAAGGACTGGATGTTTGATCGTTCACTCGGGGGCAGAGAGGGGTCAGATCTCAGAATTCTATTTTTTGGTTTCAACCATTCTTTTCAACCATGGTTCTTCTCAAAAACCGGATCTGTTTCTCTGGGTTTTTGATGGTTTCCTGAAAGGAAGGATCCCTGGAAAGAAAGCCCTAGAACAAATTCCATCGTATGGTCCGAAAGGTCAGGTTGACATGATTAGCGGAAATATGGGTTCGTCTCAAACAGCTAACAACAGCTACACTCTTGTACAAGACTATGTTCGGTCAACAGGGACCTTCTGGTGGGTGTCAGTGGACAGGAGGGTATGAACAAGTCACACTGGGTGGTTTCCTTTTGCGCTTTCAAGCACCCCCCCCAACCCCCCCACCCCATTTTTGGGTTGACCTGCACACAAGGACATCGGTTCCCGAAGCTTCGGAAACCCCAATAGTTTTCCCGTCGGGGGGCGATGTCGCCCAAATTGCGTGTCAGGGACGATTAAGAGTATGGCTAGAACATCGTTTTGCTTGGCTTCCCTAGGGGCCCAATTGCCACTTTGCCAGGGATGCAATGCTGTTGGAGGGTTCCAGCCATCTGTCCAAACAAGAGCAACATAGCAGCTTCCAAATATTCCTGCTTCGGTTGGTAGTTGTCCGACTAGGCACTCCAAGTACTCCAGATATTCCAACTGCCAGCTTCAAGGCAAGCTAGCAGCTTGTTTTGCCCCTTTTTTCAACGGGTTTCAGTGGGTGTGTGTCCAAATAGGGGGGACCAAACAACTATGTGTTTTCTTTTTGTTTCCCTTGGCACCAAGTTGAAAAGGATACCACCTGCAACAACACGCACCCTTGTGGTTCACCTGGGCACCAAGTTGAACAGGGTACCCTAACCAAAAACACGCATTCATATTCGAACTGCCAAGAATGAGCTAGCTGCAGGACGGGCAGACCCCGGCAGAAGTGGCATCGGGTGAGGCCGTAGAGGCGCTGGAAGAAGCGGGCGAGGAGGAGCCGGAGGCTGGAGAAGAGGGAACCTTTGCATGGGACCCTACAACAGGGGTCCCTATATGTCCTTTATTGTGTGGTTTTAGACATCACCTTTTCGGCCCATGAAAGGTGAGTGTCCCTTGGTGGGGGTGATGGTTTAAAGGGAACCCTTTAACCGCTTCTTGAAATGAGCCTTACTAAGGCTTCACGAAGCTTTCAGGCTTTGAAAGGGGTGGCTCCAGCCGGGTGACGGGGTTTAGTAAGACATGGCCCATGATGTGGCTTTGTTATACCAATATACAAGGCACACATGAGGTGTGGATGTAGCTTGTGTACTCCTGACAAAAGGGGTGTGGTCCTATGTTCTAGCAGTATACCCCTGCAATGTAAAATGTTCATTACGGGTACAGACTGCTAGAATATAGGACCACACCCCTTTTGTCTAAGTATATCAGCTCCATGCCTCTCAACCCAAATGCTTTGTGGGGTTGCTTAAGTGTGTGTGTTGTCTTGCTCATGCCCTTGGTTCAATCAACGTTGACCCTCGACCAATGGTGTGCCAAGAATGAATCCAGGAGTTGTGCAATCCTGGAACCTCATCCTTGATATGCTTATCATTGCGGCGATGTTATGTGTAACAAACAGCTAGCACACGAGTTTCTGTTTTCCCGTTGGTTCCTGCTCATGCAGGGAGGAGGATTCCTTTGGCTTTCCTGTCGGTCCAAAAGGGATTTTCACCCCCAAAGCCTCCATTACAGGATATACCCTTTATATCGTGTCTAGCGCTTACCCATGCTTGTTTCTTCGGAGGTTAGAGGGGTGTTGGAAAGCCTCTTGTCAGGAAGAGGAAGAGGAGGAGGAGGAGGAGGAAGCTGAAGAAGAGCCCGCGCCGGTCGATAAGGCAGGGCACCCCGGGCACCCCTCCGAAACCGCGGTATGCACTCGGTGCGCATGCGGCATGCAGGTTTGGTTTGACAACGCAAAATGGCAGGAAGCTTGGCTTCCTTCCAGGGAATCGACCGGTTACCCAAGGATTTCCATGTTTCCTTCAGGTCCAAAGAATCAAGCATGGACCATGTTTCAATTCCGAGGTCTTTGGAGTAACCTCGGGTCTGTTTCCCTGAGATCAGCTTTGAAGCGGAACCAAACGGCAAAGTAGGGACCCTGACCGCCTTTTGGTGTGTTCGAGGAACACCAAAAGGACATGGGAAGTTGTGCTTGGTTTGGTTAAGGGAAACCAAGAGGAACCACGGGCTCTTTCACGCAACAAGATCCTCCCATTCCGCTTTGGCCAGAATCCGATTTGCTCTAACGTCTCACAGGTTCCTCGTTAGTTGTGAGAATATTGGGTTGATTGGTATGGTTTCAAAGGAAACCTCTTTAGCTTCCTAGGTCTTGAGGTTTTAGGGGGGGTCCGTTTAATTCGCTAAAACTTTTAGCAGGGGATCAGAAAACGGACAGCCCAAGGACGCCACCAGAAACCGGCCCAAGTGCTTTCGGGTTTCCCTCGGATTCGAATTGATGCGGAAGCCGCCAGCTTCCGCGACAGGGAAAGAAGCGCAAGGCACCGGAGCCTTCTCCCAAGGCGCGGGGTCTGACTTTTTTTGCTTTTGGTTGGCTAACTACTGATGGACGCAATCCGTTCCCACCATAGAATCCATGGTTAAAGCACGTTAAAGCTTTCGTTTGTCACGGCATCGCTAGCTGTGCTAGCGGGAGTTCTCTAAGCTTTAGCTTCTTTGAGGGGCTGAGCTTCCCACCATGCCTGATTTAATTCACAAGATCAAATCCTTACCTGGAGGGAAGTCTCCCCACCCACCCAACACTCGATACCCCCCTGTGCCGCCCTCGGCACGCGCGTATTCACGTCCACATGTTTGCAGATGGGGAAACTGTCTTTCTAGACATTGCTAGACGTTCATTCAGGATTACTAGTCCTAATATCCTAGCAACTCCTGAGTCGTACATGTCGTTGTTGGGCTGGCTAGGCTAGCTTTCGTTCACCCGCCTCTCAAGTTGGTATAATATGAAGCAACATCTTCAGATATACTTTTTTTACCCAGGAACAGCGTACAAGGAGGGTTCCGGAGGATTGCATGGAGTTTGGGGGGGATTGCTTGCTGGGGCACCTGGGCGTTGTTTTTATTATGATTATTATTATTATTGTTATGTTTATTATGTTTTTTTTCGTGTACCCAGTTTGTGTGGGCCAAAATCGAATTATGTGATATTGGTCTGAATTTAATAGGTCCAAAAGTTCCCTTTGGTGGGGATGAATTTGTCAACCACTTTTGAGGTGGTTCCCTAAAGTCCTTGGCGATATAAGGCCTAAATAAATAATCACTATGTCTATAGTTGTATCTTATTCAATAATTTAGAGCATATTGGACTGAGGTTTGCTGGGTACTTTAACACCAACCTGAGTCGTGAACCTAGAAAAATCAATAATGCGTGCACGTATTCAGCCTCTTCTATTGTCCGCGCAACGGTGCGGTCCGTTTTGCGAAGACGGACTTGTTCGAAGTGTTGTGAGTCCAGTTCGTATGGGAGTGGGACCAGTGGGTCAAATGGGAACGGTGGGTCGACTTTTATATTTTGTCAATCCACGGTATGAAAGGCGTGTAGAGGGCCAGGGTTGAGCAAGCTTGGTTTAAACAACTTTGACCAGCTGGGAGTCCAAAGGGGGATGTTTAGGTAAACATTTGAAACCGCCTTACATCTTTGGTGACCAAAGCGATGAATGACACCAAACGGATCCTAGCTTTCGGGTTGAACGTTGACCAAGTGTAAGCATTGGGTTGCAACAAGTTTTGAAAGCTCCCAATTGGGTAGCACCATAGACAACCAGGGGAAGCCATGTAAAGCTTAGAGATAACAAATGGTTGCTTTTCTTGGTCCAGTTGTCACATTGGGAAGCAGGTAAGCCACTGGCCACTGGCCATCGACAGGCCAAGGCCAAGGCAGCCGCCTCCGGAGCGATCACGCCCTCGCCCGCCAAGAAGGCTGCAAGCGCCCAGTGTGGTTTGCCCGACGAGTCAGTAACTCACGGTCCAGGAGGTCGGTAGAACCAACGGGTTTCGGGCGTGTTGCTTGAAGGAGTGCGTTGACACATGCGTACCCCAAAGAAACCCATGGGTTTCGGGAGTGTTGCTTGAAGGAGTGCGTTGACGCCCGGGTGTCCGATATAAAGAAACCCGTGTTGGTTTTCGGTTCAAAGAGAAGCACAATTGCTCAATGATGGGTGCAGTTACCATGAGGAAACACCTTTCCGAGATACCTTGGGCAAATGTGGCGCGCCACAAGGTCCACACATTTTCGCTTTCGGTGGTTCTGAACATCACCTTTGGGACCAATCTAAAGTGAGTTTCCCTTTGGTAGAAGTGACAGTGATGTTTTAACAGAAATCTAGGGTCAGTTGGTCACAGGGTGCGTTTTCAACTAGACCGCGCACACAAGGCGGCCAATTGATACCTTTGCAACCAAGGTCTGACAATGACCACGTGGTGTTCAGGTAGCCCACCCTTTGTAAAGGGCAACAAAAAGTCACGGAGCGCGGAAGAAATCGGAAAACGGCACTTCCGAAAAAGGACCAGAGTCCCGAGTGTTTTCCTGGGCACACACCTAAGTGTCGAAGTGGAAGACTGTTCCCGGCTGGTTTGAAGCAAGTGCGATTCGTGCCCTGGTGCGCCCCAAGCCCGCCTAGCATATATTGCATTAGAGCAAATACGAAGCAGAGTCTGAACGCAATATGTTTTCATGTATCCCAGAGTTGGGTCAAAACATCCCCTCTTCCAGTTCTGAAGAGTCAATGCAGCTTTCTCTCCGCGACCAGCCTGGCTCGAAATTGCGGTTTCCTTTGAAGGAACCTGCGGACGGAAATTCTAAATTTCCATACATGCATATACATATAATATGCAGATTTACATACATGACATGTATGCCTCTGTTCAAGCTTCGGCGACCTCATGTGCAAAGCTGAATATGTGTTTCCCACGTCGCAGTGGACGTGACGTGAGGTATTCCGATCGGGATTGTTTCTCGCTTTGTTCGGAACGGTGAGTGGCACGGCACGCCTGACAATCGGACCCGCGCTGAGCTCACGTGCAGCCGAGCTCGCGCAAAACGACCCGTTAGAGTCATGTCGCCGTGCCCCGCAATCCGGACTGGCAAGGCTGGTCCGGCCAGACATCAATTGGTGCCTGCATTTTCTGAAGTGCTTGTTGTTGTTGTTGTTGTTGTTGTTGTTGTTGTTGTTGTTGTTGTTGTTGTTGTTGTTGTTGTTGTTGTTGTTGTTGTTGTTGTTGTTGTTGTTGTTGTTGTTGTTGTTGTTGTTGTTGTTGTTGTTGTTGTTGTTGTTGTTGTTGTTGTTGTTGTTGTTGTTGTTGTTGTTGTTGTTGTTGTTGTTGTTGTTGTTGTTGTTGTTGGGTAGACTAAATAGGAAACACAATCTGCAAGTACATGTTGATCTTTTAATCATGTCCGAAGTGGGCCAAGTTTTGGAAGAGGGTTGGTTCCCTCTAGTATCGAATATGCAAACAAAGCCGCACTTTTCCCATGGCCAACTTGATATCGGGTCTTTATCCTTTCCTTTGTACTTCCTTTCTAGCTTTGATATTATGCCAGTGGACAAGGGGCTTCCACAAAAGGAAGATAAGTTTCCAAATTCCTCTGCCATTTGTCATGATTAGTTGGACAGAAGGTAGATTATTTCGGACCCTTTGTCCATGTTGTTGTTTTCTTCCAGCCAATTTACTACCCCTGTCCGATCAGGTCAAGTGGGAGCGACCTTGGTCTTGGATGGTTCAACGACTGAATACGCTTTGCCACAACTGCGAATGGTACGTACATGATACGTCAAGGCACTCATGACCACAACAACGGCCTAAATATTTCGCTTTAACACCAAAGCCATAGCAACGTAGTAATGAGTCAGCCCCTCATAGCCCTCAAAACAACAGAGTTAGCCTCTGCAACACCTCTTCTAGGGGTGCAGCTGCAGCCATTGCGAGCCCTCTTTGGCCTCCCATATTCAGCTTGGTTGGGTTCAATGGGAGTCACTCTATTTCCCACTTGAGCCACTTGCTGAAAACCCGGGTAGATGAAGGTTAGTAAGGGGCAGTCCCAGCCGGAAATAGTTGCGGCCGCCTTTCCAATTCTCTACATGGTTCTGTGTTCACCATTTTTGTACCAGGTTTTGATTGTGACTCATTTCGGGCCGTTTAAACATCGCCGAAAGCTAGCTATGCTAGCATTGAATTCTCCTCAATCTAGCAGTTTAGGGGGCTGGGCTGGCTTCAGGGATCGTTCTTTTCAATCCTGAGGGAGGGGGTACTGATTCGGATTGCTACGCCCCCGCCCCCTCAAAGGGTTCGATTCCCACAATTCCTTCCACATATTTGCAGCCAGAGAATCTTTCTCATTGGGACCTGGTCCAAGTTCAGGCTTTAGTGACTTTCTGGGTGTTCATTTAAGGATACTATTGTTTATGTCTTGGCATATCTTGGCATCATGGCAACCAGTGGGGCGTGCATGTTGTGTTCTGGCCAGCTTTCGTTCTGGCCAGCTTCTCAAGCTGTCCTTTGCGATGTTCGAGGGGAACATATTCGCACATAGGTGTCCTGTAGAAAAATAGATGGCCCTGGTTCACCTGGTCACCTGGTGGCTTAATCATCTACCAGGGCCATCTAATTTCTCTAAAAGGACGCCTATGTATTCGCAGGGCACCCATGTCCTACCCCTGAGGCTGCCAAGCCTGCCAAGACTGGCAAGGCTGGCAAGGCTGGCAAGGACATGACTGCCAGCCGCAAGGCGATGCTCGAATTCGCGGCCAAGCGTAAGGCGCGCCAACGTTTTTCTCTCCGAGGGTTGACTCGACGAAGGCTTTAAGGTCTGTTGGGTGGTTGGGCTGGGTGATGTGGGTGAATGGTTTGGAGGTGGTGTGTTTGAACGCCAGCTAAAGAAGACCTAGCAAAAGTCCTTCCGGTCCAACTTTTCAGAATCCGTTGAGATTTGTGCCAGAAGTAAGTTCCAAGAGCACGCTCCAAGCCTCAAGTGATCAACACTGGGTATACTCAGCCTTCCCAAATAGCACACCTAACTTTTGGGGGGCGACATTTGGTCATGGGGATACTCAATTTCCCATGTCTTCTTGGGGAAACGAGCTCATATCCGCACACTTTCGAGCATTTCCCTTTTTCTCGACTCTCAAACCTAAGCTGAGATGCGACGAAATGCTTTGGTTTCACTTGGTCGTTGGGATCAAACATTGCTATGGCTTGGATCTGAACGTCACACGCGGTTGGGCTGCACCTCCCCCCAAAAAAAGGCTCCCAAATGTTTGTTGCGGCCTTGTGCTCAATGTGTGCTCGAGCCGGGCGTTGCGTAGGCGCCCCACATGGAGTCGCCGGAGCAAAAAAGGCGACGGTCTGGCGCATATGTTTGCACCGCTTGCACGGAACCGAACTCTCAGACGCTGAGAGATATTAGCTCTGGGGGTGAAAGTAGATGGCACTATATTGTCTTTTTCACCACAAGTAAAGAAGATGATAGAACCAACAGCGGACTTCTTTAGTTTGATTTCCTGAGTTTCCGCCAGCTTGTGTTGAAGTTGGGACTCAAACTTGCTGCTTCCGGTTGTTTGTCGTTTCCTGGACCGGTTGACACATAGCCGTTTTCCATCAATCATGGCCCTCAAGAGGATGTTTGGCTGTTCAATTGTTGTTGCTGGGCGGACTGATCCACTCATTTCTTTCCAAAAGACAACCCTGGCTTGTCACCCGCAAGTTGACAACCCCAAATCTGACCCAAATGGGATACCTTTAAAGATAATTTCCGCAAGGAATGTGTCGAGGGTTGACTCAGATTCACGGTTGAACCGTTTGAAGTGCAGAAACAGTCGCAAGGCAACCCGGTGGATATGTTTTTTGTTGTTGTTGTATTTTTTTTGTGGGGGGGGGGGTCCTGGGTGCGACCAGCAACCAATTCGAGGCCAAACTGAAGGGGATAGGTCATATTTTGTTTAGGCATACATCTAGCTCTATACATGCACCCAGTTGCCGGGGGCCAAGTGGATTAGTCGAGGCATAAGGGGGCCAATTTCACAGGAAGATTCTGGCCTTTCCATCAAGAAAGGAGGGCGCTCTTTGGTTCCCTTCTCCCCTCACGACAGGCAGGAGAAACAAAACGGGAACACCACAAGGACAACCATCCCTGTTGAGGTTGTTGTTTTTTTTGCGACACGGAAACCTAAACAAAAAGAGTTGGAATATTCGCGGCAAGCAATCCGAGAACAAGCAGTCATTGAGTCATTCGCCAGGAGGCGCCAACCCCGTTTTATTCAATGGAAGTCTCCTTTGGTTGTCTTTCACCCAATCCAAAATCCGCCAACTTGTAGCGATTGGGTCCCTTCAAGTGGTTTCATGTTGAGGCATTCCCGAATTACTTGTGAGAGCCTGTGGAAATCCCTTGAAACCATATTTTATCGGAGTATTTTTGCGGATGCCATGGCCAAAAAAAGCCGAAAAAAACACGCCGAAACCATACCTGGCAAACTTGGTTTGCGGTCATTGTCCCTGACACCAAGGGAATCACCGCCAAACAGACAAAGTTGTCACACGGACATGTTTTCTTGGTATCAAGGAAAGGTCTATTCTCCTACAACTTCTCAGCGCTTCAGTTTCTCTTCTTTTCCAATCCGAAGGCGAAATGCCCCTGTGTGGTACTTTCTGAGGAAGCCAAACCGCCTAAATCAAAGCACCAAAATTAGCCACGGCCGCTTCTGAAGACGCAAAATAAGAGAAGCCTCCGCCGCAAAAACCCAGGTCCACACCACCAAACTAAGCCACCGCTTCTTGACCCGTCCCAGGAAGGAGATGGATGAGGCGGAGCAGGACCTGCGGAAGCTCCGGGAGCCCATGCTGAAGCTCATGGCCCAGGGCGAATTCGCAGAACTGGCGTACCTGCGCCTGAGACGAGCGATGAGCGAGCGCGAAGCGCGACCAAAACGTCGGTTTCGACCTTTCTGTGGAGAGCAAAATGGGTCCCACCAAGTTGTGCTGTTTTGTTTTGTTGTGGGGGGTTTGCGTTTTGTTTTTGTGTTGTTTTTTGTTTTGGGGGGGGGTTGTGAAGAGAAGCCAAAAGGAAGCCAACCAAATGGATGGGGTCGCGGGGTCGCGCAAGCGCGCGTTGTGCTCAGGTGCTACAAGTCCAAGGCTTTGGGCCCAGTGGGCCACGATGAGCTGCTGAAGGTCTTGATGGCCCTGCCCCACACGGAGTCCATGGACTCCCAGACGCTTCCAACCGAAAAAGAAAAAACATCGGAGGATCTGTGCTGAGGCTGGTGCGATAGGCAATGAGACATGGAATGAAACCACCAGTTGGATGGGCTGTAAGGGTCATTCCATGTCTAATCCTTTGAGCATCAGCAAGGTCTAGATGACCATTTTTTTGGAGGTTGCTTGAAGTGACTCCACGAGGTCCTGTTTAGCCACTTTTGGGGAAGCTTGAAGTTCCCTTCTTTTGAGAGGTTGCTTTAGCCGACTTTGCGGGGTCCTTGAGATTAGCACCTCTTGGGGAAGATCGCGAAGGGGCAAACAAAAAGCGGCGGTTAGTTTGGAACAATTCACTCAGGAGGTGAAAATAAGGTACATAGTTACATACTAAAGCAGACGCACCCAGCATGACTACACCTATGAAACAGTCCGGCTCGAGCCGTGAAAAGGGTGCCCTTTATGTTGAAATTCGATAGGGATGTAGCCTCTTTTTCAATAATCCTTGAAGTGAAAGAGAGAGATCGGCTGCGGGAATCGGCACCAAGGAGCTATGGCACCTTGTGCAACTGCATCCGTGTGCTGGCTTCCAGTGTCTTATGGGCCAGCAAGCTGGATGAGGAGTGGGGCGGGCAAGGGTTCAGGGGACAGCCAACAGGAAACACTGGTTCTTTTCAACTGTTTGGATGCTTTGCAGATGGATGGACTTGTTGGATGCAACTTGGTGTGTATTAGCTTGAGCTGGGATGTGGAAAGGGAAGCCAACCGGAAAGCGACCCACCCCCCTTTGGCGATCCTTTCCGGAACGGGGCTCTGGGAAGTCGGCCGGATGCAACCAGGAACTCAGGGGAGATTTATGCAGCCTCGCCATACATGTGGAATGGAATCACAGAAATCATAATTCTCCGCACTGATCAACCATTTCTCAGGGTGTTTCCTGTCGAAATTCACAACCATGGAGTCTTACCTGATTCTTGGACAGCCGTTGGTTCGCGCAATATCGATAAACATGTCCAGTAGTCTATGGTCTTTGTGGGAGAGACATAGAAGAGGACTCTTCAAATTGTCCCACACCGAAAGGAGACTCCATAATTTGCACTTACACTCCTACAGAAGAACGTTGACGAAGCCAAGAAGTTCAACACTTATCCCCCGTATCGTTTGATTTTGACAAAATGTCCTGTGTCTTGGAGTGCAGGTAATGGAGGCGCACAACGTTGAACCACCGATGTTCGGAAATTGTCAGCGAGGGATGTGTTGTTAGATCAGGGTGTTGGCAAGTTATATTCACATCGAGTTTTTGGGGTCAGGACATCTCCGGTTTAGCCCGGAAAGCATGCAAGATCCTCTCAGAAATCAGATATCATGACCTCTCCTTGGGGAATGTCAACTGCACGACCAAGCCCCACATGTTTTTAGCATAGACCCCCCCCCAACTCACACAGGTTCGTTGTTGTCTGGCTAGATAGGCGGCTCATTAAATAGGCATCCTTATCTCCCAAGGAATCGTTGGCTTGGCCCCGAGTCGTCAGCTTCGGCACGAGGGAATGCCTCCTCACTCACAGGGTTGCACACAGGTCGAAGCATATGTCCCCTTCTTTTCAACGGAACCTTGCGGTATGGAACTGGCTCCCAGGTGAGTACAGATTCTGATCACTTCCCCTTGATTGCACCAACATGTTATGAACATCAGAACGATTTCCGGGGTTCGTGCTAACAACAATCGTCATGTCTGATCCCAGGGACATGCTAACCACGGCTCACAACATGTCAACCAAGGCAATAATCCCGGTTGACATAAAACCCCAAACACTCTGGCTGATTTTTTTTCAACACGTGGGGTTGGTTAAAATGAAACCACCAGGGGACCGCAGGTTTTAGTCCTTGGTTCCATTTGCCAGGGTTTCATTTTGGGTACCTATTTTTGACCCACAGCCATGTCATTCGGTGGGGGAGTGTCACATGGAGCTTGGGAGTGACAGGGATGGCCGAGCGAAGTCATGTTCAGAGCAGGTGAACCACCACAAGCCACCCAACTTCCCCGGAATTAGCCCCCCTTTGAGTTTTGTTTTTCCGTTTTTGGGGTGCCTTTGTTTCCACTAACCAAAAAAACAAAAAAATCTGCTGGGGTCCTAATTCCAGCCTAGCCAAAGGACCCACCCAAAGGGAAACGATGAGGTGCTTCAATGACCGCCCCACGTCAGACTCCCCGTGGGGTTCACTCTACAACGCCATTGAACGGGGACTTGTTCATCTCGTTAAAAAAAGGAGAAGAAGGCATATTTACGGAGGAAAAATAGTCAGCGCCCAAGATTTCTTCAGGACATTCTGATCGTTTTCCCAATTGAAATGGCGCAATGTTTAGGATGCGGGACATGGACTGCAACCGAGATTCATCGGATTGCAACCCCCTCCCTGCCCGGCCCGAACTTACGGCCCGAACTTGCGGTCTTATTGAAGGAAACCGTTTAGGGGGGGGGATAGGGGAGAAGGCATGGATCCTACAAGCTTACCTATGAAGGCCCCTTTCTTACTATAGTGACTTGCCCACTTCATCAACTTAGTTTTCATGACTGGTGCATGCTTCATGATCGAGATTCCTTTCCAGTTGAAATCATACGGGTGAATATCGGGAAATGTTGGCTTACGTTCTTCTGTGGATTTGCAGGCTGGTGTAAAGGGAAGCGGACTCTGGGGGATCAAACGTACCTTGAGCCATATCCTCGGGGGGAACACCTGGCTGACAGATCTCAGAAGCATAGGTGTCATTTTTTTGGTTTTGCTTGAAAAATCGATGGCCCTGGTTTACCTGGTTGTTTAATCATCTACCAGGGCCATCTATTTCCCCTAAAATGACACCTACTGTGGATGGACGACATCCTGCACCACCTAAAGAAACCTAAAAATGATGATTCCCCTGGTTTGTCATGGTTTCTTCGGTGGTGCGAAGTGGATTTTGTCCATCCACAGTATCGTCATCTACCAGGGAAACCCATCTATTTCCCCTAAACTCACTTCCTGAGTTGGGAAGGCCATTTTAGTGGTAAATGTACAGTTTGGACTTTTTTTGGACCATCCACTCAGCCAGTGAGTAAAAGCACACCTGTGGTCAGGAGTACTTTCTGCATTTCCTGCTGCCGGTGGTGAACACCTTCCTGGAGGAGTCCAAGGAGGCGGTGGAGAGGCGTCGCAGCAACAAGCCCCTGAGGAACGAGTGCCGCTCGGGCAGAGAGAGCGGCCGGTGTTTGGGCATGTTGCGGTTTCCTGGGTGCTTTTGGGGAAAGCCCCTCGAGAAGCGAGCTTGAGACGAGGTCTGGTCAAAGCTTCCAGGTCCCGGCTCCCTTTTTGTCCTCTTTGGGAGGTTTTCCCCCTGACTTTTGGTCAGCTCAGGACATGTTGCGGATCAGTCCAAACATCACCTGGTTAGAAGAGTATCAGTGGACAGAAATGGGTGCGGCTGCTCTTGGTGAATGAGTTTCCTGTTTTGGGTGGATCACAGGGTTGTTCCCCAAGTGATGAACCAATGTGGAAAGCTGATTTTCTCCACTCCTTTGTGATCCACTTCAGTACCAGGTTTTGCATGCTTTTGCGATCAGGGTCCTAGTGTAATAGGAAAACCCCTGGTTTCGTGATTTTTCCGAGACCCAAATGCAGACCATCTGCCTGTCAACCAGAAAGGCTAGTCCTCGTAGACCTTGGCCTGGCGTGAGGTTACCAAGACCTCGTCTTCGGGCCCGGTGCGCACAAGGGCGAGCTCAAGCGCTTGAGTATGGAGCCCCTGCCCCGTTCCCACGAGAGCCGGGCGATGGATGAGTCGGACACCGTGTGGCTGACTCTGATGGATGAGGACGCGAGCCCAGAGGCTGTCATCTGATTCGCTGGAATCCACCCACATGGGTGTTTGATTTTGACTGCGCTTTTCACCTTGGTTTGGATTAAAGGGAACCGCAAAGGAAAACACAATCCATTTTAGGAGTCCCCTATTTTGAGAGATGCCCGAATCCCCTGTTTGTGGCTTGACCCAATAATGAATGGTTCGGAAAGCGAGCTTATTTGCGGCTTCGTGGGACGCAAATTTGACGTCATGTCATTGCCAGACTGATCTCACCGGACCGTTTCGCCAACTTTTGCCCAAAAGCGGGGGTTCCGCTTTGTCTCCTTAACATGTGAGCTTACGGGTCCACCTTTGGCCATAGTTGGCCATATTTTTGTTATACGCAGACTTTCTGTGCCAAAATTTGGGTGCCGGAGTTTCCCTTTAATTTTGCAGGCAAACGGGTGTCTGGCGTTTGTTTGGACAGAGGTCTCGGAAATCTTGCCAGTGACTGAGGGTGAAGCAATCAAATCGCACACGTATGTCGCACTGTACAAACACATGTGTGTGATGGATACATGCATATATATATATATGTGTACATACAGAAAATGCATGTATCCATCACACATATACAGATGCCTTTTGTACATTGTATTTTGGGGGCTTGTTCTATGTTCACTCATGAGCATGTCACTGGAGTGGTTGTGGGTGGGGTTGGTGAAAGATTAGTTAAGGGCTAGTTGAGTTGGTGTCGGGTTGGTTGGTTGGTTTGTTGGTTGGTTTGGTTTGGTTTGGTTTGGTTTGGTTTGGTTTGGTTTGGTTTGGTTTGGTTTGGTTTGGTTTGGTTTGGTTTGGTTTGGTTGGTTGGTTGGTTGGTTGGTTTGGTTTGTTTGGTTGTTTGGTTGGTTGGTTGGTTGGTTGCTGGTTGGCTGGCTGGTTCGTTGGTTGGTTGGTTGGCTGGTTGGCTGGCTGGTTGGCTGGTTTGTTGTTTGACGCCTAGCGAACCTAGAATATGCACATATGCGAGCACTGGTTGGTATGTTTGTATATACATATTCACATGTACCACAGGGCCTAAGTCTAATCATGAGGAGCGCATGTTATGCCGATTCTTTGTGTTCTGCATCAGACCAGAAAAGAACGTGTTGGTTGTGACATGCGGAACCAACCAGGGTTTTAAACAAAAGCCCGGATCTCGGCTTGCTCAAACTACCTGCTATCGTGAAGCAGTGTGGACTCTGGTCGCGCAAGAATATTAGGGTAGATGTTGAAGCTAGGAACCTGCTTGGACCAGGAAGGTTTTGGTTACCACTAGAGTAGGTAACCAACAACGATCGTTCTGGTTTTTGATGGGTGCTTCCCTTGGTTACCTACGATATTGAGGTAGATGGAATCACTGGGTGGAATTTGTAAACGGGAAGCAAAGTTGGTTTTGCCCTGACAAAGGCAAGCCGACTGGGGCAGGGGCACTTCTTTTTTCAGGGTCCCTGTGGATTAATGGGGTCTTCTTCAGTTCCCTTTTGGCGGCAAGGCCTGAACTATTGCGGGGAGGCTGCCTCAGTTGCTTTTTCTTTGCCTTGGCAGAGGTTGATTGACTCATCAACAATTGGGGGGATGCTTGGTAACTTCGGTGGTTTGTAGGGTCACTTGTCTCACACCTATGTTACTTATGCCCGCTGTGAAACAGGATGTGCCCGACAAGCTTTGCGAGTGCCGTATTGTGACCCGGCGCGCATTTTGCTTGCCCCGAAGCCCAGGTATTTAAATTCTTTGGTGGCTCTCTGAGATGATTATAATTAGCAGACAAGTCTAGGGGCTGAAAAGAAGGAGCCCTGGAAAGAATGGGGAAGGGACCCCTACAAGTGCTGACAATTGCTTGTTTCCTGTTGTTTGGCATGCGTACCTTTCAAACCAAACCAGCCCAGTATTAAGCCGTCTTGGTGGCTTTCCCTTCGGAAGCCACCAGTTGTTCAGTGGAAAACCGCACACATGACCATGAGGGCATGTTGCTGCAATACAGGTCCGATTGGAGGAGTGTTGAGCAAATGTTCAGGCAAACACGGGGGAACTGGGCACTAAATAATCCACAACTCTAGGGGTTGATTCCTTTTCCATTCTTTTAAACCATCGTTCTTTTCAACAACCAGCCGTTTCCCCGGGTTTAAAGAAGGATCCCTGGAAAGAATGGGGAAGGTACCACAAGAACAATTGTTGATCTTCGCAAAGGAAGCTACAAGGGGATGAATATGTTTCGATGTTCCAGACCTTCTACTTTACACCCAGACAACCTTGTCTAAGCCTGGGCCCGCATGCCGGCATGCAGAGGACAGAGAGGAATCAAGTAAGAGACTCGTGAATATTGGCTCGAGTCCCTGCTGGGGCGGGAAGTACCTGAACATCTCGTTGAGAGTGAGTACTTATTGTGCTTGTGGAGCAATTGGTTTTAGCGCCACTTTCTATGATACCCAACCGGTCCATTGTAAGTGTAAATCGCACATCGGATTCAGAGGTATTGTTCCGCAACCCTACCGTGCGACTCAGGTGAGCATGATCCCGCTGGTCTTGTGGCACGAAGATGAAGAAAGTGATGTTTTTCAGCTGGCTCTTTCTGGGTGTCACTGCCGCATCGACAAGCTGGCGTCAAGGACAGGGTGGAAAACACTTGTCGCAAGCCCATATGGGTCTGTGTCAAATAATTAGGAAGCCTACCCAAAGTAAACCAACTATCATCCACCCACGGGTACGCTTTGTAGCTGTTGGGGTACAAGCAGACCAGTTGATTGTTCGGCAGTGTATGCGTCAATTAAGGGAACCTCCCCCCCTCCGCCCCCGAAAAAAGGAATGAAGGGGACCCCCCCCCAAAAAAAAAACACATAAAAGGATGAAGGGAACCCCCCCTCCCCCCCAAAAAAAAAGAAGAAGAAGAAACGTGTTTTTGTTTTGGCTTCCCTCTACTACCTGAAACGGGAACGAAACCCGAGCGACAGGACCACTTTCTGCCGCACGCTCGCGGCATTGCACTGCCTGGTGGAGCCGGAACGACCAAAGGCCCGGGGCTTTCCAGAAACCGTTTGGAGGAACATTTAAGAAATGTCAAACTTGACGAATGTGAAACGGTTTATAATTGTTAAATTAATTTAGAAACCGTTAAGCTGAACAAGTGTTAAACTATTAAGAACAATTGTTAAATTATTTGTAGTTTGTTAAACTGAATAAAGCTTGGACAATGTTAAACTTGACTATTGAATAAGTTGTGAGTAGTTGTTAAACTTGCAGATTCAGAGAAGCCAACGTGCAGGGAAATGATACAAGCAAAGCAAGGATATGGGAGGATTCCCTTGAGCTAGACTTTGTTCGAAAGTAGTTTGTTCCAAGAGAATCCTCCCGTGCCCTCCATTTCGTCCGTATCCGCACGAGTTGCTGTATAGCAGGTAACCAGGCAATCCATCTTTTTGAACCCGCAAAATACGAGGACTCCTTCGGGATTGGCCACTTTGAGACATGTCTTTGTTTGGGTTTCAGGGTAGTGTATTGTGCAGGTGTCAAAAGTATGATGCCCATTCCGGCTGTTTTGGCTGGTCCAGGGAGAGCGGTCAACCTCTAAACTTAGGGCCAGCAGGAAGCACAGGAAGCAGCTTTTCCAGAACATGCTCTACGGTTGAAAAGAATGGGCAATGGACCAATGTACTTCCTAGATATTTGGCCTGGTTTCGTTTTGAATGGAATGACGTTGAGAGGTAGATGTCTTTTGGTTTAATGTCGCCGAGAGCGCAATTAGATCTTTCCCAAGCTTCATTTCCCAAGCTTCATAGGAGGACGTTGGCTGATGGGAGATGGCCGTCAATGATGGGAAAGCATTCATTCCCAAGGAGAGAGGGTTCGACCCCATGCATTCTATGCATGTTTGAACCTTTCCAGTGGTTGATCCGAGAAAACGGGAGCCTTTGGTGTTCAAAACCTGGTGCGTCTCAAAGACGAGCGAGCTTTGCGCGGGCGGTGACATCGCGACCTGGGCGTGAAGTCTCCGTTCAGAAGGGTGTACCGTGGTGTCCCACTTGGCTGCCATGTGGTTGCCTATTCAGCTTTTGGCATGTGTGTTGTGTGTTTGTGTTTTCTTTTTTTGGGGGGTACCCTTATATGCTTATATGGTTTGAAAGGATGGCAAAAGGCACACCACACATTTTGGGGGTCAACACATACCCATCCAACTGATGTCCAAGGGCCGATGAAAGTTTCAGCCATGCCGGGACTCGGACCCGCACCCGCGACAGGCCCCTTGGGAAGCTGTAAAGTGAGATAACTAGTCGTTATTTGTTTATGGCCCTTTTCTGGCGGCACACGCATTACGTCACACATTGATTTGCACAATGTCAACATGTATGCCCTAACGCCCACCTCCATTGTGCATAGTAATAAGTTCATTCGGTTACACAAGACTAAAGAAATCGGAACAAATATCAGACACGCCCGGGAGACTTGCTAATCTTCCCATGTCCTCTTGGTCAAGCCTTCGTAGTTTTGACCATGCCCACTGAGTCTTGTTGGGTGCCGAATGGCTTATAATGTTAATTATTACCCATAGAGAAGCCAAAAGGGGATTGGGTCGTAAAGGCGTCAGTGATTAAGTTTTTTGGTTGTGGAGTAATTACTATGAGATCAAAAACATCCTCACGACGGGAGAACCATGTAATTGTTTATCCTACTAGGGGGCCCAAACAAATGGTTGGGCGTCCCTTTGGTTTTCGCGAAGTGGGCGAAAGGACAACACCCAACCATTGGCTGACACCTTTGCCCAAAAACACGTTAGCGTCCAACCATTTGCTGACTTTGACCCCAACAACACGCGCACGTCACGTCCAACCATTGCCGTCCAACCACTTGCTGACTTTAACCATAAAAAACCGTTAAAACCGGATGACTCCTTTTCCAACCACTCCAAAAGCCGACCAAAGCACCCACGTCGCTCTAGCAGGAGCCCAAGATGCACCAGCGCCTGCCACCCAACTTCACTCCGGAGCCCTTGCTGCCGCAGCTCGGCGAAGCGTTTTTTGGTCGGAAACGAAACGGGCCTCAATGGGTCTGGGTGAATCATAACGACCTTACATGACCTCACCCCAAATGGTGGTTTATGCGGGGAACAGCCCCCCAACCACCCTATTTCAGGCTGGTGAAATATTATAATTCACCCAGATGTGTGGCTCGTCCTTTTGAGAGTTGGTAGCCGTTTTTGTTTTTGTTATTGTTTTAAAGGCAAACCAACAGGAGAACTGAGGCCAATTTTTGGGGGGCCCTCCAAAAACAGAGAGGGACGTGGGAGGCTGGGTTTTTCCATGCCTCCGTTGTTTGCTGTTTTGTGTATTTTGTGTACTTATTTATTGAGTGTTCGAATCACAGATTGCGAGTTTGAGGATAGACCTCACAGGACGGTTTTTGCGTGGACCATTGCAGACATTTGATCATGGCCTCATAGGTCTGGGTTTGTGTTGGGACCTTTGCAGAGTCTTTTGAGGTCGGCCTCGCAAAACGTGGAGAGGTCCAACAAACCCAATCCTGGGAGGCTCTGACCTCCAAAAGACAAGCCTGCAGAGGTCAAAACACAACAAAAGAACCAATTGGCTGGGCTAAAGGGTTGTCGGGATTGGTTGTTGCGTTTTTTTTTGGGACCTTTACAGACTTTGTTGAGGCCGCACAAAACGTGGAGTTGTCCCCAGAAAACAATCCTGGGAGGCCTGTTTTTGGGGACCTTTGCAGGCTTGTTCGAGGCTACGGCCTCCCGGGAGTGTTTTAGGACTTTTCTAGGTTTTGTGAGGCTGCCCCAAAAAGGCTCTGCAGGAAGTCATTCCCAAGGAAGTTCTTAGGTGCAGCACTTCTATGACAAATCGACCTTTAAACATGAAGTTTCTTCCAAATACAAGTTCAATTGAGAACTAACTTGAATTGAGACAGGATTCGACAACAAACCTGGGTCTTAAATGATTGCTGTTTTGTCAAAAACTATGTCTTTTGACCCACCGGCGATTATTTTCGCCTGCCGGCAGTTTTCAGTATTTGCACACTCTAGTATCAATCAAAATTGCAAAACGGCGTAATTTGCCGTCAAAACGGCGTAATTTGCCGACGAAACGGCTTTTTGTTTTGCCTGGTTCCGAGCTGGACTCACGGCGAGCGCTTTTTCTCCGAAAGAGCGCTTTTTTCAGCAACCGGCGAAAATTATTGCTGTTTTGGGAAACGGCGTTAATTTTACATGTCGGAAGTTTCAGGTATATTTAAACATATTTAGAACTATTGTGAGTTGAATTTAATGCGCTGTGTTGATTTAAGTCTAGTTAGACTTTAGTTGGACTTTAGGTTTAATGTAAGAGTACCTAAGATGAATTTAGCATGGACATAGTTCAGTCAGTATCGTCGTTGCAAAGTAGAATTCGAGAAGGGTGTCCTTTCTAAATTTATTAAGTTATACGTTAAACATAATTCAATGAGGAAAGGCAAAATCATCGTCTTTTCAAATTATAATTAACATTGAATCTAACGCGGAAAACTGTTCCAACTCGTATTCGAAATTAGAACAGGAATTCCCTTCCCAATTCATCATTTGGTCAGGATGTAAGTAGGATGTTCATATAGTCTTGGAGAACGATTTGCCGAAATCTACTTAAACAGTGTTTCTAAATTTAGCATCTCTTTTGTTTCCTTGCCAAATAGGACTTTCAAACTTGGAATAATTCGAACATAATCCAATAGACACCCTGTGAGCACATGGAGTGCGCAGCAAATAGTTGCCTGCACCACAGCCCATGCAAACATGTGCCAGGCAAAGCGCAGGTCCAATACACATACCAGATACAAATCCAACCTAATTCGTCAGCACACGCAGCAAACACTTGGGAAAAAAAAACACAGCCTCCCGTGGCGTCCCACCCTGAACAAAAGACACAGCCAAATAAGTTCAATGAGTTTACCTCTATAACCATGACTCAATGTGGTTCAAAAGTACACCATAGTATTCGATTCTGGGCCCTTGCAAGTTTTTGTTTGCGGGCGTCTTCTTTTGGGGTGTTCTGTTGGACGGGAGACCCAAAGGAACCGCTGATTTAGACGGGGGTTTATGAAGCAACTTTAATAGCTTACTTTGTGGACTAAAGGAAAACAGCATCTGAAAATACGAGTTTACTGACAACCTTGAGCATGAACAGTAATGTTTCACGAGAGCACACGTTTTGGGGGAAGCTTCACCACATGGCTCATTTGGGTGTCATACTTTCTGGCAGCGTCCGTTCAAGTTGTTTTGATCAAAGGCAACCTAAAGGAAACCATAGGCTTCAGCTTTGAGGCCTGAAGTGGATATCTTCAGTCAGGATTAGGCCAGTTCAACGCTGCCTTCCTTTTGTTAGGGGGTGTCTTTGGGAACGTAGCCCTGGGTTCTGGAATACGGGATTGACAATACTTTTGAGGATGTCGCTTTCGTTCGCCTTGCTTGAAGAATTCATTCCCGAGTCGTTCAGCTTTTAGTTTTGCAGGCTCAAAGACCAAACCAGGTGAGTTGTCTTTTTCCCCGCTCAAGCAAACATGTATAGATGTTGCGGAAGGTTTTGTTGCCGCGGAAGCTCGCGGAAGGGACGTTGCTGAATTGTCTGAACTGCTTTTTCCGGACTTACATTCTGATGTTGCATTTGCTTCGATGAGGGCATGGAAAGGGCTTCTTATCACAGTGCCATTTCGGGAGAAAAGAGTGTTTCCTCGCAAACCGTGCGCACGAATCCCCTCGCGGAAGCTACCTTCCTCAGTTTCTCGAAGCAACTTGCTGGCGGAAGGCCCGCGGAAGCATTTACATAGACTTTTATAGAAACTCGCGGAAGGTACCCTTTACATCGCGGAAGCTTCGCGGAAGGTTTCGCGGAAGGGTTTGATACGTCAATGCAAGTTTAAAAGGAATAAAAACACCACTCAGGTGTGACACTGCGTGATCGACTTGATTGTTTGTTGGTTTCCTTTGGTGTATATTTGTTTGCAAGGACAAGCACCCACGTGTTTTCACTTTTTTGACAAGCTGCATGGGGAATCACTGGGTACGCTTTCAATTTCCCTGGAGGCTTGCACCGCGGATTCGTTGAACTTAGGCTCCTGCGTCCCTTTGGGGTGTCGGAGGCGGAAAGGCGCGAGTGGGCCAAGGAGAGCGCACCGACTCGTTCGCCAGGCTGCCAGGCACACTGAAGACCCGCCTTCTCGGAGCCTCAAAAAGTGACTCTGTAGCCAGGTGAGGGCGCGGCGCCTTGTTCGGAGTTGCTTTGAAGGGAAACTGCTGGAAACCAACCATTCTCAGTGGAAGCCGTTCCTTGGGAGTTTGAGGCAGTCAGATTTCGGTATGTGGCGTCGTGACGGTTTATGCCTCACAGAATTTGAGGCTATGACCATGCACACAAGTTGTGTGTATGAACAAACACCTGCATTAGTTGTTATTAGGCTTATCCAAGTATTCATAGGATTGCTTCCACCCCAACCAGCGGGAGGCTGTAGAAAACAATTCCCCACTCGCTCCAACCCTTCGACAAAAACGTTCAGCGTCATTCGTACAACTTAGCAAGTTCGGTTGCCAAAGTCAGCAATCCGCCGGGTCCTCACTTTAAGCACCACTTTGGGGGCTGCCTTTGACGGGCACTCACTTGCTGTTTTGCGAGGCTGTTTCTGTTTCGTGGGGACCCATGATTCATTGTTTGGTTTTCTGAGCAACTTGAAGTATTGTTGGTAGTCTACTATTGGTTTGGGGAGGACGCGATGGGGTGACAACCCAAATGCTCCACGGAAAACCAGGGAGACAGCCCCATTCATTTGCCCATCCTCTTGGGGGCAAAATGACAATCTTCGTGGCTCATCTAGTGAATATAGTAGATGAGGCAAATCCACTTCCCACCAGCTGGTGATGGATGGAGCCGCATGGGAGAAACCAGCCGCCAGGATTTGGGTGTTTCTCGCAAACCATGGCGCCCCTTTTGGTTTGGCTTTTATGTTTCAAGGGAGAAGGACAACCCACGTCCTGGAACCCATGCTGAGAAACACCCATGCGTCCTCAGGGGAGTTCATATCATGGAGCCTGCGGAAGGGGGGGAGCGATGGTCAGGGAGGAAATCAGAGGTATGTGTTTGTTGGGTGGTTGGAACAACTACTAGTTACTGGGGCCTTTATTTTGACTAGGGGGTATCAAAATGGGATCTTTCCCTTAATCCACCACAAGGGTGACTCTGATCATGATAAAATGATGGGGCCAGATATATATATATATATATATATATATATGTATATATATGTATAGAAATTAGAAAGAGAGAGAGAGAGAGACGGGGTTTGTACTGCCTCACAAACTTGTATTTGGTTTCGAGTAAACATCCAGACCTCCAAAACCATACCCAAAAACGCCCTTGATGGGAGCTTTCACGGAATCGGATGTGGGGATATTGCTGTGGCTGATTCGGCCAGAGCCGCAGTGAAAATCTGTGCTTGCGTGAAGGTAGCACATGATCCCAGCCATAAGTGCTTATATCCGCACTTTTGATTGTTTACCATGAGTCTTGGGTAATGTTGACCCCACATCAATCAACCCCAGTTTATTAACAGTTCCCCTCCAAAAGCGAGGATTCCCCACTAAACCCGGGTTGACACCCCCCTATTAATAGACTGGGGTTGATTAATATGGGGTCAACATTAAAACCTTTGCACCGCAGGTTTTGATGACGCACATGACATCGACCATACACAACTTACCCTCCCACCAATTCACATGGAACCCGAGGGGGGTGGGTCCTGCAAAACGACCATGCTCCTTTGAAAGGGACCGGGTCATGCTCCTTTGGGTCCCCAACGTCAGCTTCCGTTACTTGGTGGGAGGGTAGACTTCGGATACATGTTCCATTTTACCAGTGACTCAAAGAGAAAAAAGGAAGCAAACAATAGAATATACATTCTACAACTGGGCCTAGTCTAATCATGGTGGGAGGGTAAGCGGTTTGATTCCTCCAACCTTCGCCGGACGCGAAGCTCAGGAGCCGGTTGAACTGCTGACGAGGATGCCTGCTCCCAACCGCCAGGACACAACTGGAAGGGCGCAAGGGTTGGGCTCATAGGTGTGCTTGTTGGTTGGTGGAAAACTAGATGGCGATTCCTGGTTTACCTGGCGGTTTTTATCTCATCTACCAGGGAAACCCATCTTGCCCTGAAAGGACACCTCTTGGGCTGACTTCGTGGGGATGTCTCTTAAGCAGGGTGGGATCACTCGGGGTCTAGCCCCACCGTGATACTCGGAATCTCCCTCATATGGGCAGTTGGTTGTCAGGCCCTTTTTGTTGTATCACAGAAGTGGTCATTTCCCCTGCTCTTAAGGCATCCCCACACCTTTTTTGTCAAATGGACTTGGAGGAGGAGCGCAAACCCCGGAATTCCATTTATGCGGCTATTTTCGCTTGGGTAAGCTTAGAAACGTGGGTGGGATCCTTAGGCGATTGGTGTGTTTTTCACCGCATCCGAGGAGTGTGGTCGTGACTGGGGAATATGTGATTTGTTGGTGGCACCTTAACAGGGAACTTTGTTGAGCTTATTTTGCAATTTAAGGTGCACCAAATATGGACCAGCAAGTCGGTGGGCGCAAAAGCCAAGGTAGATATCCTTTTCGGAGCGGTCTTTATGAAATCTAAAAGAACCAAGCCATTTTGGGTTGATCGATTGTTTGGTAAAAAGTCGCTTCTAGGGTCAATGGGGCATGGGTAACACACGAGATTTGAAACACAAACAGGCTGTGGCTCATGTGAGTGTTTAGCTGTGGATGGGTTTTAACAGGGAAAGCAAGAGCAAGCCAGTTATTTCCCATGTGCGGCCAATTCAGTGAAAGTCCCTTTGGGTTGGGTGATGTTTGAAGGAGCCATGCGGTTTTGGTTGTACTCCTTACACAGGCTCGCTCCCGACTTTGTTTCCCGCAGGTGTGTCACTAAGCGGAGCAAAGAGCAGGTTTACAATACTGGTTTCATTCCTTGTGGGCTTTGGCGAAATTTCTTTGATTTACAACCGTCAGGCACGCACACTAGAAGCCTCCAGTGATGAGCAGAAGACAAGCGTTGGGTACAGTTTAAAAGGTTGGTTTAGAGGTTTTAAAAAGACGACGCCTCTTTCATTGGAGTGGCGCTGTGGACGGACGAAACTCATTTCGCGCCACCAAAGAAACCCTGCAATCATGATTCCCCTGCAAATACCAACAAACGCTATGGTTTCAAAGTGTCAACCATGGTTTCTTAGGTGACGCGAAATGGATTTTGCAACCATCCACAGTATTACCCTAGAGAAAATACCCCAAACAGCCCCAAATAAACCAAAAAGTCACCAGGTCGTATCTGGAAATGGCCCAAAATAAGCGAAGAAGCACACATCCAGATGTCCACCACTCGCTCTTTTTGTTGCCATACCTCGCCAGTTGAACAAGCCCCAGCTGGCGGCCTTGGACCATGCGGGCTCGCGCCGGCTGACGCTGATCCAGGGGCCTCCGGGCACCGGCGACTCGCTCGCTCGAGCTGTTGGAGTGAATGTCTGGTTGCCCCCCATTGGTTAGCTACTTAATGTTGACCTCATATTAATCAATCCCAGTTTATTGATAGCGGTTTGTCCCAGCGAGAATTGTGGGAATCATCACGGGAACATCCACCAATAAACTGGGGCTGATGAATATGGTGTCAACATTAGCCACCACGTGTCAAGACCACTGCACACCCAGTAGTTCCATTTCCCTCTGGGGTAATCATGGGCTCGATTCCCACTAACAAAAATCCACCAGGAAGATTGCTGGTTGCCGATAGTGGCTGGGATTCCCCGACCCGCAAAGGTGTTGTCACCATGGCCAGAGGCAAGATTTACCCGGTGGCTTGGATTGGTGGATTGGCGGTTCGGATTTGGAGTTGAACCTCTAGTTCCGGAGGATAAATTGGAAGCCCAGCGGAACACCAAGCTACAAGTAAAAAAACACCAACCGAAGAAAGCTAACATTGAATGCGGACTTCGGCGCCGTCTTGGTGCTGGGTGTTGTCCATCCACAGTATTGGCATTACGTAAGCGTGTTCTTTCTGTGGGGTTTCCTAATTTGAAAGGCAATCCACTAATTGTTTGGTCCCTGTCCCCCTAAATTGACACATACCCATCTGGGCGTTTCTTACCCCTAATGGGTTTTCTTCTTTGGTTCTCCTTGAACACCATCCAACACAGGATGCAGTTTGAGGCAATCCAGAAGACACGAATCATTTTAGGGGCCGATTCCTTTGGCAAATTTGGCAGAATCTGATGCCAAGCTGAGGCAAGACCACGACCTGTGTGCAGATCTTGAGGAGGTGGGCTCTGGGATTTAAGCCGCCCAACAAGAGGACCAAGCGTCCTGGCACGAGACTTCAGCACTTCAGCACCAGCCCAAAGGCTGTGGCTGGGTGGTTTTTGAACTCGACTGGTTTGGTGTTGGCTTGGTGTGTTTCTCTTGATGCGGTGCGGGTTGCACTTGTGTGTTTGTTTGTTTGTTTGTTTGTTTGTTTGCTTGCTTGCTTGTTTGTTTGTTTGTTTGTTTTTCCGTCTGCCTGTCTGTTTGTCTGTCTGTCTGTCTGTCTGTCTTTCTGTCTGTCTGTCTGTCTGTCTGTTTGTCTGTCTGTCTGTCTGTCTGTCTGTCTGTCTGTCTGCTTATATATTTGTCTGTTTGCTTGTCCTTCCTTCTGTTTGTTTGTCTGTTTGTTTGTGCGTTTGTGACGCCATATCCATTTTAGGGATCCCCTATTTTAAGACGCCCATTTGGCCATTCGCAACCTGATGGGCCCTCAGCTTGTCGCTCAGGATCCTGGCGACCAGCGGCTCCAACATCGCGGTGGACAACTTGGCGGCTTGGCTGAAGTCGGGACCCGCGACCCTTGGGAAACGCAAGTGCAACGAGTTCAATCCCCATCCCCACGGCTTGTATTTGTGTGTTTGTTAGCGTGCTTGTTGGTGTCTTTGTTTGTTTGGTTTGTTTTGCTGTTGAATGGCAATGTCCTGATAGCCACCCAAAGACCTTTGCGACAACCCCCCAACAGATAATTGATTTCCCCCCGTAAAGGAGTCTTGGGGGGGGTGTATTTGTTGTCATGTAGGGAAAGTACCCCCTCCAATGCATTCAGGGGTCAGTGGAAACACCTCGGTTGTTTCTCCTCCAGGTTTCATTTGCTTGATCTTAGTGGTTTCCAGGCGAGCTATGTTGTAGGTGACCAAGGGCAATTGGCGTTGCGGACCGCCCATGATGAAGCACTTGAGTTTCTGATTTGTCCCAGGTGAAGGAAAAAAGTCTGGGTTTGTCTACGGTCTTTTCTTGGGCTTGACATGCGAAGTATGGGCTTGCCTAGCCGTTTTCCCTTTATTTCACCTTAAGCACCAACCAACAAGCGGTTCCCTCCAAAACCTGAATATCTATGAGCACCTTCCAGCAGGACATTGGTTTTCCTTATCAGATTGTCAACCCACTTTACAAGTGACTTATATGGCTGTGGGTCAAAACCAAGGGTACCATCTTGGGGTAGGTGCACCACCCATTTTGCTCTATTTTAGCGGGGATTCCCCATTCCGTGGCTTGACCCCCTGCTTGACCCCCTATTACCTACGGGACTGATGAACAGGGGTAGTCCAATTTCTCAGAGGGGTGGGGTCATCCGGTCGCATGCGCGAAACTTTGCTAGGTCCCCCGGCAGTACCCTTTTACCCCCTTTTTTGCGGAGGGTTCCCCTGTCTAAAATAGACTACAGAAAAAAAAGGGTACCCTTATTCTACGCCCTCTACTGGAGGACCTAGTTTGAGTGCGCATGGTGCGCCAATGAGCGACGGATAGGTGGAGGGCCTGGTGGCAGAAGGCATCAAGGCCCGGATTCGGAGCCGGAAATTCGACTCGCGCGCGGCTGACGCGCGGGGTCAATGCTCGGCTTTTTCGACCTCCAAGGGCCTCTATGTTTTGTTTGCCTTTCTTCCTCCAACAACATGCACTCGTTGCGTTCAAAGACCACGGGATGCCATCACGTTAGGATGTTTAAATGCTGAGCTAATTCAAGGTGCAAGTAAGCAGTGGCAACGCGACCTGATTGACAAATTGACCTATGGGTCGGTTCCCGTTTTCAGACCCGAGTTGTGGACATGTAACCAAGAAGTTCCAAGCGCTAAAGTCCAAGAATCCGCCAACATGCCTGGCTAGGTCCTTGGACCTCCACCTAGATCTTTGAAAGGGGTTCCTGGGGCTGAAGATTTCTTCAGCACAACTCCCCGATCCAACAGACTGGAACCTTTGCCTGGGTGACGGAAAGACGAGGGCATGATTGTTTGATTGGGGAACGTTTGGTGGACACATTTACCTAGCGGGTTCATGTCCACCGTTCGTGAGGATTCCCCATAAGCTGCCACTCAAAAATCCGCGGTGGGGTTTCCGTGGCTCCAGCTTCTCCCTCTGCTGGTGTGTTTGAGCAACTTGTCTCATCATTTACCCCGCTTCATGTTCTTCCAAGCTGTCGGGCCGATCTCATCGCTATTTAAGAGCGTTCAAAGGAACGTGAGCCGCAATAGGGAGGGCTAGCTGAACGAATGGACACACATGTATAATACAATAATACACATGACATGCATACATAAATTATTCTAAACATACAATTGTATTGTCAATGTATATATATATATAGTTGCAGAAGTTAGAACAAGGGGTAGAACAAGCTCACCCAGGTCCGTTGCTAGAAGGTCCCTGATTTCAAGTTGCACACTATTTTTCCCAGGCATGCATGAAATATACATTAGCGTATATGCATTTTGCTTAACATGTCATTACATTACATTATATATATATATATACAGTATATGCGTGAACGTGCATACAGTACACATCCACACATGCATGCACCGACTGCTCTTCAAGGGATGTTTGTTCTTGGATTTGTCTATTGTGTGAAGCGTGCAGCGGGGCGGGTACATGTATATTATATATACATATACATATATCAAATACATAGATACATAAGTTTATATGTGTGCTTTATGTGTATATATATATATATATATGTACACGGTTTTTACGTATACAATGTTTCTGCATTTTTGGGTTCAAGGTTCCCGTCCCTTCCGTTTCACTTGGCACTTGCCTCACGTCGGTGAGGTGGTGCGCATCGGTCGCCCCGAGAGCGCCCGGCCCGAGCTCCAGCAGACGGTGGTGGAGAACGTTGCGGCACGGCGCCTCAAGGCACAGCGAGGGGGGGGCAGTTGGGCGCGGTGGGCGGTGTTGCACTTCCTCAGGCTACAAGGGTCCTCCAGTTGGCCTTTTACCAACTTTTTTGGGGGGAGGGTTTTTCTACTAAAATAGACTGCAGAAAAAAGGGTACCCTTATAGGCGTCTCGGCCCAAGCTGCTTCGCCTGAGGGAGTGGCGCGCCCAGGGCCCCGCTAGGCAGCCATTTGCCGGCTGGGCGTCTACAAAGCCGGGTACTCACCCCCGGCAGCCCTGTTTCGTTTGGTGCGCGGCTTCCCTAGCTGTGGTGCTTGGTCTCCGTTGCTGTGGTGCGCTCTTGGTCCTTGCTGGCCCCCCTGTAGTCTCCTTTTGATGGTTGTTTTGCACTGGTCCTGGTGTTTGGCTTGCTTTGGTAGGGCGCCGCTGCATGTGCCCATCCCTGCCTTGGGGATGGGCCCTGTTCTTCGGCCCCCTCCCCTGACTGCATGGTGTCCTACGTGCCGAGTGCAAACCTCATGGTCCCTCCCCGGAGATTCACCTTCGGCAGGGATCAATACTTTGCGGTGTTGTTGCTCTACATTCCTGGTGGCCTGGGTGGTTCTGCCTCTTTGGTCACCTACAGCTGTATAGTGTTTCAGCTGTTTACTACTCCTTGGGCGTGTCCTTGGATACGACCTTACCCTGCCGTGAGCTTCATGCTACTGCTGTCGACCCGTTGCTACAGCCTCATTTGCTGGCTCTGTGGGGTGGATGATCTACCCGTATCTGTTCAACGTGACGGTGCCCAGCAACAGTATTCTATGCCGGCTTCGGATGGCGTCGTTGGGATCCGATGTCTTCTTTACTGGGGGCACCCTGGGATTGCGGTTCCTGATTCCTTCAGGAGACACTACCTTTACAGCCGTGATGCGGGACGCTGGCTTTTACTGGGCCCCTCCCTTCCTGCCCTTTCTGGGCCGGAGGGTCTGATGACTTGGATGAGTTCCCTTAACGGGCTTAATTCGGTTCCTCCTGTGAGTATGTCTTTGTCTTTGCACGAGGGGATGTTGCTTTGCTCCCCCTTGCTGGGCTTTGCCCCCTTTTCTACGGCCCTCGGGCCTTGTCACCGGTGGTTGGGCGGCATGCCCCTCTCACCAGCGCAGCCGATCGTGGAGGCGCCTCGTGCCAAAAGGGTACCCTTATTCTAACCTCTTTACTGGAGGACCTAGACTAACTAACAAGGACGTTCCGAGTTGAGATAGATTCTTTTGCCGCCTGCATTGTGGTGACGGATGAAACTACAGGCAATCAACATTCCATGAGCCTACAAGGCAAGGAGAAATCCCTGAAGGCTCTGAGAGGGGTTTCTTGCGTTGGATTCCGGTCTCCATTTGGGCATGCCGAAGTCAAGGATATCAAGCTTATGTAATTTGCTGTGATCTGTGCAGTATCCACCCTAGACCTCACGTGGCCCTTTTGCCCTTCTTCTTGGAAGGCTTCGGACAATGAACTACAACAAAGGTGTCCTTTCTTTCCGCAAGAATTAGGGCTAGAGTCTAGCCGTGCCCAAGTGCGAAGCAGTGGCGAAGACCATTGCAAACCCGCAGTCAAAAGCTGACATGTGAGCGACGGACCATATTTCCCAGGTTCGGTTTTGGGTAGGCCCTCATTGGTTTATTGCGGTTATGTTGCCGGGATGCGTGTATTCATGTTATGTCGTTGGCAAGCTAAAGATGAAGCTTGCTTTTCTGCTTGACCTGCCTGTCAATTGGTATAGCGCCACGGATCACAAAGGCCAAATATTTTTTTCTCCTTGGCCGTTCCCCATACAGCCGATGGATGGCGTTACATTTATGGTTCCCGGTTGTTTACACCTTGAGAATCAGACCTGGATCCAGTCAGCCCCGGTTGAATTTCGAGTGCCCTTTGCAAACACGTCCAAATCACTTGCTCGAAATCTGCCGCTTGCTCATTTGGTGGCAGGGCCTCGGCTTCGCGCACGTCGTTGTTTTTTTTCTCGCAGGTGTCTTGGTCGGAGGTGCCGGTGTACCAGCGGCGCGCGGAGATGCAGAAAGCCATCCAGGCAAGACGCGGTGAATCGACGAATGCTGACCCAGGATTAATAAACCCGTCCCATTATTAGGGGGGGAGTTCCCTCCAAAAAGGAATTTTCTCCCCACTAGAAGGGGACACCCCCCGATCAAAGTCGACCAGGGGGCTACTTTTCCGCGCTTAACATCATATCTGACTTTTTGGGTTTTTAGTGGTTTGTCAATCTTCCCCTCAGTGCCCAAAGCGAATCGGTCACATCTGTCCTTTGGTTTTTCCATTGTTTAATTTTTGGGCAAGCTCCCAAAAGGTAAGCCCTTTTTTTCAGGTGTGGGCAAGTGCGTCCCCCTTCTCCAAGGGCTCGTTCGGCTCGTTCCCAAGACTTCCTGCCAACTTTGAGTGAGGTTTCTCGGATACTGTCCCTCCCACCAGCGAAGGTGGAATCTGCCAGAAAGCTCTTTGTGTAGAAACATGATTTGCCGGGTTGCACCCCCAAAGTTCCATGGCAGCGGTGGGCAGAACCCAACATCTCCCAGGAGGTGTATGCTTCGATGGAGCAAGCAAACTAATCCATCCGGCCAAGTACGGTGCCTTGGACTTTGTGCATCCCTAGGAATTCTAGATCTGGGAACCAGGGCGGCTCATGTTTTTTTTTGGTTCCGTTCAACTCTAGGTTTTTGTTGTGAGGGTCCATTGTTTTTCTTTTTGACATCCATTCAAAGCTACCCTACCAGGGAAGATGCCCAAAAAGAACAAGGGATGGATCAATCGGCCACCCTGCTTGTTCACTTTGGGTTGCGACCACTAGGGTGGCTTCCTTCTCTAGTAACCCTCGCAATTGTCGAATTTTATTATTGAGGGTTCATGACCATACCTCAACCGAGTTTGTATACAAGTTTGACCTATAATGCAATATCAATTGCATACGAAACTGTACACACAAACAAATCTTGAACACACATATATACATATGTTGTTTTTGATATACGTATATTATATATATATGATGCTAGTTGGCTGAGCTGACCCCATTGCCCCAGCGAGGCCGCGGACGTGGTGTGCTGCACTGCGGTCTCGGCGGGCGGCGGCTTGCTCAAGGCGAATTGGATGGCACTCAGGGCTTCCCATTTTGGTGCACCAAAAAAAAGGATCTCGGGCACGAACGACCCAAGGTAGGGATTGTGTGGAAATAGATGGCTGCGGGTCAAAACCATTGGTTTACCATTTTGGGGTAGGTGTACTATTGATTTTAGTCTATTTGAGTGGGGATCAGGATGTTCACTGGGGGTACGGGATTTTGACCCATGGCCATACGTCAGCTGAGTACCCTTTTTAAAAGCAGCGCGTTTTCCGGGCCCCTAGTTTAGATTGTCTCGGTCCCCCAAGTAGTGCCCTTGTGCCCTTTTTGGGGGGAGGGTTCCCCTACTAAACTAAACTACACGGAAAAGCTTCCCTTATTCTAACCTCTCTACTGGAGGACCTAGTTTAGATTGCTCAAACAACAGGGCAATGTCATTTTTCTTGGGGGGGGTGTCAAACACAGGTTTGTTTAGAATCATATGGCGTGGTATTTCGCCGTGCCTTGTAGACGGGGCCGAAAAGGGCTCACAGTTTTGACAACCCGCATGGCTATTGGTGTCACCACAAGAGCCGCGGGACCCTTTTGGACACGAATTGTCTTTCCATCAATCCGAAACTGTCTGAGTCTAAGGACCTTTTGCTCAGTGCTTGTGTAAAAAACGGGGTGCCCCAAAAATGGTGGGTGAAAGGGCAACCTCAAAAGAAACACACACACACACACACACGTACACTCACAGACTCGCACGCTTACTTCGTCCCCCGTCAGCTCAAGCGCTGATTTGCTTCTAGCCTAAGCTTTGGCCTCCAAAACATCGTGGGCTCCCCATAGTTCCCTGCGTTGTGATTTGCAACATCACAATGGGCCGATAGAGATATGTATTCGATAATTTCGCGTTGCTTGTTTGTTTTTTTCATTTTCTGTTTTTCTCAGGAACGATATCCTTGCACGGCCACGTCTGAAACATCGGAGAACGATATAGTGAAAGCAAAACAAAAGTCACTTCCTGCTCGAACTCGCCTGAAGTAGTCTCAGGTTTTGCCGCTCGCTCAAATTGAGATGTCTTTAAGTGGGGCTTCCCAGTTTCCTTGGGTGTTAGGTCACGGTGAGACACACCCTACAGCTCAAAGGAGGATGCTGGTTTCCTACTATTGGGATTGGGGATTGGGGATTGGGGGGAGGTGCTGGGCCCCAATAAAAAACGCCTCTGACCATACGTCTCCCCTTTGCAGGTATGAGGGAACAATGTATGGACAGGGCCCTATGATCTATGTGTTGCGTTTTCCGATTGGGGTGGGGCTAACCAAACCAATGAAGCAAAATATGTCGGTTGTAATGTCAACGTTGGCGATGATGATGATGATGATGATGATGATGATGATGATGATGATGATGATGATGATGATGATGATGGTGCATTACAACAAAAGAACCACATGAATATCACGACGACAGACGAGGCCACCATGGCATTTCCAAAATGATGACGCTGGCACATGCTGGCACATGATTGTGGGAATGTTGGTTTCGGAGATATCTTGGCTGCTCCCCTACAAATTCACATGAAACCTGAAAGTGGGTCCTCCAGAGGTCTGAAAGGGATTCATATAAAACTTGATATCTTCACAGTGACAAAGTGGTACGGGTGGGAATCTCGCATTGGTGTCACCAAAAGGGTGCTGTTGTCCACAACCGTGCGCTTGGACTTATTTACCTTCTGAGACGTGTTGTTTTTTTCTGACTCAGAGCTAGCTTGGACTTGCCTAGTGAGTGGATAGACAGGTACCCGTCCCATCGCCGGTCGCTTTCCTTGGAAGGAGCGCGCAAAGGAGCTCCGTGTTGTTGTTTGGCGGCGAGTATACGAGAAAAGAATATGTAAAACTGCATACATTGCATAGAATCCATGTTAATGACACTAAGGGCGACCCGGGGAAAGCAAGAAAAGGTTCGAAGTTTGGTGACAAAATGGCTAGAAAGCACTCCAGAGCCCCATTTCCAATTCGTTTTTTGCCCTTATCAAAAGGAGGCTCCTCCGGTTTTTTGAGACTGGAGGACTGTGGATTTTTTGTGTTTTTTTTGAGTTCCCTGTGACATGCGCACGAAAAACATATCCGCCGGTCGGTTCAGGACATCAGCTTCCCCCTGGTGCTGGTGGACGAAGCCTCCCAGGAAGTCGAACATTTGTTGCATCCGATCGCTGGACATTTCTTCTTTGGAATTCGCTCCCCTTTTAGTTGTTTTTGCTTTTTCCGGGGAAGCTAATTCCAAATTGACATTCTTCCCCGGATCGCTTGACGGAATTGGCTTCATCCGCAAGTTGCGCAAGGTTGGAGCCTCATGGCGCCAACGCCGACTTTTTCGCCACCCTTCCCCAGACATAGTTCCTTTTTTGTTGTTTTTTGGTCCCTTTGTTTTCCACTCACCAAACAAAAATGTTTTTTTTTTTGTGCTGGGGGAATTTAATTCCAGCCTAGAAAGGGTTTTGTCGCTGTTGCATCGCTTCTGCCTAAATTAAATTGCGGGCTCACCGATGCGGGGGATAACGAACGAAAGCCATGATAAAGGTCCTTGACTTGGGGATCCGTTAAATTGGCTTTCGGAATGCATTTGTTGCTACCATCTTCTGGTACCATTTGTTGTTACCATCCTGGTTACCAAGCCACTTCCGTAATACAACAGAGCGGCCAAAGACTAGTTTGGGCATAGAAAGGGGGATTCCCTTGTATCACAGTGGGGATCAACTCTTTGATCCCACAACCCCCACAACCCCGTTTACATTTGTTGTGACCTAGTAGGCTAAGGGTTACCAATGATGCATCTGCTTTGACTCGGATTTGTCGCCTGCTAAAATGAGGAGGGTAGTTGAACGATGTTTGCATAGGCAGAATAACTTTTGCCCGAGCCATATCATCCTGTCCGTGGATCTCAACAAATCGCCGCGACGCATTTATGCGGGAACCTCCTCTTTGGTTTTATCGGGACCCCAACATGTTGAAAGGAAACCAACTGAGATATCCCCTACATATCAAGACACTCCAGGGTGCCATGTGACTTCATGGACTATGTGCTGAAATCATCTGAACGTATTCAACGGCTGGGGGGGAGGGGGGGAGGGATTTGGATTCGGGCAGAAGCCGCAACCACATCATGGATATATAGAAGGTAGATCTGTTTTTTTGTTTTTTGTGTAAACAACATGTTTGTTTGGTTAGTTTTACCAGGACCCCAAAATGAAGCCCGCAGTCCAAGTGTAAACCAGAAGTTGGAAGAATGTTGAAAGCAATAATCAGTAGGGCAAGTCAGCCAAACCCTCAACAATCCGGGGTTATAAGCTGCTTTTCTGACGTTTGAACATCCAACTATGCGCAGTCAGATTTGTCTATCTGCATTGAACGCACAGGAGCCAGCCAGATTTGTCTATCTGCAAATTCACAGAAGGCACCAACAACAGGATTGGTTCTATGGTTGCCAAGGGCTCCACACGGGCCCCCAATAATAGGGGCTAGTAGCGAGGGTCTATTGAACGGGGCGTTTGGGGCACCATGTCCTTTCCCAAAAGCTCGTTTGGGGCCAACCATAGGACTCCTCACTTCCTGAGTTCATGAACTTTAAACTTTTTGGGAAGACCATTTTAGTGGTGTATATATATATATAGAAAAATATATTAAGTTTGGACTTTTTTTGGGACATCCACTCCGCCAGTGAGACTCAGATCTAGTTGGCAATCATGTTGTCGCGAGGCCACGGAGCCGGTGACGATGGTTCCCATCTGCCACGGCTGCAAGGCGCTGGTGCTGTGTGGGGACCACTGCCAGCTACCGCCCACCGTGAAAAGCGCCGTGGCCGTTGAACCAAGGCCGCGGTTGGGGGTGAATTTCAACAAAGAATGGGACCCTGTGGTGGACGCCATTTAGGTGGGGGAAGTATGTCCAAAGACCACTTTGGTGGTTCATCATGAAATTTTGCAGCCAAATCAGACACCCTGTGCCGAATAGAATAGCCATTCATCATTGTTAAAAGGGGGAACATCCTTCAAGCCAAATCAACCGGAAAAACGCGACCCTTTTTTCCCAGTTCTGAAAATTGGGATGGGTGTGTACTCTCTTGGGCGGTGTTTTCAAGGCATGTCACGCCTTATGACCAAACCAGGGCTTTCTACATCGGTTCTGCTCAAAGAAAGAGTACCCAAAGTGTCCACCGTCCGACTTGCCTTCGCTCCCCCCGGAAATCGAAGCCGAGCTCAACGTCACATTTGCCAAACAATGAGAACCCAACAAAGAAACAATTCCCTGGTCCAAAGAAACTGGAAGCAACGGCTTAGGCCTGAAGCACCGGGTGATTATCAAGAGTGCTTTATCTTTTTTAGGAGATTTCCTGGAACTGAACAGATCAAAGTTTAAGATCGGGCGTGTTGTCACATGGAATCAAAGCCGGCTTTTGGGGACCCACAAACGAGCAGAGGCGAGGGTCCCAATCCAGTTGTCGAGGGTTGGTCGCTGCAGTGAGTGTGACCTTTTCCGTTTTAGGTTTACCTTTCACCTCGCTACTCTGGGTTTTCCTTTGTGTCCCTTTTCGGCCAGCAAACAACCTGCAAGGGGGTGACGGCAAATGGCGCACTTCCCTTTCTGTCGGTAAGGAGGATGCTGCAAACCAACATGGGCGAACAGTGCCACCTACTTTCTTCCAACTGAGCAATGAGTTTTCTCTTGGTTTCCCTCGAAGGCCACAAACAGAAAGGGGTTCCCCGATTTCAAGCCCCGGCCTTGCAGCCTTTGCCCTAGGCGAGGGCCCCCATGCGGCGGCCCTGTCCATGTCCCTCTTCGAACGCCTCGCGTTGAGCGGGGTGAAGCCCATCCTGCTGAACGTGCAGTACCGCATGCACCCCCTGCGGCTTGGAGTCCGTAGAACAGCTTTTAGTTAAAGTTGACTGGCCATGGGTCAAAATCCAAATCGTACCCCCAGTGAGCATCCCAATCCCCACTAAAATAGACTAAAATGGGTGGTGGCCCCAAAATGGTACCATTGGTTTTGACCAACTGGGTGTGGCTCAAAATTCAACAGGGTTGCGCAGGTTTTGGTCCATATTTGCACTCACCAGGGTTCCATTTTGGCCCCGGTTTTTTGAGCCACAGCCAACTGCCAAGAACAGCGTGCCCCTTTTACCCATGGCCACTGGAAAGAAATGGGTGTGTACATGTAATAGGGGGCCCCGGACAAAAGCATGGCGAGGGCAAATGCTGAGGCGGTACCAACTTTTTGGACTGCTCTGAAAGGAAACCAACAGGAAAAGCACCAGTTTGGGGATAGGATCCCAATTTAAAGACACCCAAGTGCGAGATTGGGCATGAAACGCTCCCTTGTAAGTTAAGATGGAACTCAAAAGAGCGGGATTGCTCTAGAAGTTGTGGTTTTAGGGTTCCATGTTAATGTGCCAGGTGTTCTTTGTCATTTGCATCGTTTCTTTTGGGTGTTATGTTGATTGCTATTGATGTTGATTTCTGATTTGTCACAAGCAGTGACTTGTTAGAGGGCTCGTCCTCCGCATCAATCCGAAGTCAGCGTTGGGCAAGCGACAGAGGTCCCTTTATGTTTCCCCGGTTGGTTTCAATCATTCCCCTTTAGGGGAAATTAGATTGCTGGTTCCGCGTCTTAGTGTTTCTCAGAGTTACATTTCAGGCGAAATTTTAGGCCTGTTCCTTTTGGTGCTGTGATGTTGAATGGGGAACCCTGAATTGTAGCGGCCTCAATCGCAAGGTTCCTTGAATGGGCACCATGTTTTATCACAAATTCACCCAGACCAAAGGCAACTACCTGCACCCTCAAATACCCTTAAACAACGGGTGTTTGCCCCAACATGATGCGGAGGGGGTAGTTTGTGGGTCCAGGAAGAGATCGAAAGCTCCATGGTTTTCTTGGTTTCGCTTCGCCAAGCACAAGTCTACCAACTTGTGCCAGTGTCGTTGGAACCTTTCCTTCGCTTTGGATTCGCTATCTAAGTTCCCAACGGCGTATCCCTCAGAAGGAACCCCTGGGTATTTGTCTGATGCCTGAGGAGCACGCTTTAAGGCATTCTGATGGTTTTTTGCTGCGAATCTCTATGATGCCGTTCAAAAACGGGTTCCCTGTATGCACCCATTGTGGGTTTGGGCCTCTGCATACCGCAACACCCTACCGAATCGTTTTTTCAGCATCTGTGGAATGACTCCCAATTCCTTCTCAACGAATTCGCAGGCTCTCAGCGTATCCCTCCATCAAGTTCTACGGGGGCAAGTTGCAAGATGCGCTGCATCCCACTGTACGGCCCAAGGGCTGGATGTACAAGGCCGGATGCACACGCATGCATCCATACATGCATGCAGGCATGCATACTCCATCCATACATTTATATTATATGTACATGATATGCATCCATACATGTATACATGCAACCATGGATGCAAGGAAAGCCATCATCGCGAGGAAGATTCACCCCCCATGCTCATCGCAAATTGGCTTCAAGGCTTCTCGAGCCTTCGCTCTAGTTGACCTGTAGCAGTTTCTGCAGGTCTCACTTTGTGCGAGATGCGAGCCTTGGTTTCTGGCTGGTTTGGTACCAGCTGGAAAGGTAGACGGGTACTTCACGATTCGGGGCTCAGGGGACACCAGCAAGTGCCTCGCGGTGTCCTGGGCTTATGAATGGACTGGGTTTGTGGATAGACTGTGATGAACCCCGATATTCGACACGGAACTCTCGCGTTTGGGTACTGGAACAAGGCGAACGGATTCCAGAACCAAGTACACCTCACGTGGGCAAATTATGGACTTGGACGATGTTTGCGGCTTAACAACTGCGGTCTACAAACTTATCATGACTGAGTTGAACATCAGATCTGTGCCATTGGACCCGCCAGGAGAGTCTGGTGGTGGTCCCGGTCTTCGAGCCGGAGGGCGAGGAGCTGCCAGGCCCCGAGCAGGCGGAGCCGGCGGAACCGGCGGCGGGCCGCGGCACCAGCCATTCGAACCGGGCGGAGGCGAACGAAATCCTGGCGCAAGCCAAGGAGCCGAAGTTGGGGTACACTCAGAAACTGCAAGAAGGTGGCGCCCATGTTGTTTTTTGTTTATCGATGTTGTGTTTGGGTGACACACCGAACCATTTGCGAGCTTTATCCTGAGTGGTGCCCTCTACTCTAGAGGGGGTCACTGGGCTTTCTGAATTTAAACAAACTCAATGGTTGAGCATTCGGAGCATTGGGTTCCTGCCTGTACTGGGGATATCTGTGCAAGTTCCATATCAAACATGTTAAACCCTGGTAATGCCTAAAGTCCACGGGTGAAACGGGTGCTCACATGGAATCCCAACAAGTTTTTGTTTTCCCCCCAAAGAGATACCTCGACACATGGATGGCGTTTGTTGGGATCCATGACGCGGGGAGTACAGGGTGAAAGAAGATGGTCAATTCTCTGTGAGTAAGTAAAGGGGATGACTAAACTAGCCTAGGGAATCGTGCAATCGTCTATGGGTTTCGTATTGGACATCGCTGACCAGCGGTGCCACCATACTTTTGGACAGGTGTTTATTTCTAGTTATGCCCATGTATCTTTTAGAGTTTCCAGTAACTTACATTTACCTGTATGGTAGGGGGACCATTCTGGTTACCTGCTATACTGGCTGGAAGCAACAGCTTAGGTCTGACATCTACTTTGGTGTGTGTGTGTGTGTTGCTTTTTTGAGGGAGTTGGCTTTAGGGGAACCAAGGGTCAAGCACCCACTTTGAGGTTCCCGTATTTAAAGACTGTAAAATTGCTGAGGTTAGGACAAAGACGACCCATGTAAGAAAAAAATCTTATGCTAGGCAGTGTCTGTCTTTTGTGTTCAGTCGTATGCCTCGATCGGATTGTGGATTAGGATTAGGGACCCCCGGTTTTGTGTCAGCCGGGTGACCAGCAAAACCAACCAGAAGGGTAGGATAGTTCTGTTCAGACAACCTTACACAAAGTCTCACATGAGGATGTTTAAGCAGAATAGGTTTAAACATGTTCGAACTACGCCCAAGAAGCACAATTGGCTAGCGCCCAAGGAAATAACAAACACCTTTATACAGTGTCAAAACTGTTCTTGAACACCTCATCTTCCGAGTTTGTGGAAACCCAGCCACCCAGCCACCCAGCAAAACTTATGTAACCAGCACAATCCCTGTGTTCCAAACGCGGCTTTTTCGCACCCTGGGGATGCTTGGCTGATAGCAAGAAAGCATGGGAACTCGTTTCGCTTCAGCCACCAATGGCCACAAGTTGCGCATTGCCGCTTCAGGGCGCCAAAGCCGACCTTTCACCACTTAGTGCCCCAGACCTAGTTCCCTTTTTTGTTTTTTGTTTTGCTTTTTTTGGGGTCCCCTTTGTTTTCCACGAATCAGGCAAATATATATATATATATATACATATATATATATATACATATATATATATATATATATGTTTGGCTGGGGTCCTAATTCCAGGCTAGCACCCTGTGGTTTGTTTTTAAAGCAAAGAACAGAGTGGCAGTGAGCACCTGGTTTGCGTACACCAAGCCCCCGTTCCACTGAAAGCCCGGGGTTTCCAGCTACCAGAGTAGGCCATGGAAACCCCTGAAAGATGCCTGGTACAGCTACCTTACCTATGGTAGCAAAACGCACTGGTTGCATGGCTTAAAGAAGTTGAATCGCCCAACCCTCAGTGTTCAAATTAGTTTCATTTGGATCAGTTCTATTTAAGGGCAAGTATAGGGAGCCCTCTCTTACGCCATGCTTTGAAGAAGTTGAATGTTCTTGTCTCAAAGGGGAACCTTCAAGTAGTTTCATCTCGGCCAAGAAAAGCCTTCCTAGAGATGAACATGGAACCAAACTCGAACCGTGATTCTCAGAGGACACCTTTTCACCCCACCCCACCCCACCCCACCCCACCCCACCCCACCCCACCCCACCCCACCCCACCCCACCCCACCCCACCCCACCCCACCCCACCCCACCCCACCCCACCCCACCCCACCCCACCCCACCCCACCCCACCCCACCCCACCCCACCCCACCCCACCCCACCCCACCCCACCCCACCCCACCCCACCCCACCCCACCCCACCCCCCTTCTTGGGTTCCTTAGTTTGCAGGGGTGTGGTTTCCTGAGGAGTATATCTCCAACGGGGGCTCGCCCAAGTCCTTGGGCATCATCACGCCCTACGACTCGCAGAAGCACCTCATCCGGAGCATGCTGCAGGAGAACAACATCCGTACGGGTCTGCACGGTGTGGAGGCCTTTTAGACGTCGGAATTTCGAGTTCTGGGGGTTGTTTTTTGGAGGTGTACCTTTATTGGTTTGGATTCTCTTGGTGTTTTATTGGTGGTTTCCCAGGTGGTTTCCCTTCCACCAGGAAAAGTGGATTTCCCTTTCGGAAATCCACTTTCGGAAATCCACTTTCGGAAATCCACTGGGGGGTTTGGTGACTCGGGCCCCGCCCTGGTCGATTACGGCGTCCCATGGAGGCTATCCGGGGTCAACATTGCCCCTACTTTGCATTTGTAACCCACAGTTCCTTTTGATAACATCATATGCGTGTATCAAACCGCTTGGACACCCCACAAAATGGTGGTTGTCCTTTGTGGTGTTCCTTTTAGCCAGCTTTAAAAGGGCAGCCTCCAAAGGCATAATACGTGATAATACCTGAGGCATAAAGAGCGTGCAGCAGCTCACGCATCAGGCTTCCGGCATATGGACATGGACAAAGGCACATGTTGCGGCACGTGGCCAGGCTGTTCCCAGCCTGATAATACCATCATACGATATACATATATATATATATATGCAAATGAATAAATACATATCTGTATATATATACACACATTTATATACATATATAAATATGTTTGTTCTGCATATGTAAAAGCGGCAGGCCCGAAGGAACTGCCTCGAAGCAAATCGTTACCTCGAAGGCAAGTCGCGTCGATTGCCAGGTCAACTCTGTGGATGGCTACCAGGGTAGAGAGAAGGAGGCGCCAGCGAGAGAGGGGGAGAGAGGGAGAGAGAGAGTGCGAGCCATATATATATAATTTGTCCAGTGCCCTTTTTAGGGCTGGTTTAAAAGGGGCACCAAACGGAATGCCAACATGTTTGGGGTCCCCCCATGTACACGCACACACACACACACATGGATGACCACCCCACTTGAAATGTGGATAACATCCCTTATCAGGTACCAATTCTATGGGTCTAGGTTCGAAATGTTGATTGAATGGAGATACTTTGCATGGAGAAAATCCACTTCGCACCAGTCGTGTCAAATGATCACGCCGGTGATTAAGTATCCCTTACTTGGTGGGTTCGGACAGTAACTTGGATGCCGATTTGAACCTTTGTCCGCCCCATAAACCCCAAACCACCACTCCCAACCACCAATCAGCGGGACACCCCTTAGCAACTATAGAGGAAGACGATATTACTGGAATGCCAGGAATCCAGGGGTCTCAAATCTTGGTGGCTCCCGGCCATCCCCTAAGTTTTTCAGCTTTTTGGTTGGCTTAGTTGTTGGGTTTCCGTATTTCACCCACTAAAAGTTTTCGTCACCTTTAGGGGATCAGAGTCTGAACACGGACAGCTCTTAGCAGGGGATCAGAGTTGAACCCGCTAAAGGTTAGTCACGTTTAGCGGGGGATCAGAGTCAGAGTCAGAAAACGGACTGAGAAATGACCATGCTGCAGGTGATCATGATCTCCACGGTGCGGTCCAACAAGGGCGGCGCCACCGGCTTTGTCAAGGACTGGCGCCGCATCAACGTGGCCCTGACACGGCCACTGGGCCCGGGAGTCGGGTTTTGCCGAGTCGGGGTGGGGGTTGGGTTGCCAGAAACACGCTTTGGACTTTCTCACTTCCTGAGTTCATGAACTTTAAGCTTTTTGGGAAGACCATTTTAGTGGTAAATATTAAAGTTTGGACATTTGTTGGGCCATCCACTCAGAAAGTGAGCTTTTAATTGGAAGTTACAATGAGAAACCAGGATCCAAAGTTGAACATGGGGAGCCAACATGGAGAAAGTCGAACATGGGGAGCCTTGCTTCTTGCTTGACTCACCTGCCTTTCCCCTTGAAAAGATGATTCATGGTACTTTGGCCTTTCCTCACGTTCCCTTCGCTTTTGCAGCCCAGGGTGAGTGTCCTCCTTTTCAACCACCCCCCCCCCCATCCCGGACCATCCCCCGCCCTTTTCCCAGCCTTTCCCCCCACTCATCTGGGTTTGTCTCAAACTAGCGGCTTTCCTTCTGGTTGTTCCTTCGCATATTTGGAGATTTCAGCACCAGTATTAATTACCCAACAAACCCCCAAACAAAGACACACTCATCCACCCACCCCCCATCCTTTCTCGCCCTTCCCCCCCCCACTCATCTCATCTCATCTCCTTCCTTTCCCGAAAAAGCAAAAAAAGCCGTTCCCTCTCCTTCCCTTCCTTTCCCAAAAGCCCAACAAAAAACAGCCGTTCCCCCCCACTCTCCTTCCCTTCCTTTCCCCAAAAACGTTCCCTTCCAGCCAACCCCCAAAAAAGCAACAAAACAAAAAAGCCGTTCCCTTTCCACCAACCCCCCAAGGCCAAAAAACACCGTTCCCTTCCAGCCAACCCTATCTCCTCTCCTTTTAGCCAACCCATCTCACAGGGCGAAGGGTGGGCTGCTGGTGGTCTGCAACCCCGCGACCCTGGCGCGGGACCGCAGCAGCTGGCTGCCGTGGCTCTGGTGGAGCCGCTGGCGGGGCTGCTGGCTGCACTCCCAGGACGGGATCCATCCGACGGATCCATGCGGATCCCGGCGGGGCGAGTCGGCGCTCCGTCGACCCCCATGGGCCTGTGGCATTGTGTGTGTGTGTGTGTGTGTGTTTTTTTTTGGTAGTTTTTGCGGTCACCCGCTGAAAGTTTTGGGCTTTCAAGTTTTGGGTGTGGACCATTTTAGCAGCAAACAAACAAATGGTGATTTTTTTCTGGCCAGCTCACTCAGGAAACGGGCTTAAGGTTGGTTTGAAGAAAAGCCGAAAGCAAAATAACTGGCCATCGTTTTGGGCTCCCACTATTTTGACATATATCTACATGGAGCTGTGGTTGGTTTAGGGGGAAGCCAACTTTTGAGCAGCCCTAGGTGAGTTATGAGCATACGCTATATGCTCTTTTGATGGTACCCATGTCTCATCAGGTACCCCCTGATTGGTTTGGATTGGTGGGGGTACGCCAGTTTCTTTTTGTGGGGTGGTACCTGAAGGATGCAAACAAACCGAACCACTAAGGTCGTTTCTGTGGAGGCTAGCCTTTGTTGGCTCGGGTCAAAGGAAACCCCCCGCGATTTGGGGAGCGACCCGTTTGTGCCCGGGCAGCGTGTTGTGGATGGCTATGCGGGGGCCTCTGGTTTCAGGTGAAAGGGTCTCGGACTCTGCATAGTGGTTTTGTGAGTGGGGTCCGGGGATATTAACCACCTCTATGTTTTCCATGGTTGCAATGGCTACCCACTATAGTGCCGGGATCCACAGCCCAAAGGAAAACCTTTGGCGTGGGATGCCCTTTGCAGCCACTGGCACCTTTGGACAGATTCGAACCACCAACCTCCACCAACCCCCACAAACCCGCACCAACCCTCGCACAACCCCCACCCCCAAACAAAACCGTAGAAGCAAAACCCCACCTCACAGTTGAGCCAAGCCCTGGTGACATGTTCAAATACACTATGGTTGTAAGCATTTTCTTTGCTGTTACTGGGGGAAGGGTTGGTTTCATTCAATACCCCAAACGTCTGGACTCCCTCGGTTTTTCTTTCCAACAGTTTGCCCAAACTTGTGGACTCCCTTCATTTCGGTGACATCAAAAGGAAGGCTTGGTGGTTTTTAATGCCCATCTTGCGCTCTCCCTGGGCTTTCCGAACAAAACTCCGGCAGGACATCTTCCTGCCGCAGATGCATGACCGGGTGGCCCCCCCTGAGCCGGCCTCCCCGCCGAAGCGGGCGCGGGGAAGATCCCCGTCCCCGCCGCCGGTGTGGGCGTAGGAAAAGGGTGCACCTTTTGGCGCTCAGGCTAACAGGATGAGGGGCTGAATCCGGGAACATGGGAACAAGAGGGCAGAGGGTTGCTTCTCAGAGAACATGTGAGTATATGCATACATATGTATATATATATATATATGTACATATGTGTGTATTCAGGTTGACTAAATATGAATCAAGCAGAGTCGGTGTTTTATGTTTTTGGTGTACCCTGGGTGGGCCAACTTAAGCCTGTCCCTCTGAGAGACTGTTGGTTTTAAAAGGGGACCTATCACATCCGGATATTTTTCCAGGGGGCTCAAGCAAATTGGCATATACTACATCCGGGAGAAAACTGCTGCCATGCGGCTGTGTCTGTTGTCGTGTTATCCGGTATCTTGTTTGGGTTGTTCTAAAAGGGAAACCACATCACACCATTTCGGGGGTTCCTTTACTTTGAGACAACCCAGGTAAAGCTTGTTTGTTCGGCCTGTTGGGTTTTTGGTTCTGCGGGGGTTGACAATTTATAGATGTTTTCCCAGATCTAGAGCTCATTCTGACCGCGCTGAATCACCTGTTGGAAAAGCCTACTATACGGGCCTGAACAAATATAATGGGGCTGTGGCGGCTGTGATCATGGTACTAAGCGTTCATGATCATCGGACTATGTGTAATTCGTTGGCCCTTCATATCATGTGATGCGTGCCTTTGCTTTGGGCCAGATGATGTTAAAGACATAGGGAACCCCTTGGGACTACAGATCCACCACCTTAAGCTGCTCTCTCCAATCGGTCCTATATTTTTGCAGAGAAATCGGTTGCTTGTTTTTGTTTAATCGACCTTTGGGTTTTCCCATACTGGTCAGAAGCACAGGTCTCAAAATATTCACCCTAAGCTTGAGACTCAGGAAATGAGTACGTGACATGTCAGCGGCGGTTTTTGGAGTTCGGACGCCAAAAGGTGAACCTTCGAAGATTTAACACCGGGGCCCTGCCCCGGCACAGATGGATTTTAAAAAGACGGCGTGCAGCTGTTCGCGGCCGTTGCTTGGTCTGGTTACTCTTCACGGATTAGCAGACCTGTCCTATTCACGGACAGCCTATTATTAGAAGGACGGGTTTATCACTATGGTCGTCCAACAAAGTGTTCACTTCCAGAAACTGGAGAAGACAGCTTCTGGACATGTTTCTGGTGTACCTATCCTTTCTGTGGCTGATCCTGGAGCTGGTTTCTTTGACAGCCCATTAACTTGACTACGTGATTTTTTTTTGGGGACCCCCCAAAACGGCCGGCAATTTTCCTTCGCCCGTGGAAAGCCACAGAAAGATGTGGACGGGATCTTCTAATTGGAAACGCGTGACCCAAGGGTACCCCTGCTTACATTTACCACTTTCAAGCAGTCCCGGTGTGGAATTTCTCCCAGAATCCAACTCCCGTTTTCAACTAAGTGAGGGGTCCCTCCACAATGCAAGGAAAGGTTCGATGGTTGAACATCCTTGGCTCTTGGTGCATTTGCTCAGATTTGCTGATTTGCTTGAGGGGTTCCCGCAAGGGATCCACCAAAAAACAATCAGAGAGCTTGTCTGTGAGTTGCCTTTGCTTCCCGTCATCTCGATTTCAGACGCACTAGACTAGGGTTCCTGAAAGTTGGCCCAGTGCTTCCAGTTCCCATTATACTAGGCAACCCGGCAGCTATCTGTAAGTTGTACATGATAGCTTTCTCTGCTTACCTACCGACGGGTAGTGGAAAGAACGGTTGGCCCACTGCCAGGTCATATAACGCGGTACTTGTGGGTGACGGAAGTCCTGACGCCGACGAGCACGCCGGAGAGCAAGAACCGTTCTTCCAATCGATATTGGATTTGTACCGTTTAGTGGCTATATGGTGGATGTATATCCCGTTGAACCGCTGGGGGCACAGTAGCCTTTTTTTTGGGGGAGCGAACACATGTTAGACACAATCATGGAATTTACACCTTTGTTTTTCCCCAACAGCTGAAAGCTTGGGGGTCTCAGCCCAGATAGGCTGTGGGGTGGTCCGGGGCGGCCCTGAGGTCAGGTTCCACGAGGGTTCCACCAAGGTTCCACCGCATGCTGTTGGGGATATCACCTGAGCTTATTTTGAAAGGCCTCGCTTCTTCCAAACCCCATCTCTCAGCTTCCATGATTCTTGTCGTGAGTTGGGTTTCGATACTTGTTCCATCGACCCAGGGCTCATCATGGGCACGGCTCCTTCTGGGGTTTGTGCTGTGAGACAACCCCCCCAACAGGACAACCTCCGGGAGTTAGCCGAACGGTCACGAACCTGCCTTACAACTAGGGATTGCCTATCTAGAAAATGTGGCACAACAAGTCTGGAGGGTAATTATATGTGGTTTTTCAGCAGACCTCCAACAAACCACCAAGTGAATAACACATCCAATATAGCACACCCTCCCACCAAGGATGAAAGTGCCTATAGGCTAAAAAGGACCACTGTTTTCCAACAGGACGTTGTGCTCCATGAGATGTTTGTCAGTGCATCACCTCTTTGGTGCGTCTCCTAACATCTCGGGCTGTTGCGCGTCCCTTTCCGCAAACCGGGCGGATTCCCCCGGAGCCTGGGCCAGGCGAAGACGCCGGGCTCGCGCCCGGTGGACCCCGAGCTGCCGAACGGCGACAAGTTCAAAGTGGTGGGGGACTGGTCCCTCGGTTTGCCACCAGCGAGGGGCCTTTGTCAGCCGGGCGAGAGAACCCTTTTGTCCCAGGTGCGAGGGGAGGGGGGAAACTCCCCATGTGTGGTGCGGCGGATTGTTGAGCTTTTTCAAAGCCGTCTTTTGGGGACGTCTTTGGGTGGAACCAAGGCTCCAAGGTCGGGAGGTGAAGTTTGGGACAGGAAAAGCATTCCGGGACTTTTTCATGTTGAGACAATTGCTTCTTTTGAGGGTTCGCATGGCTTCTCCACTTTGTGAGACCCGGATTGGTTTGCGATACAAGAGGGTCTCTGCAGGAATGCCCTGCCCGTCAGGTCAGTCTTGCTGAACCAGACGAATGTGAATTTCAACAACAACAAGTACTACCGGCCTGGGCCTCAGTTCAGCCAATCTGTTTGCGAACGAGTGAAAGGCCAAAAGGTAATGCTTCCGATGGATGAGTTGGGATGATGGCAGCGGCAGGTGATTCAATGAAGGTCTCTGACTTGAGGCCTGAGTTCTTTGGAATTCTTCTGCTGGCGGAAGCAACTCGCGAAGCTCGATCGAGGATTCAGCTTCTGGAAGACGACGGCGGCCAGGCTTGGCGTCATTGGATGCGGGGTGTCCCACCAAAATGAGCTTCCCGAGTTTCTGGACTTCATCCTTGTATCATGCTTTTAGGTAGCCCGCGTTTTGGAGGTCAAAAGGGAAGCCAAAAGCAAACCACCCAGGTCTGACCGGAGTCCTTGAGTCCACGTAGGGTACATCCCCTAAGGCCCTAAGGGCTTCTGGCGAATGCCAAGCCACCCAGGGTATCACGGGGGGACTTTTGAATGGATCTCAGTTGGTAAAGTATAGGGGCGAAAGAATTTGAATGGGGGTGGGGTACTTTGAAATCACATATAGCAGTGTTTCTGCGGGAAGAAGGCGTGCAATTTGAATTTGCCCAGAAATAGTCTGTCCCTCTACGCCAGCCTGCTTAGGGAAGTCAAGGGACTGCCCTTAAGGTTTATGCACTTTAGGGGCCTACACACTGGACAGCACACATGGGGCGAGGGAGGGGTGAGAAGGCAGTCCCTAAGATATCTATTTTAAAAAAACATGTCATTTTTTCTAAATGTCAATAATTTGGTATTTCCCCGAATTTATGGGGGTTTCAGCATGCACCGGTCATCCCTACAAACAGATTTCCTCAATTCGTGATAGGGGTGCCTCGCAACGAAGATGGCCTTTGCCCCTTTGGCGTGACCAGGGCCTCTTCGGGCGCCGCTTCATCTAGGGCCCCCAGTAGTGCCCTTTTACCCTTTATCCGGGGAGGGTTCCCCTACTAAAATAGACTAGATAAAAAAAGTTGGTACCCTTATTCTATCCTCTCTACTGCAGAACCTAGTCCTTGTCACCAAAAAGGGTTTTTCGGGTCCTGGGCAAAGACTGCACTCCTTGGCCCATGTCCAAAGACTGGTTTTCCTTTATCTTGAAACTAGCAGGGATGGTCATATCAGTAAGGATCCTGATCGTGCATTGGAAAATGGTATCAGTTTAAGACAGGTTCCTTTGCTTGAAATGAATAGGGATGGTCATAGCAGCAATTAAGGATCACTATCCATTAGAACATGGTATTATCTTAAGACACTAGTCCCCCTATTTTAAGATGTATCATTAATCAGGGGATTTTTGCCTGGGGATGCCACCTGGAAATCATGACCACAGGCCGGATAATGAGTTTTGGGAGATATGGGTGTTTCTCAAAATAGGGTCCCCTTTTTTGAAGACGAAACCAAAAAGACACCACGCACCTGAAGGGGTTCCTTTTGAGAAACACCAATGTCTGGGAATGCTATCACAACATATTTCCACCTAGAATTACCACCTGGAAATGGGTGTTCCTCAAAGTAGGGGTCCCTTTTTGGGATGGTTTTTAAGAGGAAGCCAAAAGGACAACACCTGGAAACCACCCATCTGCGTGTCCGGAGTCCGATTTCGCGTCCATGTGGAGTCCGCGGTCAGTTCTACGCCTTCACGCGCTGGGGCCGCGTGGGCGCCGCGGGGCAGCACAATCTCGCCAACTGCGGCAGCCAGGCGGGGTTTTTGGTGTGCTCAGTACCCCAGGTTGGGCCACCGAAAACCCGAAGGAAAGCAGGAAGCCAGCAGTTTTTTTGGGGGGTCTCCTCTAGTTCACGTGTGGGTTGTGTATTCCACTGGAATTCCAGATCAACCGTGTTTTGTGTTTGACTTTTATGGAATGTGGTCAACAGTCAACCTAATTTTGGTTGCAAGCACATTTAGAGATCAGGATTCAGCATTAACCACAATAACTCTTGAGGATGCTTATGAAGGTCAGTGTTTGTTTTCAATGGCACCAGTGACTAGTGCTCCTTGTTTTTCGGTCCAAGGGGGCAATTTCTTGTTGTTTGCAGAACAACTGGGAAAAGAGAGTCTGTGCACCCGAGAAGATATGCAGGGACCCTGTGCCATGTGCACGAGCATGGCACTTCATGCTGGCACCGAAATGGGAGTTTTACTTATTGGCTTCCTGGATACCCCAGGCCCAGTGCCACCTAGACGTGGCCTGGGGAGACAATTGATGAGTTCCACTGGTTGGCGCCTGTTGCAAGCTCCTTCGGACCCGGAAAAATGGATATACATCTATGTTAAGACAAACACAGAGCCAAGTCGAGTTGCGTTTTGGTGGATTAAGGCAGAGGCTCAAAGGAACCGCGAGAGCAATGGCGCTTGAGCAAGTGGGTTGAGAAGTCGGGCTCTGATTTCAAGACTTCCTTATTCAAGACACGCAATGGTTCTTCTTGGAAAGCTCGTGAGCCAAGGGTCAAGCATGCAGCATGTTGGTCAGCGGGCATGGTGGGCTGTTGTCGAAACTATGGAGCCTGATTGGACCTCCTTGAAGGTGGTTGCCAGCCGGGCCCTTGCAATGAATGCAAGTACATCCAGGGGCGGCATGCGCCATTTGACGAATCCTCCTGGTGTCTTCATGGCACAAAGCCCATCAAGTACCTCTACAGGTCACACAGCATACTGTCGCATTAGCATCACTTGGCGGTGTCGGGGATGTCTCAAAAAACGCAACATGAGACTAAACATAAAAAAGACGAATCGAGTTGAGTGTCTTGAGTAACTCACCATGGCTTGTTGTTTGGTTGCCCTGCAAGGTTTTTCGCCACTCGTTTGCTTGGTTTGACGCCCGCTATTGTGGATTTGAGAGATTCTGGCTTCGCCCCTTCCCAATGTTGTTTTTCCCTGCGAGGCAAATGCAGAAAACGTCTTCAAGGCGGGCAGGGCATCGGTGGAGGCTTCCCCTTTTTCATTGGGGGCCTCTCTGTCAAGTCCACTGGGTTTGGCAGTTCTTTCCAAGACGGGGATGGTACTCAAACTCGTCAAAGGGATTGTCTGACGCTTCCCCTTACGAGTTTCTCCTAGGGCGATCCGGGTGACCAACAGGTCCCAGTCTGAGATCAACCAAACTGGGTCCAAATTTCGGACCAGAGGCGTCTTTGCCCTTGACTACACTGATGAATCACCAATCTATGTAAATCCTAGGGGGATGGATTGACCAAGGGTGCCTTTCTGGATGGAAATCCACAAAGGTTGGCATCCTAGGCCATTGAACCAAAGTCTGTGAATTTCTCCCCCCCCAGGGTGCGGGTTTTATGGGGATGGCCCCAGCCAAGCTGCGCGATCAAGAGGCGAGTTGCTTCTGGGCCCCTTATGGTAAATAATTGCATGCCCAGATCAACGAAAGCTACAGGAAATACTACAGGAAATCCTTGTTTTTGGTGGGCATTTGGCCAATGTCCTGTAGAATTTCCTGTGTCTGGTTTCTATGAATGATGTGGCAAGCAAGAATGCAGCACCTTCTGAAACAACCCTGATTTTAAGCGCCTGTCTCCAAGCCGAAACCAGAACATCAGAACATGAGCAGCTTCCCAAGGGAGGGGGGTGCAGGCTGACGGAGGGGGGTTGGAGGCCTTCTGTTGCTTTGGATGAATGTTAGCTTACATAAAGGCCAGGAGACAACCAACTACTTTAGAGCCTCTGGCTCAGTCCGCCGACATTGTCCTCTCCCTTTTCTCCTTCTTCCTCTCTCCCTTGTCTTCATTCGTGTGTTCTGTCGTCCTCTCTCCCTCCCTCTGCTCCCCATCCCCCATCCCCCCAAGCCTCTCTCTCCTCAGTCTCCCTCTCTCTATCTCTCTCTGTCTCTCTCTGTCTCTCTCTATCTCTCTCTCTCTCTCTCTGTCTGTCCGTCTCTCTCTCTCTCTCTGTCTCGCACTCTCTCTGTTTCTCTGTCTCTTTCTGTCTCCCTGTCTCCTTCCCGTCCACGCCCCTCTACAGAAAAAGGGTACCCTAATTCTAACCTCTTTTCTGGAGGACCTAGTCTCTCTCTCACTCTCTCTCTCTCTCTCTCCCCCTCTCTCTCTCCCTCTCTCTCTCTCTCTGTCTCTCTCCCCTCTCTCTCCTTCTCTCTGTCTGTCTCTTTCTCTGTCTCTTTCTCTGACTCTGGCTCTGTCTCTGTCTCTCTCGCTCTCTCTCTCTCTCTCTCTCTCCCCCTCTCTCTCTCTCTCTCTCTCTCTCTCTCTCTCTCTCTCTCTCTCCGCCCCTCTCTCTCTGTCTCTCCCGCTCCCTCCCTGACTCTCTCTCTCTCTCTCTCTCTCTCTGCATTGCAGCGTCACGTCCCCCCTGAGTTGCCTCGATGTCCGGGCACTGCCCCTTCATGACCCTGAACTGTCATCTCACAACTGGCTTTCCCCTTTATTTCCCCTTCATGTCCTTTTCACGTTTCTCATGACTCATGATGTCCCGGTCATGTCCCTTCCATTCCTTTCAACTCCCCCTTCAAGCACGTCCCTGACATTTTCTCGGTATGTCCGCTTCATTTTCCATGTGTCACGTTCTTGCGTTGCGAGTCATTTCCCTACATCTCCCGTCGTGCCGATTGGTTTCCTTGTGCTTTGTTTCCCTTTCATTGCCGCTGCACTCCCCTTGTTTTCATTTCTGTCCCTTTCATGTCCCTTTCATATTTCCTCCCCTCATTTCCTTGCACTTCCTTGCATTTCCCCTTTGCTCCCCAGTATTTCCCGCAAACAAACACGGTTTTTCCAGCGTTTTCGCAAAGAGGACGTCCAAAAACACAGAGTTTTTTTCAGGAATCGAGCCTGGGACCCCTGTTTTGCAACACCGGCTCCCCGAAGACAACGTTTAGTGGAACGTCATCAAATTGCCGCCCGGTACGTGGGGGACCCCCCCCCCCCTAAAACCTACATATTAGACGTCGGGTGGGGGGGGGGTAAGGGGGTGGTGGTTATCCTCTATCCTCTAGGAAGTATCCGACACGCCGAACAATGTCGGCGGATATATTTGTTTAATGCCTTTCTTTAGACAAATTGGAATGCCCAACTGCTCTTGATTTAACCTTTTCCTTTAGAGCTGGGCTCAAAAAGGAAGTCCTGAGTTTGGAAAACAACCAAACACGAGTCGCGGGCAATATTGCCTTGTTGTTGCGTTGCGTGCTCCGCTTGGTGGGATCCTGGCGCGCGCATTTTTGTTCCCCTCTCCAAACAAATAACCGAGAACAGAGAACCAATGTTGCCAGGTAGGCAGTGGCGCTTTTTTTTTGGGGGATGGGTTCCTCTTTGGGGCAGAATGGTTCCCTTTGAAACAAATCCCTTGGGTTGGGGAGCCCCTTGCCATGTTGTTTCCCTGCAAATCAAGGTGATAGGCTTGGAAAGCTCACAATTGCCCGGGGTCCAAATCCGAGAAGCACCAGCACTTTAGTGGTACGCATCCCGACAAAACAGACGCTCAAAATTAAACAGGAGGGTTACGCAGGCTTTGGTCCATGTTTCCACTTACCAGGGTTCCATTTTGATACCGGATTTTTGAGCCACAGCCAAATCCCTCCTTCTCGGCACACCTGGCATGGGCCCGTTTGGAGGCGAAGTTCAAAGACAAGTCCGGGGTGCATTACGACGCTCGGCGAAGTGCGAAGATTGCCAAGCGCGCCGGACGTTTGGCGCCCTTTGATCGGTCTATTGCGCGAGGTTCTAAGAGGTTACTTTGCAGATTAAGATGGAACCCAAAGAAGGGCACCTCGAAGGATATTGATGCAGCTATTTTGGGTTCCATCTTGGCCTGCAGGTAGTATTTTATTTCCAGGCTATGTGGGCAGTGCCTTACTGCCATGGAGCAAGCGTGATGAGAAAAACGGGCTTTCCTTCGGGTTGTTTGTAAATGTGCCCAAGCAGGTGTCTCATGTTTACTTACCTGTGTTATATGACAACCTGACTGTTGATAGGTGGCTCATTTTTTCAACGTTTTGAGCCTCCAAACAAGACTCACTGATCCGTTCCGTTGACGAACCTGAATCTTGCGATGGCTGGGCCCAAAGCTCAAACGGTTGCCAGCCAACTGCGGCCAGTAAGACAACTTTCGAGGGTGCAGCAGGGCACCAATTGCCCAGGGCTTCCAGGCAACCCTCTCTGCCATCGGGTGCAATATGTTCGAACAAAAAGAAAACATACCCTGGTCACTTTGAACAAACTCAATGGAAGATGTTGAAACCAGTAGCTTAAACAGCCCTTTATCCTTTTCAAACAATCATGGAAGTGGACGATCGCGGCGTTCCCAAAGGAAACTTCGTCTTCCCGCACCTTTCAGCTGCCATGATTGTTGGAGGGCAGAAAACCAAGAAAGGTACACTATCATGTTTCCGTGTGTGTGTGTGTGCATATTTGGTGTGCTTCACTGCTTGCTTGCTTGCTTGCTTGCTTGCTTGCTTGCTTGCTTGCTTGCTTGCTTGCTTGCTTGCATGCTTGCTTGCTTGCTTGCTTGCGTGTTCATGGGTTTGCCTGCCTGCCTGTGTGATTGTTTGCTTGCTTGCTGCCTGGCTGGCTGGCTTGCCTGCTGGCTTGCTTGCTTGCTTGCTTGCTGGCTGGCTGGCTGGCTGGCTGGCTGGCTGGCTGGCTTGCTCGCGTGTTTGCTTGCTTGCTTGCTTCTTTGTGTGTTTGTTCATCTGTTTATGTATATATTTGTTGTTTGTTTCTTTGTATTTGTGTGTGTGTGTTTCTCCTTGGTTGGTTTGCTTTTGGCTTTCTTGTTTGTTTGTATGTGTGTATGTTTGTTTGTCTGGCTGGTGGGTTGGTTGTTGGTTTGTTTGTTTGTTTGTTTATGTGTGCTTGCTTTGTTGCTTCCTTGCTTCCTTCCTTGCTGGCTGCCTGGCTGGCTGGCTTGCTTGCTTCCATGCTTGCTTGCTTGCTTGCTTGCTTGCTTGCTTGCTTGTTTGCTTGCTCGTGTGTTTGTTTGTTCTTTCTTTCTTTCTTTCTTTCTTTCTTTCTTTCTTTCTTTGTTTGTTTGTTTGTTTGTCGGTTTGTTGGCTTGTTGGTTTGTTGGCATGTCTTGTTGTTTGTTTGTTTGCCTGTTAGTTAGTTAGTTAGTTAGTTAGTTAGCTTGTTTGTTTGTTTGTTTGCTTGTTGGTTTGCTGATGTTTGCTGGTTGTTTGTGTATTTGTTTTTGTGTGTGTGTGCAGTTTTGTTTTGTTTTTGTATCGTGTTCTATTTGTTTGGATTTGTTTGGTTCGGGTGTTTGCTTGCTTGCTTGCTTGTTTGTTTGTCTTGGTGGTTGGTTTGCTTGGTTTGGTGTTGGTTTGGTTTTGGTCTGGGTTGGTTTGGTTTGGTTGTCTGTTTGTTTGTTTGATTGTTTGTTTGTTTTGATGATTTGGTTGGTTGTGCGGCTGTGTTTTTGTTTTCTTCTGGTTTTGGTCTGGGTTGGTTTGGTTTGGTTGTCTGTTTGTTTGTTTGATTGTTTGTTTGTTTTGATGATTTGGTTGGTTGTTCGGCTGTGTTTAAGTGATCTTCTTGTCGCTTTCCTTGTCGTTTGCTGTTTGTTTGTGTGTGTGTGCGTTTGTATTTTAGGCTTGGGTCGCTTGCGTTTATTTTTTGACTGGTCACTTGGTTCTTTGTCTCCTTGGTTTTTATTGGCTGCTTGTTTGGTGCAGGGTGTGTTTGTTTTGCGGTTGCATGCAACACCGCCGATGTCCAAGGATAACATCGACACGCATGATTGGAAGCCGGTGGTGGGCAAATACACCGTGGTCAAGACGGAGGATCAGGCCAGCTGAAGCGCTGAAGCGGTCGGTCGGCGTCGGACGTCCGCACGCTGCCACCGGGAAAAGGTGGAGCCGAAGGTGGAGGATTCGCATCGAACTGGGACACCCCGCCTCAACCAGGGCTTGGTTATCCAGTTTTGCATTAAAAGGGCGGCCTACACAGTTACAGTCCGCTTCAAGTTCAACACATATGTGCTATATATATATATATGGGTGTAGACTCATTAAGAGTTCCCCCTGTTGCTACATTGGCATTGTTGCTATATTGATATATTATATATATGGTTGCGTGGGTTCTACAGCAGCGTCCAGATGTTCAGGCCCCCGCAACAGGCTCGCTTCAGGCTCGAGATCACTTGCCTGTTTCTGCTGTTTGTGTTGCGCCATGGAGTTCACCATATTTATTTACAACTTGGTCAGTGGGTGGCTTTTGGAGCACGAGCAGCGGCGGGTTGACGTCACGACAGTTTGGCTTCATCGTCGCATGGGTGACTGGTCACGTGGTTTCAGAAGGGTCGTGTGTTAGTTAGGATACGGGGTGCACGGACGTTGATAAATTCAGGGTTTTATGTTTTGCTTGTTTGAAATGAACCTTTTCGGTTAAGGCTGGTGACGCGTGCAGAATCTCAATGGCGTGAGATGGATATGGATGTGGCTGTCCGGCAATCACTCCCACCGCCAGCACCGCAGCCCAGAGTTCCGCGAGTGAGTCGTGCTAGATTCAAGATCCCGAACGAGCCGACAGGTCCGCTTCGTTTCATTGGCAGGTAGAAGCCTAGCACATAGAGCCAAGATTGCGTTGTTGCTTTTTGAAAATGAGGCGTGTTGCTTGACCTGTAAGCACAGTTTGAAGGTTAGCTTCTGCGTCTCTGAAGCTGTTTCCCAAGATGCCCAAACCGTATCCATTCATGTAGTCCTTGTCTGTTTCACCCCCCGCATATTCATGGACATCAATAAATTCATACAGAACTTCAAGGAAGATGCATTCGCTTCATCTGCGGCCTGTCAGAAGCACGTGGTCTACACGCCATTGAACTGTCAGCCACTGAAAGATTCAGAAGCGCTGAGGGCGCTGTGCGTTTTCATGCATTTTCAGATGGTGAACGCACCCAGCAAGTGTCTCGAGTGCGGGGGCAAGTGCAAGTTGATACAAGGCCGTTCACCTGATGAACTGATGTGGGTCTGCCAAGAGGCAACGGGCACTAAGCACTTCCGACACAGATTTCAGGTACCCGCGTTGCCAGAGCTCAGGGTCAACAACCTGCTGGCCTTTCTGCACTTCCTCGTTTTCATGCGATGCAACGAGCGCATCAAGCGCATTATTCAGGAGCTGAGAGATGCACACAACACAAGCAAAGCGTCCATAGCTCGCTGGCAGAAGCTGTACCACACTGCACTGACTGCTTTCGTGGAGTCCAAGAACATCAACAAGATAGGTGGCCGCAGCGAGCGATGCGCTGTAGATGAAACTGCTGTGGGCAAGGTGGGCAAGATGGTGGGCAAAAATGGCACCGCTCAAGGTGCTTTTCAAAGAAACCCAGTTCGCATTCGTGCGCGCAGGCCTTGCAAGACACTGTGGAAACCTGGTGCGAAGTCGTTCCCTAAGCCAATGAAAGCTGGCTCGTCGAAAGACAAGAGAAGCAACAAGGCTACGCAGTGGGTCTGGCTTGGTGTGCAAACTGGCAAGGATGGACAAGCTCCCCGCACACATGCAAGTGGCACCAAGCGTGTTGCCATGGAAGTACTCCCAGGTGCGTCTCAAGCACCTGGGAAGAAGCCTCGCGGCGCAGAAGTCTTTGAGAACACCCGCTTGCGATCCCGCACAAAGTTGACTGCTGATGGATGGAAAGCTACAGAGAAGGCTGCTTCTGCTTTGCAGATCCCACTGAAGACCTGCAATCACAAGAAAGAGTACCGCGCCAAGGATGGCAGTCACACCAACGATGCTGAGAGTGAAGTGGCGCGCTTCAAGAAGTGGGCGCGTTCCAAATGGACGTAGGTGAGATCTCTCAATGTCAAGGATGTCGATGCCAAGCAGGAGCACTTGAGAAGCAAGATCAATGAATATGTGCTGGCGACCAACAGATCATCAGTCAATGGCCACATCTCTATGAAAGATGTGCTGGCAGCATTCAGGTGTCAAAACGACACGACTTTGTACAAGCCTGTCAGGCTGTGAGCGCAAAAGCGTGCTTTGCGGCTCCCCACGGAACTCTTGACGAGTTTTGACCGATATATATATATATACACATACATATGCATATTGCATGAGATATTGCAGAGTGCATCCGTCCTGACCCAGGCAGTTGCTCCTTGCACAGTCTTGCGTTGGCAGCCAGTCTAGATGCTGGCCAGCAAAGCGCAAATGACCATAGGCTTGCTCCCGCGACGACCACAGTAGCGTGAATTTCCACTGAACCTGATGACCCAGCAACACCAACTACGAACCACTCAGGGCAGTAGCGCAACTACCGCAGCCTTTGCCACAACCGGCATCGCCTCGTCCGAAATCTCACGCGGCGTGCGCGCAAAAAGTCTAAGTGAAGCCTTCTCAATGATTTCAGGTGGGAAAACTTTGTCGTCTGCCGAAAACACAACTGAAGCAGGAGGGCCTTTTTGGAAGAGTTGATCGTTGCAGTTTCGCGGGTGTTTCAAGGGCTTCCCTTAGTTGGCGCAATGCGTTTGATGTAACAGACCCACCCGAATCGGTGTTATGCAACTTAAAAGATAGTTTAACATCGAATCTTGGGCATTGTTTTGATTCTTTATTCTTCGCCATAACGCTCCAAGCTTTGTTTCTCACAAAGGATGATTTGATCGAAGTTCAGCCATCCAGTAACCTGCAAACCACCAATTGTTTGGCTGGTTTTTGATTGGACGGAGCAAATGAGCAGGGATTGGTAATAAGCCTGTTGCCTCCAACGACACAACGTGTCCCAAACTTTCGCACCTTGGAGGTTTCCCCTAGCACCAGCCAGATATATGGGTGTGTTTTTTTTTTGTAGCCATTTTGGGGTTGTTGTTCTCGGGAAACTGCAAGAAACCACCGATTTGGGTGGGTCTTTTTGAGGCTTTGGGTTGTTTAAGGGGAATCCAAACGGAAGACCGAATCCATTTCTGGGGGGTCGGGGTCCCTTACAAAAAGAAGCACCCAAATCGTCTGGAAATCACCGGTTTGGACACAGTGCTCCTTAAAAGATACACTTTGCAACCATTTGAAACATGGCTTTTTCAAAACCAAAATAAAGGGAGACCACCATTTACAAGTTGCAATGTTCAGGTGTATAATGTAAGGATCCCGTTTGGGAGGCTCCCCTTTTCGAGAGGACCGCTGACTTCCGCGTGGCGAAGAAGCGAAGCCCCCGGTTTCGCCAGGACGGCGGTGGTGGGGACTCGGCGCCCTTGGGGAAGCTTACGGAGGAGCAGATCGAGAAGGGCCAGGCGGGATGTTTGGGGTTCTGGGGGGGGCTGTTCTTTTTTGTTGTTGTTCTTTTCCGGCAGTAGTAACTTTGGGGGGGGGGGCTGTTTTTTTTTTGGAAGCAGTGGCTTTGTTTTTGGTCCTTTTGGGTTGGTGTAATCAGTTTTCCAGCGGGGGGTTGCTGTTCTTGGTACTGTCCTTTGGGTTCCCAGCCATCCCCTTCCTTAGCTGTTTGTTCTTTGGGTTTTCGGGTGCTTAACCTGCTAAAGTGGAACTTTTGGCAGGGAATCTGGGGACAGCGCAGTTTTGCATGGTTCCTTTATTTGGGTTGGTGTACTCAATTTTCCAGGTTCTGGACTGAAGACGCTTTGGTGAGATCTGTTTGCAGTTTGTTTGGGGAGATCGCTCTAGTGGTCAGCAACAAGTCTGGACTTGCTCTGAGCAATCCACTCAGGAAGCGAGTGTAAACGGAAGCCGACAGTGCCACGTTTTTCAGGTGTGCTGCGTTTTCGGAGTGGATTCCCCATCATAACCTGTGTTTCTAGGGGTTGATTCCCCATTCTTTTCAACCATCGTTCTTTTCAAAAACCAGCTGTTTTCCCATGGCTTTTGGTGGCTTTCTAGAAAGAAGGCTCCCTGGACAGAATGGGGAAGCTGGCCCTAGAGTGTCAGGTTTTGGGGGCGCACAGCCACACATTTCAGCTAGTTCTTTGGCATATGCGGCGAGGCGGTGCTTCAAAAGATGGACTCGGCCCTTGCCAAGAAGGGGGACAAGTCCCTGGTGGACCGCGATGGGTGGGGCGAACTTTGCGGCAGGCGATCCTTCCTTAGGTCCTTGGGTTTGGAAAGGGGCCCTGTGGTGGCTTCCAGCAACGACTGTGGATTAGGGTCGGTCAATACTTAATTTGAACAGGGGGGCCCTGTGGTGGCTTCCAGCAACGACTGTGGATTAGGGTCGGTCAATACTTAATTTGAACAGGCAGTAGTTGACCATCCTTACCTTGGGTCCTTGGGTTCGAAAAGGGACCCCCCTTCACCTTGTGGTGGTTTTCCAGCAGGGATTATGGATGCGTGGTCGCCATCTACGGAAGGGGATACCCTGGGGCACACTCACCGGAGGAAATGGAGATTTGTCACCAAGCAAATCCATGTCACTTGGGGACACACTGAGTGTTGCCCGTGGCTTCTGACTCTTTTGGCTCGGTACTGTCAACTTCGGATTGCTCAGCATGTTGGATGAGGGCAGTGGTTCCCTCAAAAGTGAAGTTCAAGTGGGACTCCCACATTTTTATCCACCAGGGATTTATGAATCCTGTTTCCCATTCGCCGTTCTAGGGGTGTGAAGAAGGAGACCACGAGGAAGCCGAAACAGATGCTTGGATGTTTGGAAGCTATCCCGATTGGTCAAACAAGAAGACCCTGGCAGAAGCAAGTGTCCCTTGGTTTCCCCTTTCAAGAAGCCCTGGAATCTCGCATCTGAAAACGCAATTCCCAGCCGGGAAAACCGGCACTGGTCTCAGTTTGGTTCATTTGGCACCATCTATGAAGCGCCAAGTTGAAATTGTGATAGCTGAGGGTGAGCTAACATGAACCCAGACCCCTTGGGGAAACGAGCATAGATGTGGAAAACAGGGTTTAACTTTTTAACATTCTAGGGCCTGGTTCTGTGATACCAAGATGAATCAAAAGTACAAAGTAGTCACAAGGATGGCCGACATTGGTAGCACAGAAAGGATTCTTTCCCACACACCAAGGCCTGACATGCCATGTTGGATTCTCAAGCGTGGAAAGTAGCAAAATCAGTCTTTCTGCACAGGCGGTTGTCTCATAAACATGACCCAACACAATGTGAGCGATAGCAGTTCCAACATCAGGCTTGGTTCTTCGCCGCGCCTTGGTTTTGTTGCGCATCCTGACCGTGGGTTCTGCCCGTATTTGAGGGGAATCTCATAAACTTCGCCTTCTGGCAGTCTGTACTTAGAAGGACGAGAAGGACAAAGGGGCCTACACCAAATTTCCCATCAAAAGCGCCCTAAGTTTCCCATGCCTTGGGAAACACGTAAGTTTGTCCCCCCCCAGATTGCTCCGAGCCGTTCCTGAAAGATGATCACGTTTGGGGCTTAATTTTGCACTTGGCTGCCGTCGGTTTCCCCTTAAGTGTCTTGCGCCGATCGGGTCTAGAGCAGTTGTGAGGCGAGGCGTATCCATATCGTATGGGGTCGAGGCATGCGCAGTTTCACTCGGAGTCCGCAGGACCTTTCCTCTGAGTACTACACGCTGATCCCGCACGACTTTGGGTTCAAGGCGACAGGGCTGGATGCTCATCAAAGGCTGATGGGTATGGGTCAAGCAGGGGGAGACAAATATAGGTGTCCTTTTGGTTGTCCTTTAAAACTGCCCAAAACCCCCAAAAGTCACACACACAGACATATGTGATCCCATGGCCATTCTGGACCTTGGGGCTGGTTGGGCAAATGCCATAGTTGGAGGCTAGTTTGACAATAAACTGCGTAGAGCTTACCGTTCCTTCGAGGGGTTCATACGTGGGAATGGAAACTGCGCCTCACTTCAGCATGCCGAAAGCTGAAATTTTCGAAGTTGCCAAAGCGCTTGGTCCATTCAACCTGGTGATTTAGATTGGTGGCGGGATTTGAATCCTTCTTGTCTTATGGGTAGATTGGATGGGTGATGGGATTTGAAGCCCAGCACATTTGGCAGGTCCTGTCAAGAGGACATGGCTTCAGAAGTTGCTTCTCTCGGGTATGGGAGGGAGGGGACCAAATGATCTCCGCCAAACCAGTTCTTCGTTGACCTGTCTGCTACCTGCTTATGGGCAGCAACAGTTTCGTCGCGAAATCGGCTGGAACCCTGAGCCTGCAGGCAAGTCTGGCCATGTTGGGGATTCATGAATAGAGGATCCACCCATGGGAAACCCACCCCTGATGAATCGCTTAAGATGACAATTTCTTCCCCAGAATTAGCTCCCCTTTTTGCCTTTTGCTTTTTTGGGGTCCCTTTGTTTTCCACTAACTCGGCAAAAAAGACATTTTTTTGCCGGGGTCCTAATTCCAGCCTAGAGTTAAGAATCGAACTCACAATTATATTCAAATTGTTTTTGGGTGGCCGTCCAAGAAGTCCCCCAATACGACTGGAATTGGGATCGGCGGCAAATTTGGGCTAGAATTGGTTTCATTAGTATTGCCTAATTCAAATTCATTGTTGGCAAATTTGGGGGTCTGGAACAATATGGGTGTGGCTCAGAGTTAAACAGGAGGGGTAACGCAGGTTTTGGTCCATTTTTCCACTTACCGGGGTTCCATTTGGTGCCGGCTTTTTGAGCCACAGCCATATGTATTGATAGGTTGCATTTATCAACCTTAGTAGGATCCTCTGAAGCCGACGCTGGCTTTTGCGGCCTCGAAAGGGATACAAACCGCCAGAGGTGCCACCGGTGATCAACACCAAGGAGATGCTGGAGGCGGGATCGAGCCGGAGCCGCTCGCAAATCCACGCCAGCTTCCAGACCTTCGGCCATGGGGCATAACCTATGGCTCCATTTTGGGGTGGATGAACATCCATTTGCCACCTATTTTGATGTTCACCAGGGGTACAGGGCAATCCTGTGTGTGTATTTTCCAGGATTTTTTTCTGATGGTTTCCCGATTGCGCCTTGCTACAACCGCTGGCCGGGAAGCACTGGAGATTGCTATGAAGGTAAATAATTGGACACCCTTGGAAAATGGTCCTCCAAAGTCCCTTCAACTAGAAATCATACCAGAAGCAGCCAAGGAAAGTTTAGGTTGCTCCTAGCATGCTTCCGGCCTTTTGCAGATGCTAACGGCTTTTTCCCTGAGCAGCATCCAAGTTACTTGTTTTTGTTTTGTTTGGGTTTTCCCGTGGCGAGACCTGCCCATCAAAACGGTGGTTTTGCAGTTGGTTTCCCTTTAAATCCACCCAAAAAGGAGTAGCCTCAAAAATTACACAACCATCTTTGTTCACAATCAGAGGACCTCGCTTCCAGAAGACATGACCTTTCCAACGGTCTCCAAGGACACCACTTTAACACTTTGGGAGGATCAGGTTTAGGTGGATAGTCTCAGTTGCCCAAAGGGAATCAACCAGATCTGACCTTTGGGTTTTCCGGTTTTGGTCGATATGTTTTGCCTTTTGGTCATAAAAGGATATTTGCCTTTGGGCAGTTACTCACTGCCCGAGCTTCTGGACTTGATACTTTCTTGGACAGTTTACACTTTCGAGCCATCCACTCAAGCGAGTAGGTCCTGTTGAACATTTTTTTGTTTTCCCGGGCCATCCACTCCGGTGAGTGTAAGAAGTGTTGAACAAGGAGTGTTCAAACACGTTTGAACCCGGGGCTTTGTTTGCAGACTCGCTTGCTCAGGCAGAGGAAGAGCTTCTGAAGCTGCTTGGATCGTCGTGGGGTGGTTTGGGCGTGGACGACTTGGGTTTGGGTCGATTTCTGTGATGGTTTTGGGAGCTTGGGAACTGTAGGTGTTTGAGGGTATTGTTGAAAATATGGAGGGCTTCGCTTTATTCCACTAACGTTGAACACATCTTCACACTCCTAGGTGGGTGCCCAATCGGACTCGCCTCTCTAAGAAGCCAGCCACCAGCTTCCAGCGGGGGGTTTCACCAAATACCCACATCAGTACCCGCATATCCACCACGTCACCAAACACCCGCCAAGTCCCTTGGGCTTTGACTAACTTCTATTGGTTATTTGGATGGCACGAGGTTCGGCTCGTTGAACATGTTGATCAGCGGATTGCTTCCAGGTAACCCATGGCCTGTGTGAAGGCGGACCCCCCAAAAAAATAAGAGAGAAATGTATGGTGTCCCTTGGGTTTCCCTTGAAAACAGCCTTGAAGACGTATAAATGTAGACATCCGGCCAAAAAGTAAGACACATTGGACTTTCTCAGGTTCTACCTGCGCATGGGCTTCGAACAGCTGGACAAGGAGGAGGATGGCTTGATGCCCATCAGCCCGGCTGCCCAGCGTCCGACTGCGACCGGTTCCAAGGAGCTTGGTGTTTACGATCGACCCTCCCAGTCAGTGGGTTCCCCTTGGAAGAATGGAACCCCCCACTAAGGGAGACCCAAGACCCCTCAACCCGAGGAACCCTAAACCTTCACCGGGAGTTCCCGAGAAAGCTGTATATTACCCAACGAACCCCCAAGCCCCAAACCCTCATGGAACAATAGAATCTCCAAGTCCCAAAACGCCAAGGGAGCCCCTCGTGCCACACCGCAGGTGGTGTTATGAAACTCGACCTGCCCAAGACCTTGGAGGCTGCTTGCCGCGCGCTCAGCTTGCACAACTCTGCCTGCATGGCGCAATGCAGCAGCTGTAGGTTGAGAGATGCTTCCTTGTCAATGCACACATGTTGTGTGGGACGCGCGCATGTTTTTTCTTTTCCGTGTATTCCTTTTGATGTGCACGTGTGAAGTCAAGCTTGCTTGCTAGTCAGAAAATTCACCAACTAGTCAGCTAGAAAGTCATCTAACTAAGTTGTTAGTTTGCTCGAACTTGACCCAGTTCGTTAGTTGCTTGGCAGCTCCCTGGCTAGCCAGCAAGTTCGCTAGCTTACTGCTTGCCAATTTCACTAGTTAGAGTTAGATTTCTTAGCTAACTAGCAAGTTCGCAGACTATTTTTCTTGTCAGCCAGTTTGCAAGTTCGCTTACTGGCGCACTAGCTTGTTAGCCGGCTAGTTTGCAAGTCAGGTAGTAAGTGAATGAGCTGGCTGGTCGGAAGCTAGCTTGCTATTTAGCGAGCTAGATTGCCGAGCCGGCCACTAGTTAGCTAGTTCCTAGCTGACTCATCAGCCACTACCTGGTAAGCTTGCTAGCCAGCTTGCCATCTAATTTACGTTGTAGCTTGTTCAATGATTAGCTAGTTTGCCCGTGAGCCATTTTGCTAGTTTGCTTGTTACTCGAATAGTGCCAAAACTCGCTTCGTTCCAGTACTGCGGAAGTTATTGTTAAACGTCATTGACAGTCACATGCTACACACAAAGCACAAAGCGACAACAACTAACACGCACGAACGTCCTATGTGTCTGTCTCAGAATAAGAAAACTCCCATTGTTTGATGGGGCTTTAAAGGAAACCAAAAGGAAACTAACCACTTCTAGAAAGCCCTCAACTTTTCTTGGTTGGTTTCTGATTGGTCTGGGTCTGTTCTTTTGGGAGGCTACCCCTTCTTCGTGGCTCAGGGGAAACCAAAAAGAAACCCGAATCCATTTTCGAGGGGTCCAACCTTAAATCAAAGAAGTGGTTAAGGGAAACCAAAACCAAACCAATAACTTATTGGAGTGATCCAATGTTAGAAAGACACACCCGTCTCTCTCTGAATCCATGCAAATTTCACCCAGACCCACCTGGACAGACCCAACTGTCGACTCGATCCACGAATCGAGGCTCCGGAGTCTGTGCGGCAACGAGTCTCAAGTCCTCTATGACGCCGGACTCCCCAGAAATGGACCCCAGGGTTTGAGGGTAGACCAGTTGTTTGGGTTGTTTTCAAGGGGAATCATAAGTAAAGACCTTTTTTGAGGATACTTTTTTGGGCTGTTTTGAAGGGGATTCAAAGACAAATCCAGCAACTTGCGGGTATGTACCCTATTTAAGACATAGTCACATTTGACCGGGGTCTCACTCAACATCGTGCTATATTTCAAGGTAGACTAAACATGAAGCAGAACCTGAACATATTATTTTGTGTGTACCTGTTCAAGCTTGGTCATTTTTTACTAGCAGTCTATGGTTCATTTGGGAGGGCGTGCGGTTGAGCAGTGTCGAGCGAAGCACGCATGAGGGATTTCGTGTGTTTTGTTTCTTTCATGTTTGTTGTGTTTCGTTTGCAGCGGCCCACATGCGCCATGAGTGTTGATCAAGAAGGGGGGGAATGGCTTGGAGACAAAGCTTTGCGACCCTTGAAACGGAAAATGAAAGGCATTCTGTTGGCACTCAGTCCAGCAGGCTTGCTGGTGCCGTCTCTGAAGATGATTGGATGTGCAGTGATTGGAAACGGACCCCAGTTGGTGCTAAGCCAGTTTTCAAAAGTTGGTCTTAGATACTAACATATGTCTTAGATACTAACGTATAGCGGCCGTCCCTTTTTCGGAAGCACCGAATCCAAACAAAAGAGAGCGACAAAAGGCTTAATGGTTTTGAAGGGGTTCGCTCAGAGACCCCGGAGCTGACCACGCGAGACTTTCTCAAGAAGCCACAGAGCGGCTGGTTCTTGGTTCTTAGGGGGACCCTGATTAGCTCACAGAGTCTCAATTCATTTTGTCTTGGGTTTTGGCCGCTTGAGTGAAGGTATGAACCTTTGAATTGGGTTTGTTACACAGTGGAATCCCCCAGAAGGGGTGGGTTGCCTTTCGGTGATCCTACAAAACAACTCAAAAAGGGGACCCTTAAAAGACAAAAGAACCACAACATCATGTTCTTTGGGCAAGCGAAGCAATCGCATGGGGGCCATAGGAGTTTCCCAAACTTGGACATGCAACGGGGGTGTCCCCAATCGGGGTGTTCCCAAGCGGTCTGTCCCATTGGTGTTGGATGATTACAGGAGCCCATCCCGCTGACATGGAAAACACGGATTTGGGTGGAACGATCACTCGCTCAGTGGGTTACCTAGGTTTTGTAGGGATAGTTTCCAACCTCTATTCCTACTGTGGATGGAAGGACTCCTGCACCAGTTGGAATGGAAAAGACCCCATGAACAAGGGCATTAACCACCTGCGGACCTATCAACCGGTGCGAAGTATATTTTGTCTATGCACAATAAGGGCTCCGTGACCATGACCCACAGATTCGGCGTTTGCACCGCGGCGCACGTGAGGCGTGGCAAGCAGCATGCCGACAAGCAAAGTGGTGATCCTCAGAAGACGCTGGGCAAGATTGGAGCAAGGCTTCGTGCCGGGTGACCATTGGTTTAAATGCAAGCTAGCATCATGTAACCTTTGGATTTGTGAACATGCGTTCAATACTAGACTTGGCTGTTTTGGGTTGCGCTTCCCCATGTGCCCATTTCAGCAACGAACTTGCACAACCGTCTCACACCCCCATAGACTTGGTACTTTGTGGGAGTACTTCCATGATTGGGAAGCAATCAGCTTTTTTTTAAAGCAATCCACACTGGAAGTGAGTGGCAGAATGAGATCACTTGTTCCAACAGGGCAAAGCAAGACGCAGTCAGTTGCTTACAAACCTTGGAACTGTTTTCCTTGCTTCAACTTGGTGTCTCTCTTCCCTTCTTATTGAAATGGTTCGCTACATAGTATAATATCGTTTACAGTAAGGCCTCTTTAATCCTTTATGACCGTCTTAGTAGAACCAAAGTCAGTTTGTTTTGGACACTGCTCACGGATTGATATGGGCACGCAACTGCCGGCCTATTCTGAGCGCATGTCGCGTGCTCCAAGAGCGCAAAGTGGAAAGAGGGCACTGCACATTCCTGCCCGGAAGTGAAATGTGTGTGTGTGTGTGCCTCAAAAGTGAAGCGTTGTCTCTAGAATGTGATCCCTTATGAATCAGCCAAGGGTATGCCCCTCAGCATCTACAAATGAGACATGTGTAGATGGGATTTGTGGGGGTATTACTGCTGGGTCAACATTCCCTTGGACCTACTGTGGAGTACAACATCCCGCACCAGTGCTTCAACCAACTGCTGGGTTTGGTCCATCCACCTTTTTGGATGTGGCGAATTGGGCCTCCAATTCGCTGCATGTAGTGGTTGATGCCTCTGAGGCCCATGGTGCCTGGGCGGCGATGATCGGCCGCGTTTTTGTTGCTTTTGTGGGTTGGGGGGAGCACAACTCGCACTCAGATCCTGGAACATCGCCTGAAAGAGTATGGCTCGGCATTTTTGGGTTTGGGGGTTCCTTGTTATCCGTCACTGGAAGTGCCGTTGGTTCGAACCGCTGTGGACTTGGCCCTTCGAGGCTTTCCTTACAGGACCAAACAGTTTGGTAGCCCTACCTCCAACAATCGCGGACGCTGACAGGAGGGTGTTGGGAAGACGACTGTCCTTTTGAGAAAGCCCTTTGCCAACTTCCATGATTGTTGGGAAAAGGGTACTTTTAGACGTATGGCACTCCTTTCCAGCCACAAAGGATTCGGCAAAAGTGCCACCTTGTGCAGTTGCAGATGGAATGTAAGTTCGAACCCTGCAACAACGTCATTTTGTTCGGGCCCGCAGCAGGCGTCGTTTTCCAAATTTGGACGACTGGCTCTACTGGAACTATGTTTTGCAACAGGACAAGTTCCAGAAAGTGTAAGCAGGTTACCCAGTGGGTTCCACCCACTTTACATTTGTTTGTCGTGTTCCACCCCTGCTTTTCTGGCGCTAAGCTTGGGTTGTCCTTTCAAGACAAAGTTTCTTGGAAACTTCTGGTTGAGGCCACAAATGCTCAGAGAATCAAAGAAGACTTCGGGATCCGGGAAGGGCTTCCGGATCCGGGCGATGACGTAGCGATCTGGCCCCATACCCCGCTCCCAAACACAGATACGTTTCCAAACAAATATAAAACCATTGCAAAATTGGCTGGTGGCTACCGGGGTTTGGTTGGATGAAGTGGTGCTACTCATCCTTAGCTAACTCCGGGAATCTCCAAATGAACCCCTAAGTTGAAGAGGGGGCCCCGAAAATCGATAAGCTCCCCGGAAAATCCACGGAACTCACAAAGCCTTCCTTGGAGGAATCTTGTTAAAGATCCCCTTGGTTTTTGTGAATCTACCAATGAGTGTGTCTTGTTCTGTCTTTTTTTTGGTTTAAAGTTGCAAAGCCAAGAACAATCGAACTCGATTCATTTCGTGGGGCACAAAAAATGGCCGACGGGTCCCCAGACGAAGCTTTTCGGTTTTGAGCCGAAAGATAGGAGCCGCACCTTTACGGTGCCTTGATGCTCTACACCTCCAACGCGATCTACAAGCAGCTGAACACAGCGCTGCGCAGCAACTGGGACCCAAGTTGAATGGACATATATATATATATATTTTGAGGGCAGGGTTGATCCCCTGTAGAAGTATGTGTGCTGGTGGGTTTTGTTCCTCATGGTTGGGGGGAATCGGGTTTAGGTTGCCATGCGATCCCCTTCAGAGTGATAAAGCAGTCGTGGGAATGACGGTAGTATCACAGAAGGGGGATCTTCCAGAACCCTGAGCCTGGATTTCATTCGTATGGGTCCCACTTGCCTTTAAACATTGCCACCCCGTTAAAAATGGAATTGGGGGAGGGGGTGACCCCTGGAAATCCATTTATGATTCCATTTTCCCTTTTATTGGGAAGGCTAGATAAATCGAATTGGGGCCCACCGCCCTCCCCGCTACAGCAGGGGGATCTTCAAGCTCAACCGTTTGTCCTTGTGCCAGATGGCAGCGCTTTCCCTTTTTTGTTGGTTGTATCGCGCTACGGATTGCGGCGCAGGATTGATCTCCGCTTCGTCTTGAACCCATATTATTTTTGGGGGTGTTGCCCAACAAGTGTTCCGGCTTCCGGCTTGAATCGGTTGCACCCCAGTACTCAACCAGGTTATTTCCCTCCAAGAGCAAAGGATTCTCGCTTGAGTATGATGCTTTTTCTTTGTGAACACGTGAAGGCTCTTGACTCTTGACCCCTGAGAATCAACACCCTGCGTGCCCGGACCCTCAAACATGCTGCTTGGAGGATCCCAACCCCGAACTAGTCGGGCGCAAGGCTCTCAAGAGTTCTGGCTTTACGTTCCAGGAGGGCGGTCCAAAGTCTCAGACCTGTCCTGGCGAACCCCAGCTTTCAAAGAGTCAGGACATCCACCTAGAGCGCGCAAGACCCCTTGTGGCAAAATGTTATTCAACTACCTGGTCTAGTAGGGGTAATAAATAGTAATCCGATAATCTAGATCTTTGTTGCCATGGTGGTAGAAACAAAAGTCACATGGTTGGGCGCTGCTCACTGAAAGTTTCGCTTGTGCCAAAACACCAACAAGAGGAGCAAAACTGACCACCCGGCTGGCTGCAACGCCTCCGGTGTCCCAAGCTTCATTGCGTTCTTGCCGGTAGATTCCATGGTGTCTGGTTTGTGAATTCTCAAGAATTGAATCAACCGACCCCAAAGTAATGATTCTTATCTACCGACCGTCAGGGGTTCCAACTGGAGAAGTTGAGGACAGGCCTTGAGTCACCACATGGTGCTCGCCCACAGAGGCCCTGTTTTCCCATCCGCGCTTGTTTTTGCTGCTTATCAGCTTCACGACACATAGGAATCGGAACTCTGGTGCGCTATTGCCTTTGGGTTGCGATTTGGGTGAGCAGCTTTGCTACTTGTTTGTGTTTCGGAGGGCCCCTCAAGTTTGCCTGTTGCCCGTTTTCCAGTCTTGTTGTAAATGTCTTCCACAATCCCTGCTTTGGGGTTCTAGTCAGGACTCGGTTGTGTTCCACCAAAGTCAATTGGCAAACAAAGGGACGCTTTGCCCTCGTTCTCGCTTGTTTTTGATCAACCAGGTGGCTCGAGCGGCTTTCAATCGCATTCAGCAAGAGCTAAGAGTTGTTTGGTTCTGTCTAGTTATTCAGTGGTACCATAGTTTCACCAAGCAGGGTCTGCAGAGCACCGAATCTACAAAGCAAGGCACACATAGCCATCTGGCAATATTTAGCACAAAATTATTACGGCTAGCCCGGCTAGCCGCAATTACTTGGGCTCAATGTGGTCCTTTCTTTGCTGTCATGCTGATGGGCCCTTGACAAACGCCAAAGCGACTCCATTGTTTTCAATTGGCCTGGCACATGTCAGGAGCGCTAAAACCGCTTCGCGCAGCAACTGTGGCTGCTTTGCCATCATTGTTCCTGTTTCCTTTCAGCCTTTTTCAGGGTGGTTCCCTTGGTTGAGTATGGTACTGGTAAATGGAACCGGTGTATTCCATGCGTTCCAAAGGGCCTCCTGGATTTAAGTCCTCACCGCACCTGCGTCGAGCGCGACCTTTAGCAGAGGCGAAGACCGGAACAAGATCAAGAAGTACTACCCCTACCTCAGGTGCGGCCAAGGGCCTTACTCTTTGCGTCCGGACGATTGGACGAGACATTGGCATGTTGAGGAAGGTTGATGGCAACAGGAAGGCAAGTACATGGCAGAAACATTGTGAAGTTTAGCATCAGCAACAACAACTACTTGTTGGGGTCCGATTATTGTTTGTCACGTGCACGTTCTCTTCAAGCTTTAGTGTCATTTAGTGGCGGCTTGGATTTTGCGAACCCCACCACCCTGGAAAGCAAGGTTCCCTGAACCTTGGGCCTTTGGGTTTTTTCATAAGGCACCCGCACGTGAGCGACCAGGATCGGAACCGGTACCCAATTCAGTGGATTCCACTCCTATCGCGTGTCCCCACGAAAAATGGGAAACGGGTGTCAAGTAAGAGCGGAAGCAAGTAAGTAACAACGAGACCGTCACAAGTCTTGGAAGAATGACATCAACCAACCAAAAGGAAAGCTTCCCGTGGTTTCTACCAATATGACTGGGGACTTGCCTCCATTGAAACATCATTTCTTGGTTGCACCCCTGCCTGAGTGTCTGGACAAATGGCTGTGGCTCAACAAACCGGTACCAAAATGGAACCCTGGTAAGTGGACACATGGACCAACACCTGCGTAACCCCTCCTGGTTAATTGTGAGCCACACCCAAATGTAAAGGAACTCCTTGTGTCTTAAATGGGTTCGCGCTCTCAGTGTTGACTTCCTGGCTCCAAGGAAAGACCCCTCGGACACGAGTTTTGCGTGGTGATTCACGTTTTATCAACCACTGAAGCGGTTTTGTTTACCGTATTTCAGGGCGGTTTCACACAGAAAATCTGGCAGCACTCAAAACAATGGGAAGTCAGCACAGCAATACACCCACCTTTCACAGAGCTGTTCCTGGGTTTCTCCAACCTCCCTCCGGCCGTAAAGATTGCTCCATGTTTGGTCTAACTTTTCTCAAGGCTGCAGTTTTCGGGGTGCCGATGTGCTTGCTGGTTCCCGCTTTGATGGTCCGGGCGAAAGTTGACGTGTGGTTCATGTGGTTCTATTTGCCCCCAATTGCACCGAACACCCCCAAGTAGCTCTTTTGTGAACCCTGGCAACCAGGGTCGCCATTTGAAGAAGCCATCTCGACAAGTCTCAAATGAGGCCCGTTCCACTAGCTCCAAGGGCCCGTTCCACTAGCTCTGCGTTTTGACCAAGAAGCATTGCCAAAGGCGTAGCGATCTGACCATATTGCTGTTCCTTCATTTACCTGTCTTCATAAAAATCCTTTCTCAACCGGCAACACGTTGACTTCTTGGAGCAGTTTGGGCCAGGGAAAACACCTCAAGGACTTTGGGCTTTGCATCTGGCAGGCTGCTCTTCGAGGCTCTGAATCGACTGCCGCAGCAGAAGAGGCGCGAACGCGATGCACGTGACGCACGTGACGCCCCCCAGGAACCTGACAGAAGTGTTTCGAAGTAATACTGCTGGTACCAAGGGAACAAGGGGACTTGGATGGTCTAGGGTTAGAAGCATGGATCTTCGCGTGTGAAGAGGAGGTTGTTGGTTTGTTGCTGCTGTGTGGCGTTTGTTTGTTGAGGGTACCCTGTTGAGGTGGTCTTAAAGAGAAACCAACAGCGTACACCACCCATTTTGGGGGGTGCTAGCCACATATCAGGCTGGTTCTCGGGGAGTTTACTTCGGGCTTGGCGAATAAATCTCCCTCGATCCCCTGAAAGCAAGCCGGTTGGGAGCGTCCCATGTGCGCATCAGATGAACTCTCGTAGATTTTTCACCAGGTCTTGCGAGTGGTATGCTATTCAGAGATGCTTAGAGTTTTCACCTTCAAACGCGCACGGACATGATGTAATTCGGAGATGCTTGCAGCATGTCCAGACTCGTGCCAGGAGCCTTTGGCGAGGTATCGGGGTGGACCTCTTTGACCAGTACTCGGTGGTCGCTGGCTTAAGCGGCTGAGGGGCAAACATGGGCTGCGGAGGATCGTGGGCTATATAGGTGTGGGACAAAATATGGTGACATTCGAAGTTGTGGTTCTCCGTTTGGTTTCCCAATTTTACACCACGCCACAAAGGGTATTCTCAAAACACGCCACAAAAAGGGTACCCTCGAAACAAGAGACGCCCAGAAACACCACGCCCCAAGCATTCGCCCATCAGCCGGTTTGGTTTTAGTTGCATTGAGGCGAAGGGCCTTACCCCTTTGGGGAGCCCTGACTTGGACAGGAATTGACTAGACTTTGCGTTTTCAGATTTTTGGAACCCATGGACCGTGTCCTCCAAGGTGACCTCAGGGTTGCTCCGAGCCTACGATGCCCATGCTGCAAGGGGGTCACCTTTGGTTTCCCGCTTCATGGTAAAACCTAGAACCTGGGATTTGGCTGGGGTCTCCATTCGCCAGCATCTTAACAGCACATGTTTAACGTGTGCCCCGGACCAAGGTGAGAGCAACCCTGCTCAGTTTTGTAGGAAATTAGGCTGGTTGGCTTGCCGGAAACTACCGAGGGCAGACGTCTCAAGTGCTTAGCTGGGGATGGATGTGTTCCGTTTGGCTCTGTGAAGGCCCCAGAGGATTTTGCCTGGGGAAGTAGCGAAGTATTCCCGCAACTTTTCATTGGAGTGTTTTTGAGGCCCAACGGCCGGTCCAGGGGTGACATGGTTCTGGGAAATGGGGTACAGGACCACGTGGTTATCAAGAAACCTGCCTTTGGAGTCATTATGTAGTCATGGGCATAGGAGTCCCACTTTGGTATCACAGAAATTGATTTCCACTTAGCTGTTTATAGGAATCTATACATGTCTGTACCCATTTCGGTGTGTCTTGCAAACGAACACCAAAATCCATTTTGGCGGATCCAAGTCTAGAGCTTCGGGATGGGTCCGATCCTGAGGGCTCCACCATCACCTGGTGGGGTGTGAGCAGCTGCACCTCCGACATGCAGGCCGGAGGCTTCTTTCGGTCCAGTGGAATCTGCCCTTCCCTTGCTTCAAAACAACTAAAAACACAAAAACAATAGGCTGCGTAATAAAGGAAAGGGGGCCAAAAAAGGGTGGGCTTTCCGCCGCGCAGCCCAAGCATGAAGGGCAATCAACAGGTCAACGAGTTGTCCGTTCGTCAACTAGGCATTTAGTCACTGGACAACTCGTGAAACTTACCCACCAACAGCATCAAGTGTCAAGTATGTTTTCAACTTTCGGAACGCCGCCCGTGCCCCCCGTTTACTAGCGAGTAGCATGTCTGTGTCCAGAAGGTCAGCTAGACCGAGCCGATCTTGAGTTCTTGCCTCGGTCAGATGTCAGAACAACCAAATCTTTAGAGGGACCTCGCACACCTTCCCCAGTACCATATACTACTACACTGCTTTGTTTGGGATTCCCCCTTCGTGAGTACCGCACATAAGTCGGTTTCCCCTCGCCGACCGGGTTTGGTTTGCGATTTCACTGTTGATGAAGGTTCATTTCTTGTTATCCATGTCTTGTTTTCAGCCTGATTTTAGGCATATGAGTTGTTGCAGTTCCCCATTTTCCATTGACCAGCAACAAGTTATACATAGTTTTTTTCCCCAAATAGTGTTTACACTAAGGGGTTCTTACGGTAAGAGTTAAGGCCTGGTCTTCGATGCGACAGTCTCGCACGAAATGGAGGAGCGGGGCGGTGCGTGCGTCTCGCTGTGGTGCCGTTCGCACTTTTCAGCTTTTGATGGCAGGGGCAACAGTTGGGAGCAGTTGGGAGGTGCGGGCTGCGACGCGGGGTGTTTTTTGATGGCAGGGCCGCCGCGCGGTGATATCTTCTTGTCGGGTCAGGCTACCACGCTTGGACAATCGGAGCTCTAAAACCATAGCAGTTGTCGCAAAAAGTTGTCTCGCGTGCGACAGCTTCGCACGAAACGGACCTTTCTTCAAAACTGCGCTCTCGCTGTGGCGCCGCGCCGATCTTCGGATTTGTGTGTTGCCGCAGAATTCCATGGCCAGCGCAGCATTCTGTGAGACTGCGGTGCATTTTTCGTGGTGGGCGCAGCATGTTTTGCGCTGATGCAAATGATGCGTGGCAGGCGCAGCATTTTCGGAAACAGGGTCTGTGAATTTCGTGTCAGGCGCAGCGTTTCGCTCATTTGCAAGCGTTGCAAGCCGAAAGTGAACCCTTTGCGGAGATCGTGCGTGTCGAAGCGCTCTGGCTGTGGCGCCGTGCGAATTTGGCTTGAGCTCGGCGAACCCTCTGCGGAGATCGTGCGTGTCGAAGCGCTCTGGCTGTGGCGCCGTGCGAATTTGTCTTGAGCTCGGCGAACCCTCTGCGGAGATCGTGCGTGTCGAAGCGCTCTGGCTGTGGCGCCGTGCGAATTTGTCTTGAGCTCGGCGAACCCTCTGCGGAGATCGTGCGTGTCGAAGTTCTCTCGCTGTGGCGACGTGCGAATTTGTCTTGAGCTCGGCGAACCCTCTGCGGAGATCGTGCGTGTCGAAGCGCTCTGGCTGTGGCGCCGTGCGAATTTAACTTGAGCTCGGCGAGCCCTCTGCGGAGATCGTGCGTGTCGAAGCGCTCTGGCTGTGGCGCCGTGCGAATTTGTCTTGAGCTCGGCGAACCCTCTGCGAAGATCGTGCGTGTCGAAGCGCTCTGGCTGTGGCGCCGTGCGAATTTGTCTTGAGCTCGGCGAACCCTCTGCGGAGATCGTGCGTGTCGAAGCGCTCTCGCTGTGGCGCCGTGCGAATTTGTCTTGAGCTCAGCGAACCCTCTGCGGAGATCGTGCGTGTCGAAGCGCTCTCGCTGTGGCACCGTGCAAGGTGCGACGTGCCCTCCCGCATCTCCGGCTGCGCAGGCAACGTTTACGTACAAAGCTGGCGCGCAAAGTGCGCTCCCGCATCTGCGGCTTGAAATTCTCAACTTCTAGGTGCAAAAAGTAGTACGGGAAGCGCGTTCCCGCAGCTCCGGCTGTAAAATCGCGCTTTTTAAGTACAAAAGTAGTACGCGAAGAGCACTCCGGAGCTCCGGCTGCAAAATCGCAATTTTAAGTTCAAAAGTAGTACGCGAAGTGCACTCCCGCAGCTCCGGCTCGAAGTTCGCAACTTCTAGGTACAAAAGTAGTTTGCGGAGGACATTCCCTCAACTCCGGCTGAAAGCTCGCAAGTTTCAAGTGCAAAAGTAGTACGCGAAGAGCACTCCAGAGCTCCAGCTTGCAAAATCGCAATTTTAAGTACAAGAGTAGTACTGGAAGTGCACTCCCGCAGCTCCAGCTCGAAATTGGCAGGTTTTTAGTGCAAAAGTCCTACGCGAAGTGCGCTCCGGAGCTCCAGCTGCAAAGTTGCAACTTTGTATGAGTGTACGAAGTGCGTTCGCATGGCGCGAGGCTCGCAACTCTTAAGTCCAAAGTTGTACATAAAGTGCATTCCCGCAGCTCCGGCTGCAAAATCGTAAATGGCAACGTGCGCGCGAAGCGCGCTCGTGCGGTTCAGGTAGTATGCGAAGTACACTTCCGCAGCTAAAATTGCCAGCAGCTGCTCACAGATATGGACAAGAGAGTTTTTCACCAGAGGACATGAAAGATTTGGCAAGAGAGGCTGCAGAACATCATGAGCAGCATCATGCGCTGCATTTCGCGCAACGTCATGCGACATCGCGCGCAACATCACGCGCAACATCACAACATCAAGCCACAGCATCACGCGCGCGAGAAGTTGACAGAAGAGATTGTGAAGCATGATGCTGAGCTTGCTCATCAGAATCTACGCTTGAGCAGGGGCACCGACGTGTTTACGATCTCATCAGATGGGAGAGGCGTCAGTGTTTATTTAACGTTTTTCTATGCTTCTGGGCCACCTGTCGTCAAGTTGGACGCAATACTATTTGGGGTCTCTTGCCGGGATAATTTGTATATAGAAAGTTCTTGATCTGCTTCAGACTCCACTGGCCTCGGCAAGTCGTTTTCAATGGATCGGGATCTTGGATTGCTCCTTTGGAGGATGGCTTCATTTGACCATCAAGAGAACAGCATCCTCAGGTTTCCTAGATCAGAACCCCCCTTCAAAGCAGGATCCTTCAGTTCATGGTTGGGGGCGTTTGTAGGATCTCAGTGAGCAAACGGATCTCATTCGTGGACCCCCAAGACCGCACGTGGCTTTTGGGGTCCCTGGGTCCCTCCCCATTTGCTGTATTTCCCCGAAACATATCGAAGGTTCTGGGATGGCAGTTCACCGCACAGGGGTTGAAAAAAATATTTACTACCCTGGAACCAAGAAACACCAAAAAGCCAACCAACGAAGCACAAATGGGTAGGTGTGAAAGTCAGGATTTCCACCGCCAAAGTGGCGGCTTTCCCTGTCTTTGTCCCTTTGAAGCCACCGGGAAAATGGGTAACCTCAAACACATGCGCACGCGCACAACCGGTGGCTCCGCTCCATAAACAAAAGCCTCAGGTGGCCAAGAACTTTATGAAGGGATGCGGTACAGCCTGCACCTTCCTCACGGTGAACTGCAAGAGTGCGGTGGACATTTCGAAGATTACCTTCTATGGCAACGAGAAGGAACGGGCTATCCAACTTGACTTGCGTTTGTTGCATCCTTTTGCATCTCTTTTCGCCTTTTCGGGCGTTGTTCTTTTTCCCTTTCATGGAACAGTTGACTGGCAGGGCGTCTCCCTATCGCAACAAGAGGGAATTGGTCTACTTTGCAGATATACATGGATCCCAACACAACCGAAGAAGCCAGGGTTTGCTAAAAACGGACCTGTTTTCGACTTTATCCGGGTACCCTTTGTCAAGGGCGTCCTTATCAATTAGGAGATGGAACCACCTAGACACGTGTTAGGCAAGATGAGAAAGGAAGAGTTTACTCTGCTCACCAATCTCTGCTCCGCAACCCCATGGATCCCCCGTTGGTCTCCTCTCCAAATCGCAGCCTTCCAAATCGCAGCCTTCCAACAAAAACATATGTCACTTCCATGTTGGAACGGACGGTGTGCTTCTGAACGAGCGTGAAGTTAGAAGCTGGAAGTGTTTCTGCCTACTTCGAGGGTGACACTGATAGTGAAACAGAACAGGGACCCTGAATGGTTGTAGCAAACGGGCTATGCGTGCGCATCCAAAATCACATGGTTAGAGCCCCATTCGGGTCACCCAACTTTAATCAACGTGAGGCAATAGCGCTAACTAGTTGCAATTATACCCATCGCCAGGTATATTAACATATATATATATATTACATATGTAGTATTCTCTCATAATATTCCAGTTTGGGTGACTCACTCAGGTTTTGATCGCTCGGAAAAGAATCCGATGCGACAGGAGAGCCTTTTGGCCCCCGGCACTCAGTTGAAGGCGGGGGAGGGGGGGGTTGAAATCCTTTCGGTTTGTTGGCTTCCCACTTTAACTTCTAGGGCAGGGGTTGATTTCCCATTCTTTTCAAGCATCGTTCTTTTTCAGAAACCAGCGGTTCCCCAGGGTTTTTGATGGTTTCCTGAAAAGAAGGATCCCTGAAAATAATGGAGAAGGTAGCCCTAGAAAACTGGTTACTTTTCCTAGAGGTTAACATGGAGCTCCAAACAACCCACCAGTTTTCGAGGATCTCCTTATGTCGGATCTCTTGTTTTGGTTTCATGGTATTTGATTGGAAGGGTGTGTGGTTATGCTCGCCCCAGCCTAGAATAGTCCCAAAGGACAGCACTGCGAATTCTTGGCGTCCGATTGATCCTTCCTTGGTGTTTCTGGATATGGCTTTCGGGATGTTGAATGTATCTTAATCGGGAGGGTGTACGGGGGGGGGGGGGGCGCGGTAGGGGACATTTGCATTGGGTCACTTTGTGCTGCATGTTTCCCCATCAAAGGTAGTCAAAACACGCCCTTGATCTTCTTCGACTCAGGGTTGTATGTGTTGCTTGGGGATTTCCGTTTCGGGAAGAGTCAAACATGGAAGCCCGCTTTGAATCAAAAGGCGGGGTTATTTTGTTTAAAGAAGTTTAGCGGTCACAGTCAATAGACATGGTAAGGCGCGTTGGCGGGGTCCCGGCTAACACATCGTGTGCCACGGTCAGGAAATTTGTTTACATGCGTTTGGCAGGGATGTTCCACCCCTTAAGTCATTGTTTGCCTTTGTCCTGGTTTGCCATAATTCTCCCATTCAACCAACATGGCCATGAATTTTAATAGGGAACCCCCTGAAAAGTGATTGGTGGACATGAATCTCCCCCTAAATGATGTCCACCAAAGGGCCCCCTTCTTAAAATTCATAGCCACATCAGTTTTGCAGGGGTCTAAAACTAGTCAAGAAGAACAAGTTCGGACAAACATGGTTACGCTTCCCAGGAAGTTTTGAAGGAAGCGTTTCGACCATGACACATGTCTGTCTGTGTGTGTGTGTGTTCCGTGAGCCCCGAGGGCCGCGCCAAGCTCTTGTACCAAGGGCACGCTGGGAGAAGCGCTTTGCACATGTTTCAACAAGTTCCAGCAGCCTTTTTCCCTTTGTTTGGGGTAGTGCTCTAAGCTTGACCACCCAAATTGATTGCCCCGCTCTCCTGTGGCCACTGGGCAAGACTTCAAAAGGTGGCCCAAGCTTTCTCGCAGGTGCTGAACTCATCCAGGAAGGGCAAAGTGGCTGAGATTACGCTGGAGGAGGTTGGCAGGTTGGTGGACTAGGGTTGACTTAACGACAAGTCGTACCCGGCGAGCGAGGGGGAGCTGAATAACTGAATAAATGAGCCCCGTTGAGCCGAATTTGGTGTGTTTTGAAGGGGAACCTCCCCTCGCCTTGACTAACACATGTTCAAAGCGGTTGGCAACCAACCCTGAGTCAGCATTCCCGGTGGTCAAGACACCGCCTGGGCGCCTCGCGTGCTAATGGTTCCCCACCTTTCCCGGACAGTCATGTTGGGCTTCAAGGGTGGGAAATCTACCCTTGGAGTTCAAGCTTGACACAACAAGTGGCGGCAGGCCCGATCGGTAGACGACCAGCGTCTTCGCTTGCGTCTCACTTCATCGATTGCTTCGGTTGGGCGCGAAAAAAAGTAGGCGCAGGGAGCTCCCGGTTTTCAGCCGCTTTGCCTTTGTTCCACAAACCCCCGGGAGTTTCCAGCCAAACCCATAGAAACGGGCGTCTCCGATGTTTCCTGTCCAAAGAAGGTTCTCTAGATGGGACTCCACTGAGCAGGGAAAGCACCTGGAGGTTGGAATCCGTGGGAAGTATTGGCTTTCACTCAAGACCAATAGAGGATAGGGGGTAGTGCCAGGTATTTTGGGCGAGTGGGCGAGTTCTGCTGTAGCAACCTCGCTTACCTTGGCTCTGTGAGCGAATACACTATGATGACCTTTCCCTTAACGACTCCCTATGTCTCATTTGTGAAATCTGTGTGCGTGCGTGTCAAATTATGGGGACCTCAAAATTTGCTTCGCTCACGGATACCGAGCATCAAAAACTACAAGCCAGCATTGATTACTCTTTCACGGTTCGGGCCAACGAACGCCCTGGGATTCAGATGGCCCCTTGGGTACTAAGGCCAGCCGTGCTGCCCGGCTTTCAGCAAAACGCAAGCCCCATCGACTTGCTTTCAATTACATGGTTGGGCCAGCAACCTATTGGGTGGGTATGCCACCTGATTATTACTCAATACATAATATGTATATATATATATATAAGTTCAAATATATGTTTTTCTTGATGGACCCCTTTCATTGGTGGCATCAAAGGCAGCAAACAAGCTAATTATTTGAAGACACGCCCATGTTGCACCGCTTTTGACGATGGGGGCATCGAGCCAGATCCGATTTTAGCGGAACTTGATACTTCCTTCATCAGCACGAGTTGTATTGAGCTCACCTATCCGGGATCCCCATGCTCAGGGCACATGAAGGGTTCTCAGGGGGTTTTCCTTATTTGGGTGTGTTTGTAAAGTCAGTTTTCAGTTTCCCCCTTTACCAACCAAGAAGGCCTTTCCAAAACAGACACGCCACTTTCGCATTCCCAGTTGCACGGTGGCGCTTTTGTTTGTTGTTTTTTTTTGGAAGGGTTCCCCCGAAAACTCAAACAACCAAAAAGAGATGGCCACTGGGCATCTGAGTAGCCCTTAGATTGGGCTAGCTCCAGGGAAGCGTTGCATCACCAAGCCCATGCCATTGATGTATACATTTTAATTATCCACAAGGAGACCAAAAGAGCATGGGAACATGTTGTATTGGTTTCCAGAGGAAACCAAAGGCGGGATGCATGTTGTTTGCCCCAAGCTGTGGGCTTTTTCTTTTTGGCTCGGCTTTTCACAAAGCGCTTCCAGCTCCGCGAGGATGTGAGGATCGACGGGGAAAAGATCAATGCTTTCCAGGCCATGTTTTTTTTTTGCGCAAATGAGGGGCCTGTTTGGGCTTGCCACCAAAGAAGGAGGTACCCTCAGAAGATGCATTGTTGCTTTTGGGCTTTCCCAAAAAGAACTCTCACCTCCTGTTGGATGGTTTTTTTCTCGGGGTGCTGGCTGAAAGCCAACTCCATTTTTTTGGAAGCACCTCTTTCCTCGTCGCCCTTTGAAACCCACTGCAAGAGGGTTATTGCTGTCTACATGTGGTTTTGTTGAACGCCACTTGTCTTTTTTTCTCAGTGAGTTTCCTATTGGGATGCCATGAAGCAGCCTTCTTTCACGACTATAAATCCAGGGAACATCGTACTGCTGGTTGTTGAAGAGAACGATCATAGAACAGAATGAAGGAATGAGGCCTAGAACACGAGCAGACAATTAGCTTGGTTTCCTTTAGTTTCGATCTACCGGGAAAGGGGGGGGAGGCCTTGAAAGTTCTCGGAGCAACCCGTTTGAGGCCAGCGCTTTGCTGGTCAAATCGCAAGCTCAAGTGTTTTGGTTTGCGACACATGGAGGGGGCCCGGGTGATGGAGGCTGCTTACCTTTGCCTACTTGGACATTCCTTATGTGGTGCGGGTGGGCGAATTTTGATGCTTAACCTATGATATAATGTTTGCTTTGCGCGGAGATGCTCAACATTGCTTTTGCCCGGGGTTTCTCGTGCACGACCTTTGGATGGGTACGTACGTTTGAGAATATCCGCGTTCGCGGGAACAACCGGAGCGCTTGTGGGTTTGTCTCGAGGCGGGGGACCCCCCCCCCGATGAGGTTAACCACGAATGTCTCATTCGGGTTTGACAAAGTGGTCTCCTCTTTTCATTGCCATATCTAGATTAGACAGGGGCTTGAATTCGCTCCTTTTTGTGTGTTCTATACTTTTAAGCCAGCAAGCAGTTAACTGTTGCATGGCTCAGATCCGTTTGGCCCAGTTTCCTAAAGATTTCTTTAGGGTGGCAGTGGAACGCGTGGTTCTGTGTATGTGCCTGCGTATGCTTCTTTGTGTCTATACGCCCTGAACTTGTGTCTTTGTCTCTGTGTGGGTCTCGCTGTATCTGTCTCTGTGCATGTCTTTGTGTAGCCCCGCGTTTCCGTTCGTGAGGCAATGCCTGGCCTGACATGAAGCCCAATCAGCTTTACTCATGTTTGATCCCTTGACCCCCTGATCAAAGTGTAAGCTGACCACTGCCTGAGGTCACCCGTAATATAGCTTGTGAAAACATGGATCCAACATGGAAGGTGACCCATCACGCTTTCATTCGAAGCCATCCAATGGAGACCCTCGCCAGGGGCTCTGCAACTTGGTGAGGGCCAATCCGCAGGCCGGCGACAAAAAACTCTCCAAGCAGATGCCGCGATTTGGGGGCTCCAAATCTGTGTGGCTGGGTCAGTTGTTTGAGGCTTTGGGGGGCCCCGCCTTTGTTCTTTGGAAGAGTTGCTTGGAGCCTCCAAAAGATGGAGCAGGAGTGGTAGCACTGTTTTGTCTACCAATGATAAGGGGCTGTCATGATGACTGATAGCTGACTCCTGCAATGGCGACTTGGGTTTTCGGTTTTTAAACCCAGAGACGTCGGAGCATAATGGGTCTTGGGCGCTGCTCATTTGGTTGCGACCAAGTTAGCGCCCAAGGTTAATTTGAAAGAGCAGAATCATCTTCATTTCAGACATAGCTTAGCTTTTGACTTCTTGCAACTGTTGTTTTCTGTTATTTTCGTTTTCAGCAACATGCAAGTTGTTGCAGGGGGTCGAATCTATTTGTCCCTGCTTGGGGTCTGACTCAGATAGGCCACCTTCCGTTTCCGTGCAAGACTCGCTTTGTGGGCCACACAAAGAAACTCGCTTTGGGCAAAGGACCCTTGGAGACGGCGGACCGAATATGGGTTTGTCTTTTTTTAAGGGCACCCTTTTTTGTGGCTTTGAAAGGGAGACCACAAGGACAATCTACCGTATTGAGGGGTCCAGCATTAAAAAGACACACGGGTTAGCCATGGCGACCATTGAACGACTCTTGCGCCAACCCTTGGTCGTCAATTACGCAAGAAACCTTTGGGCCGGACTTGTTGGCCTGGTGCAGACAAGCTTGATAAATATGATGAATCTGGTTGCATGGGATACTTTTGCAAGCAAGACCCGTGAATCTTGATTGCATATTGTACGCTGAGCCTGAAACAGAGGTATATCAGTCCGCTGAAATGTTGGGATTTTGCGGGTTGCAGGTAAACAAATGTGTGTGTGTGTGCTTTCAAAGTACCTTCTTTTTGTGGTGTTCAAGGGACACGCGCACTTCAGCCTTGCTTGTGCGTAGGTCGCGCTCCAGTACCCGGTGGAGTTTTCAGGCAGAATGGGCGGGGGCAACCTGTAGGCGGTTTGTAGGCTGCCAAAATGGGTTGCCGAAAGCAAATTGACGGTTTCTGTGTGTGTGTGTTGCTTTCCATACTTGGTCTTCTTGTAGTCGGAGCCCCCCAAAAAAATACCATGTTATTTCTGGTTTTGGGCATGAGTAAAGTGACTGATCCAAGTATCAGCCACGGGCAATACTCGTCATTTCCACCGACTGACACATGGGATGTCATCTGAGAACGCCAAATTGAGCAAGTTAGCCTGTGTACTTTTCGGCTTTTGGGTCCATGGAGCGGTTTTGGTCGCCTATCGGGTTCTAGGGGTTGATTCCCGAGTCAGTCAGCCATGGTTCTTGTCAAAACCAGCGGGATTTCTGAATTACGAAGAGTGCCTGTTTTGTGAGGGTATTTGGGGGTTGTTTTCAAAGGGAAACCAAGGGAACCAGTCAAATCTAAGCGCCGCCCTTTGACATATTCCCAGAAGGCGTCTCTGGAAAGAACTTCCCAGTTTCAGATCTGAAAACAGTCCATCCACAGGGTAGGGCTCCCATCCCTGCACTCCTTGATTCCTAATATACACTCCTCTGTTGAACAAACACATGTTGTTGGCCCTTGCTCAGGGAGCTCGAGGCTTTCTCAATTGCCATGAACGAGCAATGGCATCAACTAGCAAAGGGATGAACTAGCAAAGGCATCACTTAGCAACGGCATCAACTAGCAAAGGGATCAACTAGCAAAGGCATCACCTAGCAACGGCATCAACTAGCAACGGGATCAACTAGCAAAGGCATGACCTGGCAACGGCATCAACTAGCAAAGGGATCAACTAGCAAAGGCATGACCTAGCAACAGCATCAACTAGCAAAGGGATCAACCAGCAAAGGCATCACCTAGCAACGGCATCAACTGGCAAAGGGATCAACTAGCAAAGGCATCACCTAGCAAATGCATCAACTAGCAA